TGATGGCACAGCAGTGTCGCGCTTCCAATTTGTGAGGGTTTTACGGTTGGGCTTACAGAAGTTGGGACTGGAGCCTATGCAGTTCTGAACACATTAATTCCGTATAGGAGCGCGACTGAAGCGGCGCGCTTGGGACTAGGAGACGAGCAGATTAAACGGATCGGGAGATGGGAATCATTAAGGTTCCGCTCGTATGTACGGCCAAATAGACTGGTATGAGGAGGTGGACAATGTGGGGTGAGTTGGAGAGAGTATATGCTGCTTTATTGCTGTTGTGTTTTCTTTTAGGTTGGACGGTGTGGATAATTGGCCATTCGTATATCTATTGGGCACAGAAGAGGGCTGCAGTTCGAAGAAGCGGACCACAGCTGGGTTTTCATGTGGACCGGGTGGCGTTGTTATGGTTTGGTTATCGGGGGTTTGATTAGCAGCACATTAGTATAGCGTTGTTTCAAAAGGTTGCGAAGGAGGCATTACCAAAGGTGGTAGTAGTTCATGGGGGGGAGGGAGAGGGGAAAACGACTTAGGTTTGGTCCCCCAACGTGAACTGGTTTAAAGAATGAAGCAGGATGTGGATCGACTGACGGGGCTGATCCGTGGCGTAAGGGTGGTATGGTCGGAGATGGTGCCTCGGTTGAACTGGAGACACGCCAGGGATTCAGCTGCTGTTGCTCGATGTTGGGGTAAGGTTAACAAGACCATGGCGGTGTTTGTTCGTAGGTTAGGAGGGGTAGTGGTGCGCCATCGGGAATTGGAAGAGAAGTTACCCGGGTACTTTCGATCAGATGGGGTGCACCTGTCGGATGTGACCTGTTTAACTTAGGTTTGCAGGAAGGTATAGCGCAAGCCCTGTTTTTGTGTGGTGGGGGTCGCCCATGTCCTTAAGGGGTCAAGGCAAGTGCTATGGCACAAAAAAGGTCTTGGCTAAACAGGAAGTTTGGTGGATTAGGAAATTGGTAGGCCAAGGTCTAGGCTGGAGTAGGCCAGAGTTAAAAGTGTGGAGGTAGGTTTGAGCCCATTGGTGGATACGAACCAAGGGGTGTAGGGGTGTCTGGGTACACCCCTGCAGTTAGACAAATGGAGGTGGGGCATCTTGGTAGGCCGTGAGTAACAATGTTATGTATTATTGGTTATGTTAATATTTGTTCTTTGGTAGGGTCATTGTCGGGGGTATGGTACAGGAGAGAGCGGAACGAAAGGAGTACTGTTGACAATGACCCTAAATTGTTAATTTATATTAATTAATAAAGCTGTGGCCTTTATACTCCAACAGAATTTATTGGTGTCTGAGTGTTATTAAAGTTAGAGGTGGGCACATGCCGAATAACAACTGTGCAACAATGTCATGGCTTTTTAAAAGTCTTCTAAGGTTTATGCAGCCCAATAATGGTTTTATAACTATTAGCGGTTTTTGAACTCTGTCCCTCCCTCTATATATTCAGCTTGGGTATTACCCATGAGTAAATGCTGCCATGAATAATGGTCAGGAAAAAGGAAACTTTGCTTCATACTTACCGTAATTTTATTTTCCTGATAATTTATTCATGACAGCATTACGTTCCCACCCATATACTAGAAGAGTTACGAAGCTAGATAAAGACTGCCTGATGGAAAGGGGGAGGATCTATTTATACCAGTTTCAGAGTTCTGTTTCCTGTCCTTTCTGCTATGAGGGGAGGAGCTAACCCATGAGTAAATGCTACCATGAATAAATTATCAGGAAAAGAAAATTATGGTAAGTATGAAGCAAATGTTCCTTTACTTTTCTCTCTTTCGGCTGTAGTGCACACATATGAGATTCATTCAATATAAATTTTACTTCTTGTCTCTATGTAATCTGTGGTGTTCACCAAATGTGAGGCTTAGTTGATGTTGCTATAGGACTGGGTACTTACCTGTCCTCGTCTTGAGATCGAGGAGTGTGACGTCATCATGCTCTTTTTCGGCTTGGAACTGGGCAACTATTTAAATGTTTGTTTATTTTTTCTGCACTTTCTTGAGAAAAGTCCCAGGGATGACTAAAACGGTGTGGCAAACATAACCTCGCTATTGGCTCCTGGAGGAGCCTGCTTGCCAGCCTCCTGCCTCAGGACTATGGGCCTTGCAAGGTACACTGTAAAATACACTTTAAAAGGCTATGTTCATGTGATTTGGGATTATATTGTTCAGGAACCGAACAACCGCACGAACCAGAGACCACCCGTGTGCTTGTTAAGCCCAATTGACACCTTGTAAAGAGTTCCACCAAAGTAAAAGGGGAAACAGAGCCAAATAAGGTACACTGAGAGAACGGGGGATAACCCCAAATGTAACGTAGAAAGGCAAGAAATGGTGTACCTAGGAAAATAGTAAACTGTAAGTACGGGAATTAATGTCTAAATCTACAAGGAGAATGTCGATCAAAGTACTCTACTGATAAAACTGAAGAAAAATGTATACATTTTATTATGAATACATATGTCAAAGAAAACCAAAAGTGCTAATGTACACACAAAAAAGAAATAAGTGAACCTAAAAATAGGTGCTAAAACTGTTACCCATGAAAAGAGTAACCTAAATACTATAGAAACAAATGTTCCAATGGTACAGACTAAATAGTCCATTTGGCACTGCGTATGAAATCTGCAGATAAGGGTATGCAAAAAGGTATCTAAATATTGATTCCCAAATGCTATCTCTACTAATAATAACTTCCCTTACAATTACTTCATATAGAGAGATCCTTATTGGTGCTAGAGACACTGGGTAGGGGATATTGCTATGTGCAAGAACAATAGCAGATTACTATGGTAAGTATAATGAAGAGATACAGGTGAAACAGATTTTTATTATTAGTCACAGCCTTCTGTCACTCAGCTCATGTCTTCTGTGCCCGATAAGTGCCTATGTAGGTATTAAAACTGCCAGTATTAATAAACTGTGTTCTAATTGTTTGCCTTGGTTGCCGCAATTCGTATGAATGATGACGAGGTGGTGGCCATCTTGTTCGCATGAACGCAGGCAGCGGTGTTTGGTCGTCGAGTTCATGGGACTGAAATCGGACACAAACTCTCGAACACCGCTGGACTTCCATAATCACCTGTGTTCAGTTTTATACAACTTAGAAGGGCACTGTTCGATGGAATCGTTCCCACGAACAAGGTGAACAAGCTACACATGTTAACTATGGATTCTGTTCGGTATTTTATGCACTTTTATACTCCAGAAAGAGACCAATTGTTAGCACTGATTTCATGGAACTGTTTTGGGCATAGGACCATGTGTGCGGTCAGTCAAATAATTGACTTCCATGGAAAAACCGAACCACTGAACCGATCTGGGTGATTTTTGGATATGTTGGTCACCCAGATCGGGACTATCTGAGAATGTTACTGGGGTTTGTTGAGTTTCTATGGTTTTTGGGATGTTTATAAAGTGTATGTTTTTTGTACCTGATAGATAATTTAATTATGTGTTTGCTTCTCAGATAGTTATCTCTCAGACACAAAGGATCACGGGAGGAATTTCCCTGTATTCTTGTACTGAAAACCCCTTGTAGGGGCTTTTGCATAAAAGGTCATGTGTGGCCTCCAATAAAGCAGATTACTTCCCAGAATTAAGGCTCGGCTCATGTGTGGGGGGTATTGCGATACTGCTCTTTTGATTATTGTATCTGCTATACTCTCTTGGAGGAGAGGTCTTCCCACTGGGAGCTGGAGCCAGGTGGTGGTCCAGGATGGGAAGTGATGGCTTACAGTGCTTATAGTGTCCGGTGTGGTGCTTATAGTACTCGGTGATATTAGGAAGCACGATTGGCAGAGGTACCAAGTCGGAATGCCAGGTGGTCCGCCACAAAACAGTGATACTGACTATGTGCTTCGATGCAAGTTGCTGAAAAATAAAAGCATTCTTGATTGTTATTAAGTCTCCTAAATGCACTCTTACATGTGTAATATAAATTTGGTTGGAGATTTTGCACCTGGAGCAAGTACCATTGTAATAGTGAAACATTGAGTGCAGATATGTATGTATATATACACATACAAACACAAAGTTTTATTTGTGGTTATATCTAAAAATAGCTTGCATAAACTGCAGTCCTCTTGTTTGCTACCTTTGTAAGCCCTCCCATTCTTCTCCAGTCGAGACTTTTTGTGGCTGTCCAATCACACATTTCCCATAATTCAGCTCAATGAGAAGTCTTTGCAAGGCAGGTGCGCTGAGCAATTGTCTGTCTCTTGAAGTTAGCTCCACTTTGCTAAACAAACCAGGACAGTTTCTCTACTTAAAAGTCATGGTGGATGTAACAAAGTTAATTTATAAAAGTAAATAAAATAAAATATATATAAAAACACAGAGCACTATTAAAGTGAGTAAAGAATACATAAATGTGCGTTCCCTGGTATACACTAATACACCCAGAAAAAAAATGAAATATAAAAAGATATACTCGTGTTTTCATATATATTTGGTATATTTAATTTGAGTGAAAATTTCTTTTTTAAATCTGCACTTTTTATAAACTTAAAAAAATAAAATAAAAAAAAAGACATTCTTAACAGACATTTTAGCATGATAAAATATTTTAGGGGTTCAAAGTATCCCTTTAAGTCTCTTGTGATGTGTCAAAACCGAGGGTCAGATAGGACTGAAAAAAAAGTGGACCCACCTTAGAATGGTAAATTGATAAGAATAATAATGAGGGTGGGCAACAAATGAACTGTGATGACCAGGAAAAGGAAGGCTACTACATATATATATATATATATATATATAAACCAGAAAGCTCTTGCACTCCAACCAAACAGTTATTCAATACCTGGTGCGCTGGTAGCTTGAACATATAAATAGAAAAAATACCGGCACTCCTAGGCTTTCCAAGTAAGGATTCTTTATACCATTGAATTATATCTACGTTTCAGCTCCATTGTAGAGCTTTCATCAGGACAAAGCTCTACAATGGAGCTGAACGTCGATATCTCTCTGGAATAAAATCCTTACTAAAGCCTTATATTGTGTGTGTGTGTGTGTGTGTGTGTGTGTGTGTGTGTGTGTATATATATATATATATATATATATATATATATATACACACACACACGCAGATACAGTACAGTGCTAAAATTAGTACTACATTTAGGAGTTGTGAAATCTATGGTTGGAAGAAATGTATTTAGCCAAAATTACAATTTAGAGCAGATCTTTAATTTGTGGTATTTTATGTGTATATTGCAAAGACTTTCAAAAGTGACAATTTTGCTCAAGGTGCAGTGGAATGTAGGTATGCTTACTTGAAGCTGTCCTTAGTGGCTGCCACCATCCTACAGACTATCTTCAGCTCCTGGAGCTTCATCCGCCAGGAGATGCCAGAGTACAACACTGACTTCTATAGAGGATCCCAGTAGCCTTCATAGATCACATATCATGATGGGAGAGACGATGCCTCATTTCCACTGCCATAGCTTGCAACAACTGCTGGGATTTGACAGCGCAGCTTCAACTTTTGTCAACATCAGGAATACTCTTATGAGGAAGTAGTCATATATCACATCACAGAAAGCATAACCATCTTATATAGAGCATATATTTATAAAATACTTAAAAGTGACATAGCTTCTTTATAGATAATGAGATGAAAACACTCAGAATGCATTAACCCATAGCACACATGAGGTGGACGACACGCCAGTAACATGGTGTATATTACAGAAATAAATACAAACACAAAATATGTGAATACACATTAACTCTTACCTTTATAAAATGTGGTCTGATAAGCAGTGCTTGGGATGAAAGAGGCAGAAAGCACAGTTGTAATCAAAATTAGTTTATCCAAAAATATTAAATAATTTGAAAAGCTTATACAGAAATCTTAAATTCAGGGTCCATGTTATGTTATTCCTCGGAAGAAAGAATTCCACACAGAGACACACATGCCCTAATAATAAAAATAAATTAAAAAATAAACAAATTCAAGTAAATATACATTTGTTATCAAAATTATTCAACCCCTATTGGAAATCATTATTTTTGTGTCAAAATTTACAGACTTTCAGCTGTTTGTAATGAACAAATCAAACAAATACAATTGAAATAGCTCAACACAATGAATGTTTCAAGTAGTTTCCCTATATTCAAATGAAAATGCAACTTATAATGACTTTTCCAGTCTCAAATTTATAAAACAGTGGATAAAAGTGATAATTTAATAAACGATTTTATAAAACCCCGTAGTTGTAGATTATAGAAATGGTTTAACTGACACTTATCACATTTATTATATTATTTATGTAGTCAAACCATTTTAGAATGATTCACTTCATACCTAGCATCCAACTGATGCCTCTACAACCTATAGAAAAGCCAGAAGCCTTCTGATAAGATAAACCCAGAGATGCAGGTCTAAGCTCTCTGGCTGAGAGTGATCAGCTGATGCTCTCAGCCAATGATCTAGCCCTACATTGCAGGTCTTCGCTCAGGAGAGCGAACAGCAGCTCTTAAGCAAGCTCTACAATAGGGGGCAACAACTGAATCTGTCAGAGTGATCACCTAGCTTGCAGGGGCCTGATTCCTCAGAGGGGGACTGCCTGGGATGTCATCATCTAGCCCCCCCCTCCCTTCACACCATGCCTCCCTAAATATAGTAAAATCTTACTTGTATTCAAGTCTGCAGCTGCTGCCTCTGTCTGTGAACTGCCTCTGACATCAGAAGTGATTCTCTTAGCCAATCACAATGATTTCCCATAGGATTGGCTGAGACTGTTAAGGAGGCAGATCAGGGGGAGAGCCAGGACAAGTCAAACACAGCCCTGGTCAATCAGCATCTCCTCATTGAGATGCATTAAATCAATGCATCTCTATGAGAAAAGTTCAGTGTCTCCATGCAGAGGGTGGAGAAACAATGGCAGTGCTGGAGTAATCACTAGCCTGTAATGTAAACACTGATATTTTTTTTTCTGAAAAGACAGTGTTTACTGCAAAAAGCCTGAAGGGAATGATTCTACTCACCAGAACAAATACAATAAGCTGAAGTTGTTCTGGTGACTATAGTGTCCCTTTAAATTTAAAATGGTCTTTGAATTCACACTTTAGTGAATAATCCTGATAGTCTACCTTCTTTTTGGCTGCCAATAAATCTACATAAATTTTTTTATTGCATACATAAAGTTCCTAATGTTCTCCAAAATAAAAATTGTTTTAGTGACATTGGTTGTAGGTAGAAGAGGGAAGACACCACAAAGGGATGGGGGGGAGGGGGGGAATCACCATATTTGTTTGCAAAGATAAGTTATTTTAAGTATCCTTGTAAAATGCACCACTGCAGGGAAGCCCAAGTCTTCAGAGCTAGTACTATATGAAGTACTAACGGAGTGCATGGACTGTGTGAGTGAACCCATATGGGACATGAGAAAGAGACAGACAACACAGAAAAGTAGTATACACTCTATATATTCCCCAGCAAGCTACAAGTAGGACTTGACTGGGACAGCTATTTTCTAGCTCTCACACTGCTTATGTCACCACCCTGTTGCCCAGTTTGGAATTTCTGCAGAGGGAAAATATCTCCAAGGGTAACATGCTTTTTTTTTTTTAAATCTTCCAAGGCTGTGTCTATGCTGTTCATTAAAGAAAACACTGCTTTTAAATATACTTTTTTTATGGGCATAGTGGATAGGGTATAATGGAGTGATGTGCTGCCATATTGAAAAACTATGAAATTAGACATTTGCATCACAGCAAAAAGAATAAGCCATTGGTCTCAAAAAGATCAGTTTTATTATTTATCTGTATTAGCATTGACAATCTGCTACACATACATATTACTTTCATAATTAAATACATAATCGTTTCATTAGAACAAGCAGGAGGGCAAGAGAAAAAAATGTGGATGGCACATTTGGTTAACTTTTATTTAAAACTTGGAATCAAATAATTGTTTGCTCATGAACTATTTTTGTTGTAATTACATATCAAATACACTATGTACTACAATCAATTTTACCAAAGTAGTTTATGGATTACTGCTACAATACTTTGTGTACTCTGCAGAAAAGTCAAAAGAGGTAATGTGGTAGCAGAATACAGTACAGTGTAATAGTGGCTCTAGTGACAATGGACATTTGTATATACTACTTGGTAAGCAACAAGGCTACAGAATTCACAGCCACAACTGATACAGCATGTCTACAATATTAATTACTGCAGCTTCAGTGCATATCAACTGTGCCCTAAAGTATTTCAATAAAGTATTCTTACATTATAAAATGTTGGAGTATATTAACACTGTTTCAAGTTAACTCCTACTCCTCTTGCTAGCTATGTACTGTAAACATATGCAGAATAGGAGACTTCAAACCAAGGCATGACAGTGAGTGCTTACAATGGTCACTTAAGTGAGGTTTGTAACCTGAGGGCAAGATGACTTACAAACAGAAAAGACAAAACAAACACAAATAAAAAAGATAAAGTACTATGCAGTGAGTGTCTGTGGTATAAGAGGAGCCATGATTCTTAAGATTGCTTCCTTTGTATGTAATAATGGCTCTGTTCCATGGAAGTAATATTTTGGAACTAAGGCTTGACGTTTGTGAGGCCAATGTGGATTAGGCCATCACTGGATTTGATGTCACTGCAGTGCTTTTACAAGATATAGTTTATCTCCATGCTCACTAGTGAAGATGGGTGCTTTTTTGTAATGTTCCACTAGTTCATCCATGCTCTTAAATCGTCGTTGCCCAATGCAATAAACATTGTCCACCAGCTGCACTTTAAAGTGTTTATTCTTTCCTGATGCTTTTAAAGATATGGAAAAGTCACTGGGCTGTGGAAGAAAAGTAAGACCATATATTAAAAGTGCAATATAAAAAAAGTGTGCCTGTTACACAAACAAATGTATACACTACTTCTAAATCAAGAAGTTAGCAAAACATGATTATTCCAAAATAATGCATGTCCCAATCAAGGTGCTGCTCCAAAAATAAAGGAACCCTAATAAATTATACATTATGAATGTAAAGATGGTGGCACCTTTTGTCTTTCATATATATATATATATTTATTTCTTTATTTTTGTCGTGACATATGCGATAGGAAATAAAACAGTCAGACACAGAGTGGCTTGCGCAGAAGCCGATATGATCAAAATGCTCAATTGCCCTCTGGGTACATGGCTAGAATATGAGTAAACCGTCACGATTTTTACCTTGTGATATAAAATACTTAATACATAATAAGAAATAGAACCACATAAATAAGACGTTGAGAAAAGGTTATGTACCATTGAATGAGGTAGTTACCCCTCAAACTGTTCCCTTAAGTCCCAAACTTTGTGGAATGAGGTCATTGTGTTTCGTACCTGCGCTGTTAGCTTATCCATCAAGTAATTATCCCTAAGCTTTGTTATGATCAGGTCTGTGTGGGGTGTTGCTGGTTTTCCGGTTTTGAGCTAAGGCGCTGCGGGCTGCTATGTATACCGTATTTAGTAATCTTTGTGTATGCTTATCCAATCCTTCGGTAGGCCTGGACAAGAGGCATGCCCAGGGGTCTAGTGTGAGCCTTATTTCTATGATACGAGAGCTGAGGTCCACCACACCCCACCAATACTCTTGGACCACATGTGAATGTAGCTGCCCTTGTTCCCGCACAGGCACCATGTGGTGCTGGCATTCATGTGGTGCTGTACCAATGGAATAACGTCTTGTACGCTTGTTCCTGCAGTGTGGTTCAAATGGAGGCTTTCGCACAGGCCTCCCATATGTCCCTCCACTCCGTCACCTCCAGTGTCTCCCCCAGGTCCTCCTCCCAACGATTTGTGTATCGCCTCTGATTCTGAGCTCAGGTGGTCATAGAGTAGGGAGATTAGCCTTTTGAGTTCTCCTTGAGGCATATGTTTTCGAAAAAGGTTTTTGCATCATCGGTTAGTGCAAAGTCCCTGAGCTGCATGTAACGAAAGAAGTCTCGAGGTTTCATGTCTGCTAGTGTGCGTAAGTGTCCGTATGTCACTACCTTGTCATTAACATAAAGGTGTATGTATCGTTGCAGTCCCGTGGCTTCGATGACCTTAAAGTCTCTTGCCCTCATACCTGGGGGGGCTCTATTCTTCAGCACTGGGGTCAAGGGTGAAGGGTTGTGAGCGAACTTGTATTTCTGAGCTACCTTGTCCCATATGTCGTAGGAGTTTAGGATGGACGGGCAGGTTGTTCTGGAGAGTGCCCTGTGTTCCCTTGGGGACCATATGTAAAACTGGGGTAGGTCCGCGCACGTTAATAGTGATTCGATGTCCACCCACCGATGTCCTTCCAGAAGGAAGTGCCAGTGGGCAACCTGAGCCAATTGCGCCACCAGGTTATATAGGAATAGGTGGGGTAGCCCCAGGACCACCCTGGGTGGGCCACCCTGGGTCGCTTCCTCTGCCAGATGAAAGTGTCAATGGCCTTCTGGATGTGAGCCAAGGCACTGGAACAGCCTGGGACATGAAAAGTAGTCTAGGCATGATGTTCATTTTCACGGAGTGCAGGCGTCCCAGCCAGGATATTGGCTTGTCTGTCCAGTTGTCTAGGTCCCTTTTGAGTGTGGTGAATAAGGGTGTGTAGTTGTGCCTGTAAAGAGCCGCGGGGTCTGCTGTGAGTTGTACCCCCAGGTAGGTGAATGCGTCTGTGGCAATCTTAATCTGATGTGTTTGTCTGATGCACGTTACGTCCTGGCCTGTCATGTTGATGGGCATTGATATTGATTTGTTGAGGTTTACTCTATAACTCGATACCGCCCTGTATTCTTCTACTAGCAGCGTGATTAGTCTGGTCATGGACCTTATTGGGTCCGTGATGGTCAGCAATACATCGTCGGCGTAGGTCTTTCATATTTTATATAAGAGTATAATCAAACTTCTCGTTTGCACCTCGCTCTGTCCCGGGGCCTCATTACAGGGTTCCAGTTAAAGGGACACTATAGTCACTAGAACAACTAAAGCTTAATGTAGTTGTTCTGGCGAGTATAATCATTGTATGCAGGCATTTTCATGAAAAGGCAGTGTTTACATTGCTCCTAGGAACACCTCAAGGTGGCCACTCCTCAGATGGCTACTGGAGGTGCTTCCCGGCTCAGGGCTGCACAGTTGGCAGCAGTGCCGTTCAGCGTCTCCACGCTCTGCATGGGGACACTGAATTTTCTTCATAGAGATGTATTAGCGTCAAAATGGTGTTTGGCCCCGCCCCTTGCCGTTTTAGTCAATCCAATGCTTTTCCCATTGGGGGCCAGCGGCGACGGATCCACGCAGCGCTGGAAATAAGGTGAGTTTTATTAATGGTGAGTTAAACACTATAGGATCAGGAATACATGTTTGTGGTCCTGACCCTGTAGTGTTCCTTTAAACCTTGCACTGCAGAGAAGCCCAAGAGGTTAATTGTACTGTAAGTGGGCTAATGTGATAATAGTAGCCATTAAAACATTAGGTTGGTAAAGAACAAGACTTGCTAAATATGGGCTGTTGCAAGCATACAAAATATATATTCATACCTTTTAATGGGTCACTATAGTCACCTGAACAACTTTAGCTTAATGAAGCAGTTTTGGTGTATAGAACATGCCCCTGCAGCCTCACTGCTCAATCCTCTGCCATTTAGGAGTTAAATCCCTTTGTTTATGAACCCTAGTCCCACCTCCCTGCATGTGACTTGCACAGCCTTCCATAAACACTTCCTGTAAAGAGAGCCCTATTTAGGCTTTCTTTATTGCAAGTTCTGTTTAATTAAGATTTTCGTATCCCCTGCTATGTTAATAGCTTGCTAGACCCTGCAAGAGCCTCCTGTATGTGATTAAAGTTCAATTTAGAGATTGATATACAATTATTTAAGGTAAATTACATCTGTTTGAAAGTGAAACCAGTTTTTTTTTGTCATGCAGGCTCTGTCAATCATAGCCAGGGGAGGTGTGGCTAGGGCTGCATAAACAGAAACAAAGTGATTTAAAGGACCACTATAGTGCCAGGAAAACATACTCGTTTTCCTGGCACTATAGTGCCCTGAGGGTGCCCCCACCCTCAGGGACCCCCTCCCGCCCGGCTCTGGAAGGGGGAAAGGTGTTTAAACTTACCTTTTTCCAGCGCTGGGCGGAGAGCTCTCCTCCTCCTCTCCGCCTCCGTTACGCCCCGCCGGCTGAATGCGCACGCGCGGCAAGAGCTGCGCGCGCATTCAACCCGTCGCATAGGAAAGCATTTACAATGCTTTCCTATGGACGCTTGCGTGCTCTCACTGTGAAAATCACAGTGAGAAGCACGCAAGCGCCTCTAGTGGCTGTCAATGAGACAGCCACTAGAGGATTTGGGGGAAGGCTTAACCCATTCATAAACATAGCAGTTTCTCTGAAACTGCTATGTTTATAAAAAAAATGGGTTAACCCTAGAAGGACCTGGCACCCAGACTACTTCATTAAGCTGAAGTGGTCTGGGTGCCTAGAGTGGTCCTTTAACTCCTAAATGAATTGAGCACTAAAACTGCTTTATTTAGCTAAAGTAATTTAGGTGACTAATAGTATTTTAAGTGAGGTGATTTAAAAAAAGAAAAAAAAACTGAGCTTTGAAGTTTTTTTTCTTTCTTTCTAAAGTTCAGCATGCCATATTGTGTATTTTGTATCAAGTGGTCTCAGCAGCACACTTGATGGATGACAGGTTCTCAATCATTATGCCGACTAATTTTGTAGAATTGCTAATATTTGCCACTAATAAATTAAAGGAAAACTAATATTTTTTCATTATTTAAAATAAAAGATTAAACATATAATAGTCTCTGTATGTAGTATATTGTAAGATACCTCTTTTCAGTGCATTATTGTTTGGCTTACTCTTTCTCGAGGAGGTGGAGATTACCAAGACCTCTTTTGTTAGCAGCACAGCCTATCTGACCAAAAATTGTGCAAGTGAGTGAGTTAGCATGCATTCACATATGCTGACACCATGCACACGTGCCAGATGTCTCAAAAATGCATTTCTGGCCAAAGGAAGCATAATTTAGGAAATAGACTGGAAAAAAATTCAAGAATATACACAATCTTGCAACAAATACTGTATATGTGCAATTCACTTACTACAGTTAATGGATGTGTTCTAATAATCATGAGGTGTTTTGTCAAATGCTGGTAAGTAAAATCTAGGAGCAAAAACTAGCTGATGAACCATAATGGATTTGTGCATCAACAAGCAGGACGAAGGGGCAGTTCAAACATCAACATTTGTACAACAAGATGGAGGAAATCTTGAGGTGGCTGTTCCCAGAGATGTCAGTACCGTAACACCAGCCAAATAGAGCTGTATTTCTTGTAGCACAGACAAATACAACTACCCACCATTGCATATTGTTTCAATGCATGAGCTGTGCTTCACAGTACCAGAAGAAATACAACTGCATTCACACTAGACACCAAGGATATTGTACCCACTTGAAGATGGGTTAATGCTCACTGGCTCTTTCAATCACATTTAATCATTTCTATACACACAGACAGAGTTGAACTTTTAGCTGGGCATTGACATGCTTGTATGCAAAGTATAACGCACAAAACTATTGATATATTAATTTACTTAACCATTTACCATTCCAATTATTTTTACATACCTATTGATTTTTTTTCTAATGCACTTGAAGCTTTAGAATCTGAATAATGGTGTTATATTGCAGATTTTATTTGATATAGCATGGTGTCCATATCTACACATATATTCAATTGTACTGTCATGCCATGTTACTGGTCCCTTTAATTCACATGCAGCCAGCTCTCTCCAAGTCATTTCTGTGTGTACACCAAGTGACTCTAAATCCACTTTGAAATTCCTACTTCAGTGACTCGATCACTAACTCTCCACACACATATACATTTGTATTTACACACTCACTGACCTTCTACAATGGCAAAACTGGTATTCACTTCAATTTAAGTTTTTCATCTCTTTTTTGAATCCACCGCAGAAGCAAACACTGTTTTAAAGGCTGAGCTTGATGGACTATTTTTCAGTCTATTTTACTTTGTCGCTCGATCCTCTGCTTACACCTCTATGCATTCAACATAAAAGAGGCCTATGCTGAAAATCGGCTGACAGGTAACAGAAGGGCCAAAGTTTTAATGAATGCTAAATTAACTTATTAACATTTACCAGCACAACATATAAATCAAATATAATTTAAACCTAAGCTTTATGTACACTTTAACTGAAAACATTTTATGAATAATTCTAAATGTAAACACATTTGCCTTTATAAATTTAATATATTACTCACTTTTATATTGATATATACTGAATCTAATGATTAGCTGTGCCCGGATCTTAATCAAAACTCTACACGCCTAAAATTAATGGGATTAGGTTTGTCACATACAATTTTGACTACAATATAAGAACAAAATGCCAGATATGTGTATACCAATGATATAATAAATAAATCACAGTTTCAAATAAGAGAGAAATTAAATACTACTCACCGAAGACTCACTGTCTCTAATAAGAAAGTCTCCCTCCATTCCTCTTTCATTCAGAGCACATTCTGCTTGATGTCTGGTAATGCCCCCATAATACCATCCTTTACCAGCAAAACGTCCTATGCAAGAAGGCCCTGTGTAGCTTATTTGATTAATATGTGGAGTGTTGATGGATGGACCATCATTCAAAATTACAACATAGTTTTTTGGAACAAGACCAATTTGCCCACTGGAGTTTTTACATTTCCACCATTCAGGGTCATTTTCTGGTTTCTCAATGACTTCCATAATTTCACCTTTTTCAAAGTTCAGCTCTTCTTCCGTTACAGAACTGAATGGGTATAGTGTCTGAACAATATGGAGGACTTTAGTGTTTTGACCATTGCTCACACAGGCCCCTTTCCTTAAACTAAGAAAACTAGGGGAGTCTGCTGTTGCTTCATCAACTTCCTCCACAACGTAGTTTGAAGGAAACCACCCAACTTGTCCATTGTAAGCCCCACGCCACCAACCATCACTACATTTTTCCATAACGATGACCCTTGATCCTTTCACAAGAGACAGTTCATCATCTCTTTCTGCTATATATGCAAACTTTACATATGCTGGAATGTTTAAATCATAGATTCGGTCAGCATTACTACCATTGGATGGGTACTCTGCATCAGTGCTAGGGGTGGGTGATGCATCTCTGTTGCTGGTCTTTCTTTTTGTTTTCCCTAGGCCTGAAAAAATAAGATTTATTTTACTGTTATCTTTGCAACATGCTTTTAAAATGAAAATGATAAAGCACTTATATGAAAGCAGGTTAAAATAATCCTTTAGTAATAAAACTGATAAACAGATGAGATAGAATTTATTGTTTGAGACATTCACAGATTATATGGTATACACCTTAGCCCGTGGTCATATTATGTATCTACCCAGCTTTGTTTATTGCATATCTCACACCAATTATCACTGCAGATCTAAAGATAGCCCATCAGAGCTGTTAATGAAGCACCTGGAATGCTCCATTTTGGCTGCCTGATACCAGTTTTATTCATCATGCACATGTGGAAATGGTACACACACTTTGAGCTGAGCTCTCTCCTTCCTGGAAAGAGTGCCAAGCCATGAAGCATACATGTGTGGATCATTGCTTTAACAATCACAGCACCTGGCCTGGTTCACTAAATAGGAAACCGTTCTAGAAAATTACTAAATTACAAGGACCACAAAGGACATCTCTCAGGGCAAATCTACAAAATAGTTATGTCCCGGAGTTCTTGCCGATGGTAACAAACATTTTACATCAGGCACTTATTAAAAGAAAACACCATAACTACTATAGCCTACTGTACATGAATTAAAGAAATCTAGTAAAGATCCCAGGTTGCACCTTCTCAGATGTCAGCCAGCCAGATGCAGTGGCAGAACTAATGTATAGAGGGTCGAGGTGCAAGAATTTTTTTGGGGCCGCCTCTTGCACAAAGGTTGCCCCATCTGTTTAACTCCCACATTGCTATGCATGCTGGTGATTTACCATTAGCCCAGGGCTCGACAAATCCCAGGTGCTAGGTCGCCATGGTGACTAGAAATTTCGCCCTGGCGTCTGGGATTTGCCAGCTCTCTAGTAAGTGTGGTCGCCAAGGGAACTTTGATGGAGGCCGACACGGGAAAATATCGGCGCCAGTCCTGACGAGCATTGAGGCAGCCACCTGCCCTGAGGAGCATTGTGGGCGGCGCGGAGGGAGCAGTACTCTGCCTGCAGCTGCTCTCTTGCAGCTGCAATACGACATCATTCGGGCCCCGGCATCATTACAGAGCGCGATGGAGCAAAGAGGAGCTACACAGGCAGAGTACTGCTCCTTCGCACACAGGAAGAGAGCAGCCCCACTGGACTCCAGGGAAGACCCACTCAGATCTCCCAAAGGTAGGGAGGCTGAATGGATTTAAATTAAAACAAAAATGTGTTTGTGAGCCTGTCAGGGTGTGTGTGTGTGTGTGTGCGTTAGCGAGCCGGTCAGAGTGTGTTTGTGTGAGCCTGTCAAGAGTTTGTGTGTGCGTGCAAGCCTGTTGTCAGTGTGAGTGCGTATGTGAGCCTGTCAGAATGTGTGTGTCTGAGAGCCTGTCAGAGTGTGTGTGTGTGTGTTTAGGTACCTGCCCCCTCCGATCGCATAAGGAAGGTGTTTTTACTCACCTTTTTTCCAATTTTCCCACGCCGTGCCAGTTTCGCCATGGCTGAGATTATCAATCTTTATGATCTCAGCTAAGCCAATGCTATCCCTTAAGAAAGCATTGGGAGGATTTTGTGCATGTGCAACAAATGAACCAATTTGCAGCTCCTCATAGAGGTGCATTAAATTAATGAATCTCTATGAGGAACATTCAGCGTCTCCATGCAGAGCTTGGAGACACTGAGCCTGGGTGCTGCACATGGTGCATCAATGATCCAGGACTCTCTAGTGGCCGTCTGAGCAATGTAAACTCTGCCTTTTTGCCTACGCAGCAATGTAAACTCTGCCTTTTTGTGTCCCTTTAAGAATTGCATTTTCTCGTAGAAAATGACTGGCTTCTAACTTTTTTAGCTGGCTCTTAGAGTCCAAACAAATTTGTCAAGTCCTGCATTAGCCCATCCTTGCATGGTTGGGAGCAGTGTTTGTGCATGTGAATGTAAACATATTTTTGTATAGAGTATGTGTGTGTGCATTTAGGGGTGTATTTGTATGTGGTTTGTTACCACTGAAATGTAGAAGAGGTACTTGTATGTAGTGTTTATGTTTGAATGCAGGGGTGTGTTTGTATGTAGTGTTGGCTTTTACATGCAGGAGAACGTTTGTGTGTAGAGTTGATCTTTACATATAATTTTAGTGTTTTAACACAGGGGTGTGTTTGTTTGTAATGTCTGCATTTGATTACGGGGTTATGTTTGTATATAGTGTTGGCTTTTCAATGCAGGTGTGGTTTTGGTGTTTGAATGAAGGGGTGTGTTTACATACAAACACAACCCTGCATCCAAATTCTAAAATTATATGCAATGTTTGTGTTTGATTGCAGGGATGTGTTGTATGTTGTGTTGGTGTTTGGTGGATGTATGCACATATACACTGCCAAATACATACAAACTTACACAGATATTCATACACACACGCCTGACAGACAGATATACACACTGACACATACAAACATGCCATACTATATATATATATATTTATTTGTAGCCACCCTCCTGTTAACATACCTTTTGTGTGCAAGTGGCTTCCTTGGGGTCCTGCTGATGCTGGGGAGGTTGATATGAGTGCAGCTGTCTCTCTCTTCGGTTCTCTCCACTCCTGTGCCTTTTCTGACTCCCTCTGATTGTGGGAGAAAGTGACCAGCTGTAGCACAAAGTGGAAGGCAATGCTTCTCTGTGAGAAACACTACACGTGCAGTACAGTGAAGGCCACACGTGCCCTGCCCTCCAATGGTTCTCTGTGAGAAGCACTGGATTGACTGGGAGACAGTAGGTACTGATCATCTCTTAGAAGAAGAATGGAGCTGCAGCAAGGGTCGCTCGTGGCACCGACGGACCAGATTAAATTTTGCCACGATCAAGCTTACTACAGCCCGCGGCTTTTGCGGCCTTCTCTCATCTTGCGGCGGCCATCTTGGATATCGCATCTCGCGAGATCTGGGCGGCCATTTTCACCTCCACAAGTATACTGGGACACACTGGATGCTCACACATACTTGTGATTCACTTGGTTTGGATATACTTACCTTGATTTGAGGACTAGAACTCCCATCAAGTCTCCAACTTCATCCACATCTGTCCACAGTATCCTGCTGGCTGGGGTCATTCAGGTCAGTACTGCTATATATTTGTGGCCTGCACTTAAGAGTCTCAATCCCTGTGCAACTGGGGTGAGCCCCCATTATTGTACTAAGGTACTGTGCTTCTGATTGAGAGGCCATCTGTTGCTACCTCTTCACTGGGTGAGCCCCAGTTTGATTTGGCCACCAAATTGTACCCTGCTGGGGTCTATAATACGGATCAATACCATATCCACATTGAGATATTGACGCCTGTTAACTTTGCCTAGCAAGTGACTTATCACAAGCCTACCCTATCACTATGCAAGATTCCCAGAATACCCCTGAGGACTTCCAATCTATGATTAATGCGGCTGTCGCCGTGTCTGTGGAGAAGGCACTATCCAAGGTGCTTCCCTCCACCCACAGACGGTCCCGCCATGAGTCAGACTCTGAGGCCTGGGACTCTCATGCCAGAGGTGACACTCGCCCGGCTAAACGTCACTGGAAAGGCGAGGGCGCTAGACCAAAGAATTCAAAGGGTAAGGCTCCTGCCAAACATAATATAAAAAAGATCCGTACCCCGACCCCACGTCAGGACCCCTCCTCAGAAGACGAACGAGCACTGTCACCCTCAATGTCCGTCCTAGACGAATGGCAGGCGGAATTATCGGAATCGGAGGTAAACGATTGGGGTTCGGAGGATAAATCTATCTCCGCTTTTATGCGTTAGACCATATTGGGTGCGGCCCAGACAGACATAGCGGACGATCCTGCGGAGGCAGACCTCCCTCTTGACTCGGACACCATCTTGGATCCTATGGGCCAAGCTATGCTTGACCCACGCAATATTCGAAACCCCCGGTCAGGGGAGTGGCCGCCTCCGGAGCACATTGCCAGATTTATACACATGTGGCTCCGTAAACCTCTGGACAAGGAGGTCCGGAGCCGACTACGGTCGGAATGCCCACGCCCTTCCCTGCCAGACAAAGTGGCTCAGACGCCTGAATTTGATAAGGTGATGTCGACCTTTATGATGAGGGGCGGACGTGACCCTCGTAAAGGACTGGAGAAAGGACTTTGGAGAGCACAGGACAAGCTGCTGTATGCCATAGGCCCCCTCTCCCGCATCATGTACAAGGCGGACGACGCCTATGCAAAAGCTGACTCGTTCACAGCCGATAATGTCAGGGAATGGGCACACGACATACGAGAGTGGGCGCAGAGATATTTCTGCTTTATGGGAAATGCTAACTTTTCGCTCTCTTCTGAGAGGCGAACAGCAGCACTATTGGTACCATAGATGGTAAATTGGCAGAACTAGGCACTAAGGAAATAGGGCCCCAGGCACAAGGAAGGTTGTTTGGAGAAGCGTTCCTCAAGGAACGAAATATGCATGTGAACGTATTTACGTCCCTCAACAAAGCGCAATCCTCTATGCGCAAAGTCTTAAGTGGTAACCCCGTGCCATAAGCCGTTTTTGGCCCTCAGGCCCCTGCTCCACCCAACCTCCACCATTCTATCCCTCAAGGGATTACAGGCCACAGTTCACCTACGCAAGAGGCTCGACTAGAGGTCGTGGACCTCGCGGACGTTCCCGCTTCACCCCAGGTGAGGTCGAGGTATACCGAATAGACCTCGTGGGGACCCCCGCGCAGGGTGCTCTACCACGCCCTATTCACTTCTCGGCCCACGACCGCCATCTCATCGACGTGGAACTCCAGGAACTGCAGGACAAAGGGGCCATCCAACTGGCCATCGATTTTGGAGGTTTATTCAGCAATATTTTTCTGATCCGGAAAAAGACGGGAGAATTCCGACCGGTAATCAATTTGCGAGACCTCAACGCACACGTCAGATATCGCCAATTCAAAATGGAGGGCATCCATCTCCTTCGGGACCTCCTCCGAGACCACGACTCGTTCACAAGACTAGACCTAAAGGACACATACTGGTCAGTCCCGGTGCAGCCGGACTGTCATACACTCCTGCGATTCCTATGGCACGGCCAACCTTGGCAATTCACCTGCCTCCCTTTTGGACTCAGCTCCACCCCTTGGTGTTTCACCAAGCTCCAGGGGCATCCGCTGCATTATCTACCTGGACGATATCCTCCTCTTCTGCTCCGAGGAGTTCAGACTGCGACAACACACTCGTTTCACCGTTTGGAATTGTTGGAATCCCTGGGTTTCGTCGTAAACCGCACAAAATCTGCAACGAGTCCTTCTCCGTCGATTCTATTTCTAGGTTTCTAGATCGATTCCATGTCCTGCATTCTGAGACTACCATCATCAAAGATCTTGTCTATTCGGAAGGAGATCCGCAAAGTCCTCCGCTGCGAGTCCATCCCTCTGCGCTACTTGGAAAGAATCGTGGGACTCCTTTCCGTATCCATACAGGCCGTCTGCCCCTGGTGGCTTGGACTCTTTCCGGGGTTCCTGGCAGGTCGGCGGACTATCATGGGCTGCTAAAGAACTCCTATGGCACTCCTGGGCTCCCGAGATGAGACGCTGCTACCTTTTGGCTTGGACCTCCTGGTCCGCTTGGTGCATGGAACGGGACTCAGATCCGTTTACAGCCCCTGTACCCACGATCTTGAACTTCCTATCTTCTTGATTTTTGGCGGGCCAATCTTATCGCTCGGTTAACGTAGTTCGTTCAGCAATTTCCGAGGCTCATACTCCCATAGGGGACCTCCCAGTGGGTAAGGATCCCCTGGTCTGCCACCTACTCTGGGGTATGCGACTTCGCCGCCCCCCCTACCCCCCCCGGGCCCCAAGTACACCCGCCTCTGGGACATCAGGTTGGTACTACGCTTTCTCAGAGACTGGCCTAACGAGGGCTTGTCCCTTCGGCAACTGTCTGCTAAGTTCGCTTTCTTGCTTTGCCTGGTCTCGTTTCGTAGGGTGTCCGATGTTCGGGCTTTCGACATGGATGCTTTTTGCATCGCCCAAGATGGTGTTACCGTCCGTATTTCTCAGCGTACTAAGTCAGATTCTACGTCGGTTAATTAACCCCTTTTTTCCAAATGACCCTCGACTGTGCGTATTCTCGGCCCTGCTTAGATACGTGGCCATCTCCGCTCCTTTGCGGAGCTCTGCTTCGGGTCAACTCCTCGTATCGTATGTTAAACCTCATGGCCCAGTATTGGTTACCACATTGGCTCGTTGGATACTTTCTCTCGCGGGGGTGGAACCCTCGTTCGGGGCTCACTTCCTCTGCCTTCTTGGCGGGCGCGTCCCTGGCGGATATTCTTCGAGCGGCGGATTGGTCACACGAATCTACTTTCCGTACCTTCTATTTTTGCACGCCTCCTTCGGCTGGGTTTTCTCTGCTTCAGCATTAAAAATGCAAAATAGGAAGCCTCCTGTCATGTTGTAAAATTGAAGATTATACTAGCTTTAGTGTACTAATAATTTTAATAATGGCAGGAGGCGAGTATTTTCCCTCCCTAACTTCCCTCCCCTGTCTCACCTCGGGGATTAGAGGTGAAGGTTTTGTTGATTCAATGTGATTCCTTGAGGTATGGTAAGCAAGCAATATCAGTGTGGCTTCCATAGCACATATAAATGGTGCTATGATATAGCACATATCAAAGGCAATAAATAAATAAATAAATAAAACAGTGTGACTACAGGCGCTTAAATGAATAGTTCTCCAATTTCTAGCAAAATAATATCCAGGAACACATATAAAATTGGGGAAAACACTTTGCCATTATGCTGAGCATGCCTTCTACTTGCAATAATAAGAAACACTTTCAAGATTTTGTGATATAGTCAAAATGCATATAGTAAGATACAGATTTTACACCTGGATAACCATCCTCCTTTCTCTCCTTTCTAAAATGTTTAGTCAGCAAATAGGGCAAATAATCCAAAGGTATAACAGCTGGGGATCTCACACCCCCTTGACACACAGTGACTAAGACAAGCAGACCAAAAAACCCGCCAAGAAACGCAGGTACAGACTAGCCACAAACTCAGTCAGACCCACCGAAGGGACGACCCCGGAACGGCAAGCCCTGAAACCTTAAGAGACACCCAGCCCCACAGGCAGACAGGAGGCAATAGGCCCAGGCAGCAACAGTCACCCCCAGACGGGGGGTGATACCCGAAAGATGGTTGACTATATAACCCTACGCCCATCCGCCCCCCCCCGTTTGAACTTTCTGTACCCAATACCAACCCTACGAAGATTGTTATGAATCGTATGTCATTGTACCATTCACTAACCCCCCTTTCCTTCTGTATCCCAAAAACAATAAAAATTGTCAAATTGAAAAAAAAAAATGTTTAGTCAAACAACAATTAGGACATACATGTCATGGCCTGTCCAAGATTTATGAAGGTTATGCTCCTGGGCAGCAGCTACTATTTATTGCTGGCAATTTAATTTCAGTCAACTTCGGGTAATTTTAAGGCTGGATATGAGACTACATTCTGCTATTCAAGCAGAGTTGTTGATGTTAGGGCCTAAGCTAAGATAAAATAAACACTAACCCTAAAATAAATGTAATAAAAAGGTACAAGTAAAATACAGTCAAGTCTGTGTTAACAGAAAATAATATCTCTGGGATAACCTGTTCCAAAAACATGAGTGTTGGCTGTTCAGAGAATTTTTGGTGAAATAATTTATGTACCGTATATACTCGCGTATAAGCCGAGTTTTTCGGCAAATTTTTTTGTGCTGAAAAAGCCCCCCTCGGCTTATACTCGAGTCACTGTCTGTATTATGGCAACTTACATTACAAGCTCAGCGGTCCTGTTGGGGGCCGGAGCAAGCTGTTACTTACCTTTGTAGCAGCTCCGGTCAGCTTCCCCAGTGTAAATCTTGCGAGACCCGCGGCCGTCAGAGCGCTGCCATGGGTTGCTCCAAGGTAAGTAACAGCTTGCTCCGGCCCCCCCACTGAACAGCCAATGCCACTGGACCACCAGGGAATCATATAGCCTCCCTCCCTGGCCAGGCAACAAGCAGGGAGGGGGGACAAATTTTTTTTTAAACAATTAAAATAATTATTATAAAGCCGATCATTTAATCATTCTAGTCCCTGATCCCTCTAGTAAAGTATCTTGGTGTGCAGTATTTTCTTGCATGGGAGGGAGGGAGGGGCGAGATTGTTTCAAGCCCAAAAACAGAAGACTCTTAAATAATAAAATAAAATATTAAAATAATAAAAATGCCACCCAAACACAAACACACTTTGCTTCATATACACACACACACACTGCATTATATACACACTGCATTCATACAAACACACACTGTATTATATACACACACACTGCATTCATTATATACACACACTGCATTCATTATATACACACACTACACACAAACACACTGCATTCATTATATACACACACTGTATTCATTATATACACACACTACACACAAACACACTGCATTCATTATATACACACACTACTCACAAACACACTGCATTCATTATATACACACACTACACAAACACACACACAAACTGTAAATAAATATTCAATTAATGTAATGTTTTTGGGATCTAATTTTACTTAGAAATTTACCAGTAGCTGCTGCATTTCCCACCCTAGGCTTATACTTGAGTCAACAAGTTTTTGTGGTAAAATTAGGGGCCTCGGTTTATATGCAGGTCGACTTATACTCTAGTATATAACGTAACTAAAATGTAATTTAGAAAACAATCATCTTTATTTCCACAGACCAATTTCTATACACATTGCACTTAAAAACATATTCCTGTGAATTGTACTACTGCGGAGCTCTGTTAAACACTCAAACACACCAAGAATATGGACCTTGCAGAAATGAGGGACATTAGGATAGAAACAAGGGACAGAAGTATTTCACACCAAAATAGGGACAGTCCCTTCTAACCATCCTTGAAATAGGGATAGGCATATATACTTATAAACTACATACAAACACATATATACAGTGGCAAGGAAAAGTATGTGAACCCTTTAAACTGCACTTAAGTATAAATTTGTCTTAAAATCTGTTTTGATGATCAACTAAGTTACGGTAATCAACAAACAATCCGTTATAGCTAGTAAAACACAAAATATTGTTCTTGTACATATGGATTATATCATTCAAATATTCACAGTATAGGTTGGAAAAAGTATGTGAAACCCTTGGTAAAGGACTTCAACAAAAGCTAATTAGAGTTAGATATTGGCAAACTTGGTGTCCAAATTAAGAGATTGGAGGTGTGGGTTAGACCTACTTTGAATTATAAAAAGCACTCAAACATTTTGTTTGCTATTATTATTATTATTGCCATTTATATAGCACTAACAGACTCTGTAGTGCTTTACAATATTATGAGAGGGGGGATTTAACTATAAATAGGACAATTACAACCCTTGGACCCATGGATATGGCTCCTCTCCAAGCCCCACAAGAAAACCCCAAGAGCCCAAAACAAACTGATCACTAAATTGCATTGGCCACAAGGAGAGGTATTGCAGAAAAATGGGGAAGTCCAGATGTCCCCTCTATAGATACAGTAAAACGCAAAGTACACAAAGACAGAAAAATGTACGGCCTATCTGCACTAATACATGACACCAAACACTACGACAAAATTTGGGAACCATGGTTACCAGATTTTCCTCTTCCTTCATGAAGGGCCGAGGCAAATACAAAAATCGTCCGCAGAGGCTTTCCTAACTCCTAAACCCCACCCCAAACCTACTACTCACCCCCCCCCACCACCACCTAACCACCCTCACCACACTTCTGTAACAACTAAAGCCATACCATGCAGAGAAAGCATCTGACAAGGGCCATCATGTCATACACCACTGCACAGCCACGACCAAACGACAACTAAGGTCTTGGAAAACCAGGACTATACACCTAACAAACACCATCGCATCAAAACCCCAACTAACCCCCACAGACTGACCTACACTCTAAAGGTCAAACAGGACTCAAAAGGAAAGCAACCCCAAAACCCTTGAAACAAAGGATTTATAAAAAACAAAGGAAAGCCCCCCCCCCCCCCCCGACAGCCTCTAACCTTCCCCCTCCCCAACAGTACCAACCTGCAGTTGCATTGAATACCCCACTACGCTCAGCCTATGGTTAAAACTTGCTAAATGTTAACAGTCTGAAGTATGTTACAACTGTCAGACAAAACACTGCGTATTGGAATATTTTGCATGTACTCATCAATGAGACAAATGTAAGATATGCATTGTAATTGAGCCTGCATTTTTACCCTTTTCCTCTTCTTTTCTGTATCCCCACCCCACAAAACAAAAACCTTGAAATAAATAATTAAAAAATATATATATATAGGACAATTACAAGAAAACTTACAGTCTATAGGAGGTGGGGAATAAAACACATCTGCTATTCACAAAAAGCGCTCAAGAAAGCTAAAAAGAAAAAAAAGAGTTCTTGAAGTCCAGTGATCAAGAATTGTTGTCTTGCATAGAGCTGAAAAGGGTTACAAAGTTATCTCAAAGAGCTTAGATATTTATCGGTATATTGTTAGACAAACAGTCTACAAATGGAGATGAATTAGTATTGTGGCTACTCTCCCCAGAAGTGGCCGTCCAGTCAAGAGGATTCAAGGGCCAAATCACAACTCTTAATGAAATCACTGCAACTGGTTAACATCTCTGTTTTTGAGTCGAATATATGGAAAATGCTGAACAGGCATGGTGTCCACTGCAATATACCAGGAAACAGCCACTGCTTTAATTATTATTATAGACATTGCTGCGCCACTGAAGTTTGCCACCATGACACTTTACCAGGCTACTGGGAAAATGTTTTGTAGACTGATGGGAAGACTGATAGACTTATGGGAAGAACATGCAGCACTATGTATGGCGTAAAAAAGGGGTACAGCATACCAATATGAGAACATCATTCCAACGTTTAAATAGGGTGAAAGTAGCATAATGATTTGAGGTGGTTTTGCCGCTTCGGACCTGGATCACTTGCAAGGATAAAATGAATTCCCAGGTTGTAAAGACATCCTACAGAATATTAATAGGGTAACTGTCTGCCAGCTGAAGCTCAGCAGAAGTTGAGTGTTGCAGCAGGACACCAACCAGAATGGCTTAGAAAGAAAAGATAAACTGCATTTTGGAATGGCCCAGTCACAGCCCAGACTTTAACCCCATAGAGATGCTGTCTAATGACCTCAAGAGAGCTGTTTACACCAGACATCCTAAAAAATGGCTATAAGGAAACAGTTCTGTAAGGAAGAGTGATCCAAAATTTCTCCTGAAAGTTGAGCAAGTCTAATCCGCAGCTACCATTAACGCTTGAATTAGGTTATTGCTGCCAAAGGTGGATCAATTAGCTATTCACTTACTTTTTCTGCAGCACTATAAATGTTTAATGTGATGAGTTCAATAAAGACATGAAAGCTTATAATGTGTGTGTTGTTAGCTTAAGCACATTGTGTTTGTCTATACTTGTGACTGATGAAGACTAGATTATGCATTTTGACCAATTTATGCAGAAATGCAAATAATTTCAAAAGATTTATATACTTTTTCTTGCCACTGTACACACACTACAAAAGGCAACGTGCACCATTGTTAGCTTGGAGAACAAGCAAATACACTGAATAATTTACTGATAGTGTAACAGAGCTCCCTGTACCCCGGCTGGGTACCTCTGCCAAGGGCCGCTTCCTAGCTGGAACAGGAGACAAACCGCATTGCTTCTGCCCCCCCAGTCGCCGTGACTTGACTGGGGTCTTAAACCTCTCTGTCCTGGAGCATGCTTGGGGACTTGCTCTATCCACGCAGCATAGCATGGTTCTACGGAACGAATGTGGAGGCAGCTGGAAGAGCTGTTTGACCGCTTCTGAACGGCCATAGAGGCAAGCAGAACTGCAACCCTGTCCCGGGATCTGATGGGTGGTCGGAGACGTGGAAGCCGGAGAATGATTGGGACACCCTCGGACGCAACCTTGGCAAAGAAGCCTGATAATCTTCACTCTGGCCCGTCTAGGCCTGAGGCCAACAAGGGTGCTGCGCCCGTGCATCATCCACGCAAGTGGAGAACCGATCGCCACAGGTGGCGAAGGAACAGCAAGACCTTCAGCTTTTCCCCAGTTGTAAAAGACTCAGACTCCAGGTGCCCCCGAGTTAGTGGCCCAGTGATGCCGACCTTCAATCAGGCCTGGAGCTGGGGGGATGACCTGGCTTGCTACTAGCTACCCACTACTATCTACTACAACCCTACACCACTGACACGATTCCCCATATTTGTTATCGGATGAACGAGCTCAGTGTGGTATCTTTTTTTTTCGCCACCCAGCGGATTTTCCCCCTATATGTCCGGACGCTTTCCTGATCCAACAAGCTGTCAAGTTATCAGATTCAGCAATTCTCCTAAACTGACTCATCCTGCAGACTGTGAGGAATTATACAATGTGTTAAATAATTATGTAGATTTCCTGTGAGAGGCTTGATGATAACATCCTTATTTAAAAAAAAAAAAAAAAAGATAAGATGTCTTACCCAACGTATCCTTCAAATTTTTAACAAGGGATCCTTTCTTTAAGCTATTCTTTCGTTCAACATAGTTTGATGGCACATATCCAGTTTTGTTTGCAGCATTCCTTACTCTCCACCACGTTTTGGAGTCATCAAGTAGCCACAGGCGTTCATTTTTCTTTATAGCAAGTTCTTGATCCTGTTGTGCCGTATAATCCCACTTGGCAATGACAATGACCTCCTCTGTCATCTTTCATGGAGTCAATCTGCCAAGAAGACATTAAAACCTTTGGTTTATTTACATACAATATATAAAATAAATAATATATATATATATATATATATATATATATATATATATATATATATATACACACGCTCCATTACACTACATTGTATAACAATTATTAGTTGAAAAAAATCCAGTAACAAAATAAACACAGTACTTTATAAATGTAAGCACATGTATTACAGAATGCATCATACATTTTCTGAACTTAAAGGGATACTCCAAGTTCCATGACCACTTTAATAACGTGAAATGGTCATTGCGCCTGGAGTCTGTATGTAGGCCGTTTTGCTGTAGAACGCTTAATGCTGCACATACAGAGTTTAACCTCTATGCTGCCGGAGGTGTAACTTCAGCAACATCTTTGTGGCGTCATCAGTAAGCCAGAAATAAGAATTTTGGACTGGCTAATGTGAAATCCGTGCAAATTTAGCACAGCATGTTACAGACAGCTAATGGCAGCACTTTCCCTTTAGCCACCCATTTCCTCCCCTAAACCCCTGGCATTCAGACAGATCAACGGAGGAGGAGCAGGTGGAGGGGAGAACTTGGCCTTGGCTCCGGAGCAGAGGTACATTTATGCAAGAGTTACTCTAACCAAAACCAGTAATTTTGAGTATTTTCTTTTTTTTTTTTAATGGATTTTGATTGGAGTAACCCCCTAAAGGTTTTGAAGAGTCATTAAAAATGTAATTCTGTGGAAACAAAGAACATTAAGGAAAAAAAAATGCCTGACACAGAGTTATTAGCATTAAAGGAATACTATAGTGTCAGGAACACACACATAAAACAAATGACTATTTAAGTGTCCGGCACCCCCACTGTGCAGTAAAACAGTGTTTAAGCTAATTTTTTCTTCCACACCGTGTGGGTCTTGCTGCAGCTGGCAATGCCTCTACAGCTGAGATCAAACTTTATGATTTCAGTCAATCTAGTGCTTTCCCACAGGAAAGTATTAGGAGGCTATTGTGCATGCGCGGCAAAAAGCTGTGCTGCGCCAATTAGCATCGCCTCATAGAGACGCATTGATTCAATGCATCTCTATTAGGAATGTTCGCCATCTCCATGCAAGACACTATGCAGCACTGGTCTAGGAAGCACCTCTAGTGGCCACTAAAGGTGTTCCTAGGCAGCAGGCAGAGTTTACATTAAAAAGCATGCAGGGACAGGCTATAGACACCAGAAACACTACGTTAAGCTGTAGTGGTTCTGTGACCATAGTGTCCTTTTAAATCATTCTTAGCCTTGCAACGACATTTAAAAACTAATGAAAAACACAATACAATAAAAACAAAATCCATAACTCAAAAGAAGAAGTACAGGAACACAAACAAAGCTTTGTGTGATGCATTGCTTCTGTTACTGCAGTTAATTTCTATGAAGCTTTAACCTTTACGTTATTTATTGAGGCAGACAGGCATATATTATGGGACATTTAAATGTCACAAACCTTTAGTTCCATAGGCTTAGCTCACTGAAGCGTGCATTTCTTGAATATGTGAATTAGGTAAACACATAAAACATATTTGAGTAAATAATTATGAATGATCTATCAAAAAAGGAACAAGATGAGTAGATTGTAATATTTACAAACCGATTAGAAGAAGAGTTACGTATTTTCCTATGTTATGAACTAAAGAAATGCATGATTTATAATGGTTTTACATTAACTTTAGGTCTGATGAAGTGTCCATTGTGCTCTCAACAAATCAAATAAAAATCATCACATTGACCATAAACTGATACATAATGGATTGAATAAATGTACAGCTTAAATCATGCTGTAGTGGTTATGATGCTAGAAGAGCCCTGGGGTTTAGTTTGACTTCTTACGTGAATTCGGCGGAGCACTACTCCCTGCCTCCTCACAGGTGGAAACTCTGCCAATGAGTTAAGCACGGTTGTTACTAAACAATCTGACTACTTCACTGGAGTGTACGCTGGCTTCATAACCAATACAAAGTGTTGTAGTTGTTATGGTGCTTAGATTGTTCCTTTAACATCTACCTTAAAAATCTCTAACTGCAAACTCAGATTTTTTGGCATGTGCAATGTGCTACAATGGTTTCTACCAACCTCATTATTAGGAGCATCAGAAAACAATCTTCCAGATCATGTCAAAGACTAAATCAGGACCTAGATCATCAAACCTGGCCCTGCAATTCAAGTAATAGCCCATCTGAGTTGTCAAACCCAATAGGGCAGCAAGCTGCAAATAGGATGGTGCTGGTTACTCATATATGATATTCAGAAAAAATATGTCTTATGTCCATTAAATAAGAAAAAAATCATTCATCACAAATATATTCTAAGAAATATATAGCTAGATGCTATATTCTATATGCTCGGTTTTCTGTATATATAATATACATGCTGTGTTTAATGGCCAGTGAAAGATTACTAGCCATTTATTTACACACATAATTAAATCTTATTTAGAATTATTCTAAATTATATAGATATTTCAAATCGAAACTAGCCCTGGTGAGAATAAAACCACCACTGGTGAGTAATTCTATGGTTTTCAGTGGCAAGTAACTTTTACTGTCTGGCTAGTAGCATACGACTAATTTTTTTTGCCCTGTTATATATATTGCATCACGTTGCATTGTGCAACAGCAGGTGTTCTGAATTTTAACTGACAAAAGAAGAAAAAGAAATGCACCTAAACTGCACAAAAATCTACAGGAAAACCACAATCTTGAAGCTTAAAGGACCACTATAGGCACCCAGACCACTTCAGCTTAATGAAGTGGTCTGGGTGCCAGGTCCAGCTAGGGTTAACCCTTTTTTTTTTTTTTTTTTTTAATTATAAACATAGCAGTTTCAGAGAAACTGCTATGTTTATAAATGGGTTAATCCAGCCTCCAGTGGCTGTCTCTTGACAGCTGCTAGAGGCACTTGCGTGCTTCTCACTGTGAAAATCACTGCCCGGCGCTGGAGAAAGAGGTAAGTTTAACCCCTTCCTCTCCCCAGAGCCCGGCAGGAGGGGGACCCTGAGAGTGGGGGCACCCTCAGGGCACTATAGTGCCAGGAAAACGAGTATGTTTTCCTGGCACTATAGTGGTCTTTTAAACGTGTGAGTATTTTACACAAGCCCAAAATTTTTGGCGCAAACACATATATTCCCAGGACATACTTGAAATTAGGGAAATGCCATTAGATCCTGCCTAGGAAAACATTCTAGCAAGTCTATATTCACTATGCACTTTATTTACAAAACAGTGAGTTGATAATATCAATATCAACATTCTAGATGAGACTTGGAGATATTTCCAATTTGGTTATTTCACCCTATATTTTGCAATTCAGAGTTTAATAAATAATCTCAACTATTTAGTGAATAAACTCTTGTGTTTTTCAAATAATATTTCAATTCTTCATCATTTCAGCCATCAGAACTATATTCTAGTCTGGTTGTACCGGTCAGTAGAGGTGGAGTACAAAGAAAAGCTAGAAAGTCGCAGCTGTCAACTAATCAGAGGGATTTCCAGTGGAAATTAAAGATGTACTGTAATTATAAATATGTTTCTTGAAGAAAAAACTACTAAATCTTTTTCTCTAAACCAATGTTGTAATTGTTATGATGCCAAGAGTACCCTGGCCTGGTTCATCGATAATGGTAATGATAATGTTTTTCCCTATTACCTGGGTCCCTGAGGCTCCTTTAGAAGCTTGAAGCCAATGATGGTCCCACTGTGCATCAATATCTGCACATAATCGGCATTAGCCAACCAGAGCTCTTCTGTGGGCTAATGACGGCCCAATGCCATAGCTATAGGTGGAGATAAACCTCTGACAGCAAAGGGGTTAAACTCAGTACATACAAACTATAGGCACCATGACAATTTCAAATCACTACTGAATAGCTACTTGAGTCTTAAATTTTAAATTCTCTTAGAAATTCTCATTTGAGAAAATAACCCTGATAATGGAGACTAAGCATAATCTTTAGTTCTAACTGCCCATTCAAAACAACAATTTTTATTTAGGTCTGTTTGAATTGGTAATAAAAATGGCAGTCAGCATAAGATAATTTGTAGTTAAGGGCATCTTGTTTTGTATGGAGCCATATTGGTTATAGAAAGACCATTTAGGACATACCTTCTCTATACTTCACAGTTACACACATGCATTAGCAGCATAGGTGCATATAATTAATCAATTTGAAATAACTCTTGCACACAGTAACTTTCTAAGAATCCCTCCTGCTTCATACCTGTGTAGTCTGGGTAACTTAATACTGAGAGTAAAAGCATAACACAGTTTGGCGAGATTACGTTTTTTTTAAATTGTGGTACGTTTGCTGTAAAAGTGAACATTTGCGAGTGCAAAATATTTGTGACATAACTACAGACAATAATTAGTGAAATAAGGGATTATATATATATATATATATGCAATTAAACTGTGAATTGTTTGGCATTTGTTAGTTCTTAAAATGGATTATAGTAAAAGAGTAAACAGAGAAAAGGGCACAAAACAATTATACGTGCATAAAAACAATTATACGTGGTAATATAGGCACCAATTGGGAGCAGTTCTGATAAACTGTTTTGTTGGATAGGAATTCTCCAAATAATAGAGTAGAGGAAAAAAAAGTATAATTCCCATAATTATAGAGTGCCTTTTATGCCAGTTACAACATACTCTCTTTTAAAAACGCACAGCAATTAATCTATACAATGTTCTAGCAGATTTCCTAGGCTATATATAGACTAGGAGAACGTGTTAAAAAATAGGTCTTTGTGGGGGGGCGGAGCCTGAACACCGAAGCGAACAGTCGCAAGCACGGAGAGCTCCGAGACTCACACGGGGAAAAACGCTCAGAATAACCTCCCTCACACCCCAACCAAAGGGCAAACACCCTAGGACCACATGGGGAGAAAAGGGAAGAAAACTATACCAAACAAGCCCACCCCGTGACACACGATCGGGGAGATGTGGAGGCAAACACGAGGAGCCACTGAAACAAGCATGGCGGCGTTACATGGCGGGTGCTCGGATTTCTCGGAGGATATGCCTGACGACGCAGAGGAGGAGCACCCACAGCCCTCTAACCCACTACGGAAGATGAAACACCGAGGACTGGAGGCAGGCTCAGAACCGATTAGCACAGCGGTCATGAAAGCACTGCTAGCAGATCTGAAAAAAAGCTTCCACGAAGATGTCACCGCGCTCTGTGCAGACCTGACAGGCCGCATCACCAAACTATCGCCACACTGCAACACACCATGCTAGACCTAAAACAGCAAACCCAGCAATACGAACACTGCCTCACTAATTTGGAGGATGCCAGGTGGAGCTCCAACATCAAAATCAGGGGATTCCCCGAGGACATCCCAGAGGCCGAACTGCCTAAACTTATGGAGCGCCAATTAACGACAATATTGCTAAACAGACAGACCACCATAACCACCTCAGAAGAGGTCTTTAGAGTCCCTAAACCAAAAAGCGCACCACCCCCAGCCACGAGGGACGTCACTGACACCCTCCGCAGCGGCAGAGACAAGGCAGTGATCATAGCTTCCCTCCGCAGCAGAACCACCTACCGCTTTGAGAGCATGGATCTCTCGTTTTATGCAGACCTGTCCAATGGCACCGTGGCCTGGTGCAGATCGCTCACCTCAGTACTCTGCGCACGCAAGATAGATTACCGCTGGCGGCCCTCCAGAGCATTGACAGTCCAACGAGGATCGAACATACACACTATCCGAGACATCCAGGACGCTCCGGCCATGCTGCAATCCTTAGGTCTGCCTCAGGACTCGTTACCCCCAGAAGGACCAGCTGACAACAATAAAAGCTCCCCAACCCGCACCCACATCTGGAATCCAGAATGGATCACCCCATTCATCTCCCAGAGCTCCACACCTGACACATACGCGGCGATCACAACCTAAGGACACAAGCCACTTACCCGCAGAAGACTATAACTCGCCACCAGAGCAAGGATGCAACACAACACTACAGAGAACACCAGCAAGGATCCATGCAGGCACAGACAGCTGCCAGACTACCTTACACCACAACATATGTACCCCAGGCTCTGGACTTCCCCCACTGCTGGGCAACCCCCTTCCCTTGCCCCGGCTAGGTCAGCTGAACAGAACCCTGTTGGGACTCAGGAGACTATTTTTGCTTTCACTGTACACTCCACAATTTTGGATTCTTGTTTTTTTTATTTTTTATTTACTGATGGCCCCAAGTAGGTATACAACCCAAATTTGAAACAAGGGGCACAACTAACATGGAGAACCGCAAAAGAGGACTTTGTACACCCCACCGAGTTCACGTCCGCACTGATTTTGGACCTGGCTCCACCTCCCCTAAGAGGCACCGAGCTGGACGCAACAATCTGCACGGTGGGACCGCGCTCAGCCCTGCAGGACGAGGGCCGACAGAAACCGGGTGATGAGACTCTCTATCGGGCAAGCTGCCTATTGCATATTTCCTAACCCAGATTAAATAACCATAGGTGCTCAATATAGGCTACAGAGACTCCACTGATCATTTGCAAGGGGGATCGAAGGGAGGGGGAACCATTAGCATTTCCACTTATTATTATCATCTATTTGCTTAAATGTCAACTGAACTTACAAAAGGCATACCACCCATAACACCGCATCTACACCCACACACTTCCAAACTTTGCATTAACCCATGTACACACCCCACTCTCATAACAAACACATTCCAGGGCACTAATCTACACACCTGCTCATGTAGACATTGATCCTATGCACCTACCACCTAAGCGTTAATTTTTTATTTATTTTAATGTCTGCATTTTTACACTCACATGATGTGTTATGAAGGGGCACCGAGGGGACCACTTTCACAAGAAATACTAAGAAAGCACAGCTGAATAGTCTGCAGTATGATGAAAGTTTTACACCCACTTATCACGCTAAAACCCTAGTAAAGCATAGCAATAAAGGTGTCCAACTATTGCCTGCGCTCAAAGTTACCCCACGTGTTACTTATTATTAGTTTATGCTCAGCAAGGCTTAACTCGCATATCTCCCTGGCATTCAAATACCACCTAACATGTATACTACATTTTAACACAAGAATATCTATGTCTCACAAAAATTACATTAAAGGACCACTATAGTGCCAGGAAAACATACTCGTTTTCCTGGCACTATAGTGCCCTGAGGGTGCCCCCACCCTCAGGGACCCCCTCCCGCCCGACTCTGGAAGGGGGAAAGGGGTAATAACTTACATTTTTCCAGCGCTGGGCGGAGAGCTCTCCTCCTCCTCTCCGCCTCCGATCCGCCCCGCCCCGCCGGCTGAATGCGCACGCGCGGCAAGAGCTGCGCGCGCATTCAGCCCGTCGCATAGGAAAGCATTTACAATGCTTTCCTATGGACGCTTGCGTGCTCTCACTGTGAAAATCACAGTGAGAAGCACGCAAGCGCCTCTAGTGGCTGCCAATGAGACAGCCACTAGAGGATTAGGGGGAAGGCTTAACCCATTCATAATTATAGCAGTTTCTCTGAAACTGCTATAATTATGAAAAAATGGGTTAAGCCTAGAAGGACCTGGCACCCAGACCACTTCATTAAGCTGAAGTGGTCTGGGTGCCTAGAGTGGTCCTTTAAGACAAAGATAGATATCATATGCTAGGTCAGATATGTCAGACATGCTTAGGAGAGATGAATATACGCCTCAACAAAATACTACTGCCACAGAGCTTAACTACTCTAACCTGGTTTTTTACCTAGCAGTGTACACCTGCATTATCTTCCTTCCAGCTGCTTAACTGCTAGTTTAAGCCCAGCACAAACAGCAACCACTCACTCCCTACCTAGCCAGACAAGGGTTATGTTTAACTGCCTCATAAATCAGCCTAGCATATACTTAATCCTACTGCCTTGTTTATTTTACGACTGTATATATCATGTTTTCCTTCTTGGTCCCTCCTTTGACTACTCTTCTCTGACATATGCATATTGCTAACTTACTCAAACAAAACGAGAACCTAAACTGTGGAAATATCGATTTCTTTAAACTTAAAATGTGCCAGACTATCGAATGTATAGCAAATGTTTGCCAATTTACCCTGATGTCACTGATGTGGCGCACCAAGTTTATGTGTTTATTAAGTGCACAACAAAATAATTTTATTTTTTTTATTATTTTTTTTAAATAGGTCTTTCTCGTACCTGCCAATCAATTCTTCGGCATAGACTTAATGCAAAGAATTGACCCACAAGGGAGAGCAGAAAACACCGCCCACATATAGTCTATCTTCTCTCCCAAATATAACAGCCACAGCACGGTTACTATGCTAACTGCTTAGCCAACGCTGCTAGTGTTGACTAGGGTGTATAGGAACAACAGGCATTCTGTCTGTGGCAAACGTGCCTATGCCACAAGCTCCTGGAGGAGCCTGCTAGCTAGCCTCCTGCCCAAAGACTATGGGCCATACACAAAGACCCCATTCAGGAGTTCACCTGCCCGGCCTCTCCAAGCAGCTTTGCCTCGCTGCACCTGGTTCGGCACTTTTCCTTCTTTGGAGCTGAACCAAACGCTAGCTCCATGGCGGCCGATCGCATGGAGAAACCCATGAATGGTCCTCAGCGGTACTTCACTCTGTAGGAGAGCTTTAATCACTTGAACCTGGATCCAGGACCCTGTTGCAGGGTGGAAACGAAGGTGAGACTCCGGCCAAGCTGCGGCAGCTAGGGACTGGAGCATTGCTGATGTCCTGGTGATCGCCAGGGAGCGTGTATGGAAGAGGTACCAAGTCAGGGTACCAGGCGGTCCGCCACACTGGCAAATGAAGCCAGTGTGTCGGGTTCACGGAGGACACATGCCCTGCTTGGAGAACAAGGGGCAGGGCGCATGAAAGAAGACTGCAGGAGGAGTGAGGCTGGACCAGAGTACCACCCACAAAAATGAGGAAATGGCGGCACTGGAATAGAGGGGAGTATATCTCAATATTTTACATTGACGGCATCGTGTATATCTGTGATACATGGATGTACTCAATGAATTTAGGGACTGCTTAGCTCCACTTAATATATATATATATATATATATATATATATATATATATATATATATATATATTCATTAAGTTGTCAGGAATATTATAATTTTTCTGAAGATATTACAATACCTATTCCTATATAATATATATATATAGGCCCTATTTAATCTAGCACCACAGAGAGTCCCAGGAGTAAGCATTTTCCAAGTAAGTGGATTAATCTCAACAGGCATTAGGTTGCTAGAGTAGAACCTGCTAAAAATGCGATACATTGACTGTGTGACAGGCTTATGCAATGTATGATCATATACTGTAACTAAACCCCTATTATTTTTGCCTAGATGAGGTGTTTTTTGTAAATAAAATGATTACATGCTGTGAGACTTGAAATTGCTATTTAGTGAATGAGTGAATGAGCTGGATCTTGTATGTATATATATATATATATATATATATATGCAATTTTATGCTCTGGGCAATTTCCTACTGGGAAACCATGGGTCCTGGCATTCATGTGAATATTACTTTGATGTGTGCCACCTACCTAGAGTTTGTTGTAGACAATGCCCTGATGGCATTGACCTCTTTCAGCAGGATAATGAACCCACACTGCAAAATTTGTTCAGCAATGGTTTGAGGATCAAAGAGTTCAAGCTGTAGCCTCGATCTCCAAATTCCCCGAATCTCAATCTGATTGAGCATCTGTGGGACTGTGCTGGAACAACTAATCTGATCCATGGAGGCCCCACCTCACAACTTGCCAGACTTAAAGGATATGCTGATAATATCTTAGTGCCAGATACAGCAGGACACATTCAGAGGTCTTGTGGAGTCCATCAAGAGAGACCTAAATGATATTAGGCTGGTGGTTTTAATGGTGTGGCTGATCAGTGTCTCATTAGTTTTTGTATTATATCTCCACTGTATTAAAGTAAAGAGTTGCGAAATATGGTGGTGCTATATAGATGATAATGTTGATAATCACACTGGAGTAGAACCGTTGAATAAGCAGACAACAGCAATATCATGGCTGCTAATTGTTTATTGATATGCCCCATTCACAGCATTTGACAAGTTGTAGATCAAGTATGTGCACAGTCATGGATTAGGACTCTCTATCAAAAGTTCTGAGTGCATATCACTGAATTTATAAGTAAATGTGTGCAATGGAAGAGGGGGTCCCAAGTAGTGTCTAACGCTACTGGATATTTAACACCTTTATGACGTTCCATGGCATCCTAAACATAGTAAGCTTTAATGCCATTAGGACAGCATGGAAATTCCTAATGTTTTGGTGAGCAAGGTTAAATCCCTGCTCACACTGGAAGACCTAAGTATCAATTGATACCTGGGGCTCCTGCTGTCAGCATGGGAGACAAATTTAGTGGCTCCAGAATGACCGATGAGCTGTATGCAGCACTGAAAGTTAGCTCTTCATAGAGACCTAAAAATCTATTATATGTGTATGGGAGGTTAAGCGTTAACTGCCAAAAATGATTTGAAATTATAAGCAAACATGTGAAAAAAATACTTTTGTCCCATTTAAAAAAAAGATTTTTCACACATACATATATAAAATATAACAGACCACTATTTCTGTAGAACAGTGCCAATGTTGTTTTTGTATTTTTCTTTAACGATTCCTATTTTGTGTAACTGTAGTATTTGTTAATAAGAAATGCAGCAATGGTACCAGTAGACTGCAAAGCTAATATTCATATTTGTATTAGACCTCATATTGCATGCTAGAATGCTTGCTGCAATGCCTTCATGCAAAAATGTTATTTGAATGTTGCACTGATGTTCCAATCGCGCTAAGCCGGTGAGCACAAGCTTTTTAGTTTACTAATCTATCTCATGCCGCAGAATTGACAGTAACACTTGCTACATATTTTTTGTTTCTTCTCTTTATTGATTCCCGTGTTTGAGACGTTGCTCTGCATAATATACACACAAAATGCAGTTGTTTCTTCTGATATCTACTACCCAATTGTACTTGTGTTTGGCTGTAACGATTATGTAACCTACTCCTACTCACCATCTATACCTCGGAGTAGGTTAACCGTTGTTTATATTTATGCCACAGTGAAAAGAATTACAAAATAAGAAAGCTATTTATGTTCTTTTAAAAACTATACATAATCGTATAAATCACCTTTGTTTTGGTTTAGATCTTGGACAAATCGCTTCTGTCCTTAAAGCAGAACTGTCATGCCGAACTTACCTTTCCCCAATCGATTCCTCTTCCCTCCCTCTCTCAGGATCTGTTCTTCATTTCTTCCGGTCTGCTCTAGTGTTCTTCAAAACATAATACAAAGTAGGGACTATTTTTCCTTATGTAGGTTTTCTACGCCTGACCAGCGGAGTGTGCTTCATTTCCTGTGGTCAGAGTGATTTCCCACAATTTTCACCTTTCCTCTGTGATCTTGCGATGCTTCCTGTCAGTATTCCTGAATGCGGACGAAACTACCGAATTTCGTCCTAACAGAATGAGAACAGTTTGTCCATTCGTGTTAGGATGCAATTCGGGACTTTGTTTGGATCAGAATTTCATTTGAATGAATGAAATTTTGATCTATTCGTGGCGCGGCTGCTAAGATTACTTAGTATTAGTAAATTCTGCTCCTACTCGCTATATCGCGAGGAGGGGCATGTCTACTAAACAGTCAGCAGCCTGTGGCTGCTCACTGTAAAAAAAAAAAAAAAAATACACTGAACGGGGGGACCTAGCATCTACCATCCCCCCTGGTCCCCACCCACGAGCGGCTGGTGGGGGCCCTAAATGAAAACGGGGACACACGACCTATTGTCCTGCCCTCCCACCTCCCCCCATGGGCGGCGGGTGGAGGCTGTGACGAAGTGCCCTTCGCCACTTGTGCCTGGAGAGGACTGATTGCCCGCCTCTTGCCCTGTGACTATGGCCCCTGGGATGTATTGCCCTTTAAAGACATGATTTGGGTATAATGGATTTGTGTTGTGCTGCTGCTGGCCCTTTAAGAACCATCTGGGGACATACTGTGGAGTTACTGGGTGGCCACCATTTCCTGTATCAGAAGCATATGGTGAGAACAATGGATGGCGGCCATTTTAACTCACAGATACTGTTTGGACTTTTCAACACGGTGCCATCTCGCCAGTATTTGGTGCACAGAGACATCGTGCAGTGGTTTTGGACTATACAGCAGGGGACACATTATACAGTGATTGTTTTTCATTTAGCCTGTATATGTTCTGCAGAATCTGCATTAAACTGTATTTTCCAAAGTACTGAACGGATCTGGGTGAATTTTGGATATGTGGTTCACCCAGATCCCCCGGTTCCAAGGATATACTTTATACTTTATGGGGTTATTGCATGTTTTGGGGTCCCTGTGTGTTTTATGAAACTGTATTATTTCTGGCCAGCAGATAATTGAGCTTTGTGTATTGTAGAAACTCAATTATCTAGCCTGGCCCAGAGGAGGAGTTTTGTGTTGCATAAATTGTGAGTTCTGTGTGCCAGTAAATCAATCTTGTTCCAGCATTAAGCCTTGGCTCATGTTTGGGGGATTGGAGAAATACACTCTGGGGATTGCTATAATCACTATACTCCCCAGGGTATGATCACTAAGTTCTGCTAAGAGCTTATTCCTGCTCTCTGGGGAAAGAGAGGTTCACCCACTGGAAGCTGGATCCTGGCCTTGGGTCCATGGTGGGTGGAGACAGCAGAGACCCCAGCGCAGTTGCATCGCTGGAAGTGGGGTCTGCAGTGCTGATGGTGTCGGTTGGAGTGCTTGGAGTCCTCGGCAAGCGCTAGGAGCATCGATTGGCGGAGGTACTCAGTCGGAGTGCCAGCGGTCCGTCACAGAGGCTAAATGTAAACACCCCCCCCCCAGGTGACTAGGGGTCCCCAAGCCCCTAGTCACCCCCGCATCCCAAAAAATAAATCCCTACCTACCCCCCTCACCCTACAAATAGTGAGGGGGGGACAATAAAACTAAATACCTGTAAATAAATTTAAAAAAAACCAAAAAACTTACCATTTGATGTATTTTCTAAAACCTTTTTTCAGCCCCCAAAAGGCCAAAAAAAAAAATAAATAATAATAATACCCGTTGAACTTTGAAAATAAAATTAAAAACCAGAGCACAAAAAAAAAAAAAAATGTGGCAAATTTTTTTTTCCAGACTCTGAAAGGCACGAAATAAAGATGAAAAAATAAGTTACGGGGGCTTAGGGGCATTTGAGAGTAGCTAGGGGGACAATTTGATGCAGTGGAGTTGGGAGGGGGTTAAAAAAAACAAAACTGGATTCCACCATGACAGTGCCGCTTTAAGGGTTAACCTTCATGTACAGTGATGCACCACCAAGAGATTTCCTAACTCTGGCCCTGTACAGGTAAACTACATCACAAAGCATAAATAGTTATATACATACCTACTGACATTATCACTTATATTTATTCCTAAAATAATTCTTCCACTAACAAGTGATCTAGTGACCACATAACAAGATAGGGATTAGTAAACAGTCATTTACTGCCACAGTGACTGTCTGAAGTGTCATAGATTCACTAACACATCATTACACTGGTCTAGACAAATGTTCTCTGTAATAATGGCCTTCAGCCTGAGTAAAGCTGATATAACTTAATTCCACTTGGATATGTAACAAAACAGAATAAAAGCTTCTATTATGTCTAAAAACTGTGGCCCTGGCCTGCTATGACTCATTAAACAATGAATGTTACAAAGCAAAATCGGGATTAAAAGGCAAACACTTTTGCAATGCTTTCACATGAATATTTGTACTATTTAAGAGGTTACACCATTGTGTATTGTTTGGATAAAGGGGACACAAATGAAAGGAACTGATGTGGATTGTTTTATTTAGATACATATGCAAATAAAATAAATACTTGCACTTAAAGCTCCTAAAGCTGCTTCACTAGCACAGCCAAGTGTCAGCAAAAGAAACGCCTCCCTGACCAGGGTCTAACAATCAAAATCCTCTCATTTTAGTCTGAGATCTGATCTTATTCCACAAACCTCTATCCAGCTGAAATTTTATCCCCCAGCCACTGTGCCACTCACCACAGAGTGTCATGTACATAAGCTCACACAGAAAAGAGTGAAACAAATATTCCTTTTAACGCATCATACCCATATGGACTCCAGAATGTAAAATTGATGGTTTCACAATTCCTGCAGTTGTGTACCACTCTCTGCAAGTAGACAGGGTGCAACGTACACGCTACATCGTGTGTGTGTGTATATATATATATATATATATATATATATATATATATATATATATATATATATATATATATATATATATATATATATATTATAAAATAAAAAACAAATGTAAATTTAACTGCATTCAAAAAGCATCAATCGCGAAACACTGTTTTAAGAACAGTTAAAACAAGCTAAAACTCAATATCTTGTGTCTGCTGGCAAATCAAATCGATAAAAAAAAAAAAAAATGTTCTGCATGTCACAATAACTGGTTTTAAAACTCCCACTGTCATAAAGAATGACTCATGAGTTAAAGTCACTCTAAGAGTTGGTGAAAGGTAAGGGCAGTGCTACAATCAATTACGTGTTTGAATAATTTCATAAGTTTCCTAAAAGAGACACTTTGATTTAAAAGCAAGATCCATAATTAAATAAAATGTCTATTTGAAAATGCATAGAAATACAACAAAAAAGCATAACTAGAAATTCAAAATAGTAACAACACAAATTAGAATATAAATACAGCCTGACAAGATATGTTATGTATAAGAACAATGAATATAACAATCCAATACGCAAACTCTCACCGACATGAAATGTTACAATGGGCCACACCTCAAATCTGAGTTGTAACGAGTCTGATTAATAGACAGCTCATTCTCTGCAAAGTAGCAGTATTCGCTGTACTTACAAAGAGTATCATTATCTGTTATCAATTTTAAAGACCCTTGAAACATCATCCCACTCTTCGCTTAAAGTGAAATTTTAAGCACTAAATAAAAAAATTCATCTTTATAAAGCGAGTTTTGGTGCATAGACCCCGACACTTTTTTTCTGACAACATACAACACTTCAGTTTAAAGGGGCACTATAGTCCTCAGAAAAACTAAAATAGTTCCCTTCAGGCTTTTTTTCATGCAAACACTGTCTTTTCAGAGAAGAGGCAGTGTTTACATTGCCTGTAGGGATACCTCCAAGTTGCCACTCCTTAGATGGCCACTGGAGGTGCTTCTTGGGTCAGTGCTGCCGAAAAAGCAGCCCTGACCTTCGGCGTCCCTACGCTCTGCATGGAGACGCTGAATTTTCCTCATAGAGATGCATTGATTCAATGCATCTCTATGAGGAGGTGCTGATTGGCTAAAACTGTGTGTCTAGGTGCTGTAGAGAGTGTGTGTATAGGGGGCATAGTGGGATGTAGTGAGTGTGTGTTTAGGGAATTTAGTATGTGTTTGCTTACAAGGAATCTAGTGTGTGCATAGGGGATCCAGAGTGTGTATGTCAGAAATGTAGTGTGTGTGTAGGGGATCCAGTGTGTGCATAGGAGATATAGTGAGTGTGTGTGTGTGGGTATATATAGAGGATTCAGAGTGTATATAGGGATCTAGAGTGTGTATATGTGTAGATGATCCAGAGTTGGGTAAGGGATCTAGTGTGTGTCTGTAATGTAATGTGTTTTGCGGTGCAGTACGTGTGTCAGGGGTTCTGTAGTATATATACATATATGTTTGGTATATATACATATAAGTATTGTGTGTGAGTGGTGCAGTGTGTTTGGAGGCTGCTGTGTGTATGTGTGCAGTGTGTATGTGTGAGGGATGTAGTGTGTATTTGTGAGGAGTATAGTGTGTGTGTGTGGGGGTGCAGTGTGTGTGTAGGTGTAGTGTGTGTGTGTGAGGTGTGCAGTGTGTGTGTGTGATATGTGAGGGTGCGTGTGTGTGAAAAGTGCAGTGTGTGTGAGTGAGGGTGCTGTGTGTGTTAGGGTGCTGTGTGAGATTAATGTATGTATGTGTGTGTGAGGGTTATGGGTGTGTGTGAGTGTTTGGAGGGATTGTGTGTTGGGGGAGGCAGGTTAATGGCAATATATATGTATTTAAAAATTTTTTTAAATAAATTGGCATTGTATCCCCCCTCCCTTCAGCCTGGGAGGGGGGACCGTGCGGCTATCCCTGATGGTCCTAGTGGTGAGTGATCTCTCTCTCGAGACCCATGGCAATGCTCCGGATCTCACGAGAGAAACCCGGCGGAGCTGCAAGATAATACAGCTACTGCGGGTCCGCTCCTGTCTCCCTCCCCAGCCAGCGGCCACAACACACTGCATGTGGGCCGGTGAGGGAGATCTTTGATGTCATGAAACACAGCGGGGCCGGCGCTCAGATAGCGTGGTCCGTGCATGGACCGGCCGGGGAGATCCTATGACCTCCGCTGCCGGCCCTGCCCCGCATGCTTTTAAACAGACAGCCAATAGAGGTCTTTCTTTTGAAGATCTTCGATTTTTGACTATAAAAAAAAAACAGACTGATACAAAACATGCCCTCATTTCAAACTACCACACTCTTTCAATATGTACCATTAAGGGCTTACTAGCATCCATCCTGACACCAGCACAGCCTTGGGGTAATTGTTCGGTATGTATCAATGAGCAGTATTCTATACATAGTGTTATATAGTAGTATAGGTTAAAAAAAACAAAAAACTGAAGTGTATCAAGTTCAACCTTAAAATCCATTATTTAATGCTGTTCATCCAAAAGAAGAGAATCTCTTTAGAGAACTCCAGATCTTTAGTGTTCTTACTGTAAAGACCCCTTTCCTTTGCTGTAAGTGAAAAACACCTTTTTCCCCCCCAATCTCAACGAAATTAAAATGGAATTAAATATTACTACTGATGAACAGATAGTGGTTTGTACTAAGAAAACAAATGCAGTTTTTCTATCCTTTCTAAATAAATGTTTTTCATCCACTTTAATAATTTTGTAGCTAGGTTCTGCACTTTTTCTAGGTCTGCAATATCCTTCTTTAAAACTGGTGACCAAAATTGCATTACATATTCAAAGTGGGGATCTTACCGTTAATTTATATTTTGTTCAAAACAAATTCTTGAATACTAACCTGTTAATGCCGTTAGGGAGTACTATTTAATGAGCCTAAATGCAGTTACTTACCTGGACCGGTGATCAGCGGCGATTCTGGTCTGGGGGGTCTTCCACAGGAGACAGGCAGTCACCCTGCTTCCATTTCGGCCCTCCAGGGCCATGTGATCGCGACGGACGTCGCAATCACATGGCCACAAAGCAGTCTATGAAACTGCCTGCAGGGGGACTGCCTGAGTGCACCCCCTGGTGTCTGAAATTAAAAATAAAGTTTTGGGCGGTTTGGGCATTGATCTCTGCCTAGTGTGAGAGTAGAATTTTGGGTAACAGGTGCCCTTGAAGGCACATTATAGCCTCTACTTCTATCTTGATTAGGCTATTTTTTACTCTATTTATTCTAACCAATATTAATTATATTTCTCTCCTCCACTTGAAAGCAGATATGGGTTGCAGTAGCACACCTAGTTAACTATAGGTGTCAGCTCTAATGCACATATTGTTGCTGTGATAGAAACTGCAGCTACCCATATTCTCACCATATTATTAATTAATCATTAAGATCTAAGACCTGGAACTTCAGCCCAGCACAAATGTACGTTTTTGTTTGTGCTCACATAGACAGATACTATCTTGAGATTTATTTTTGTTTTGTTTTCTTCACTGAATTATATATATTTATTCATATTCAACGTGTACATTTATCTAATATATTTACATAATTAATTATAATTTAAGGGACCTGACTGACAACCCAGGCAGAAAGTCCATTGGATTTAATTTACAAGCCATATATTTAACCCTGTTACTTTCCATAACACCATGAGACCTGTACATTCGTGAGACTTCGCTGAACACAGATATGAGTGTTTTAAAACACTAAAATTTGTAATGATGATATCATCAGTAAAAGTGCAGTTTTTGTGTGGAAAATGCAAAAAAAATAAAATATGAAAACTAACTTGGGCTTGCGTTTGTGACTAAAGTGGCTACTACAAAAGTCTGGGCATACCCCATTTTGAATACCCTGGGTTGTCTACTTTTACAAATGGTATGCCATACTGGGGTTAAAGGTCCACTATAGTGACAGGAAAACATACTCGTTTTCCTGGCACTATAGTGCCCTGAGGGTGCCCCCACCCTCAGAGTCCCCCTCCCGCCCGGCTCCGGAAAGGGGAAAGGGGTTAAAACTTACCTTTTTCCAGCGCTGGGCGGGGAGCTCTCCTCCTCCGATCCTCCTCTTCTCCTCGCATACGGCTGAATGCGCACGCGCGGCAAGAGCTGCGCGCGCATTCAGCCGGTCACATAGGAAAGCATTCATAATGCTTTCCGATGGACGCTGACGTGCCTAGAGTGGTCCTTTAATTCATTGACTGCCATACAGTCCCAAAGGTAGCTTAGGCCCAGCAAACCAACCTTGCAAATTTCAATGTGTAAAATTTAAAAAGGTGAAAGCCCTATATTTGATGCAGTAACTCTCCAAAACACCACAAAACCTGTACATAGTGGGTACTTTTGTACTTGTGAGACATCGCTGAATACAAATATGTGTAATTTATTGCAATAAAAACTAACAGTATTATGATATTAACAATTAAAATGCCACGCAGAATTTGAAAAATAACAAAATTGCTTAATTTCAAGTTTTTTTAAAATTTTTATTCATATTAAATTATGTTTCATATATAAATATTTGATATAAAATGAAAGCCCTGTTTCACCTTAAAATTATATATAATAAGTAATGATGTCCCGAACGGTTCGCCACCGACGGCGAACATATGCGCTGTTTGGTCCGCCCCCTATGTCATCATTGAGTAAACTTTGACCCTGTACCTCACATTCAGCAGACACATTCCAGCCAATCAGCAGCAGACCCTCCCACCTCCCGGACAGCATCCATTTTACATTCATTGTGAAGCTGCATTCTTAGTGAGCTGTCCAGGAGGTGGGAGGGTCTGGGAGGGAGGGTCTGCTGCTGATTGGCTGGAATGTGTCTGCTGACTGTGAGGTACAGGGTCAAAGTTTACTCAATGATGACGAATAGGGGGCGGACCGAACAGCGCATATGTTCGCCATCCGCGGCAAACCGTTCGGGACATCACTAATAATCAGTGTAGGTGTACTTAATATGAAAGAGGTGAATTATGGTTCAACAGACATGTAGCGCAAATGCCAGGTTTTGTTTTTATCACAACTGACTCCGTTCTTAAGGGGTGAAATATTTTCCCAACCACAGATGCTAAAACTACATTGAAAATGTGTGTACTGGAATATCCAGCCTACCTTTATAGGTTCCCTACCACTAAATGATATAATATAGTCTGTAAGAAATCCATCGCCAAAGTTGCAGATCAGAGGCATACATTATCAAACTGTATATATTATCCAATGCTAAAGATTTTAATTCTGTGATGGTCAGAGCAGTGGATTCAGACTTAACAGCAGAATAAATCTATGAATGTAAGACCAACTGTAAATAACTGTGTATATATACAGATGTAAAACATTGTAACCCACTATATCAATATATAAGTGATGTCTTGAAACTTTGTGCAATGACTTCCACTTCTATAAAAATAAAAAAATGGAGCAATCTAAAAATAAAATATATCTGGCATTTGTTACCACTGAAATAATTGTTTTTATTTTACTCTCAATCTGAATACAACTGAAATATTATTCTAGCAACCTTGCAGCAAAGTTTAGGGGAGGTAGAAAAAAAATAAAATCAACTATGCTGCTACCAATTTGGTTAGCACAGATCACTGCATACGGGAATAAAGTAGATGAGTTGGTAAACAGTGTCTAGTGGTCTATTCTGATGGGGCATCATAACTCCACGTTAAGATGTAGTATATGTGGAATAGGCAGCATGAAACACTGATGCAGAAATTAACCCTATTTTATTAGGACACAAACGTGTGAGGGGAGAGAGTAACATTGCTTGTGATCTCTCTACAAATCTGTTAACCTGTCTGGGAAGCAAGCAGGCTATGAGCTACTCCATGCATAGTGCTTGGGCCAGGGGAGGGCTTATGGTTACATAGCAGATTATAACACTTTCTGTAGAAATATAAACTTCAAAGAAAAAATAATCTAGGTTGATGGTGAAAAAAAGATGCAAATCCATAAAGTTCAACTTTTTTGTGCCTCACTATTATTTAATCCTTGCAGCACTGTCAATCAGGCCATGTGCACTTCCAGTATCAAGGATAAGGCACTATCACTGATAATGCTTAATGGTTGAGAAAATGGGACAAGATAGAAGTAGTTGTAAACATGTTAAGTTTAAGGTAATCTGCACTTGTAAGATCTCTTCTGAATCTAGAGCACCATGGAGACACTCCAGTAGTGTCTAAGGCCTAACCCGTGTGTGTATATAGAATAGAACTGTAACACTCACTCACAAAAAAGAAAACTTTGTATGTGGGTGTTACCTCGGAAAATATTATAAAGTACACAATCATAGAATAAACACTTCACCAAAATCTAATAAAGGTCAGGTTTGGAATCCAAAGCCTACTAGGCTAAGCCTCTGACTATTGAAGACTGTGACATGAATCCAATGTCACTGTGACATGAATCCAATGTTAGTAACTAACTAATCAAGCTTTATTAGTGATTGCCTATGTAGAGGAGTTGGGTATGAATGAAGATTTCTAAGTAGGAAGGAAGGCAGGGAGAGGGCGTGATATCTACTTTGAAAATTCTGAGGTAAGTATCTCCTATACGTAGAGACTGATTTTGAGGTTTATAAATAATCGTAAATAGAACTAATATGGAAATAGATAGTTGCCCAAAATCCGCAGTCACACCTTCACTGTATTAGAGTAAGTAGAGCCAGTATAGTAGTTTAGACTTTTCTTAAAATCTGCAGCCACACATTTAGTTCCGTGGAATATACTAAGCATAGGATAAGTTTGAATAGAATTTCAGTGCTCACTTTAAAGGAACACTATAGTCACCTAAACAACTTTAGCTTAATGAAGCAGTTTAGTGTATAGATCATGTTTCTCAGGTTTCACTGCTCAATTCACTGCCATTTGGGAGTTAAATCACTTTGTTTCTGTTTTAGCAGCCCTTGTCACACCGCCCCTGGCTCTAATTGACACAGCCTGCATGAAAAAACTGGTTTCACTTTCAAACAGCTGTAATTTACCTCAAACAATTGTATCTCTTTCTCTGTAAATTGAACTTTAATCACATACAGGAGGCTCTTGCAGGGTCTAGCAAGCTATTAACACAGCAGGGGATAAGAAAATCTAAATTAAACAGAAGGAAGGATAAACTGTAGAGAACTCTTTACAGGAAGTGTTTAGGAAGTCTGTGCAAGTCACATGCAGGGAGCTGTGACTAGGGTTCATAAACAAAGTGATTTAACTCCTAAATGGCAGAGAATTGATCGGTGAGACTGCAAGGACATGATCTACACACCAAAACTGCTTCATTAAGCTAAAGTTGTTTTGGTGACAATAGTGTCACTTTAAGGTCTCTACAAGTGTCTCCAGTATTGAGACAAGCAGAGTATTAAAGGTAGAGCTGTTATAATGATTAGGCCCTTGATCAAAATCTGCAGCCACACATGTAGTTCATTAGAATAGACTAAACAGGATAAGATTTAATAACATTTTAATGCTCACTTAGGGTATCTACAGATTTATGAAGTATGTTGAAACAAGTTGAGAGATTGTTCTATTAGTCATAAATGAGCCTCTTTTGCTCGTTAGATATCAGCTCAAAATTATTCAACCTGTAATTAAATCACTTAAATAGATGGAAAAAAAGTAGATATAGATAAAGCCTCTCTACCTTTTAATCTTACTAGATAGTCAGAGGAATGAAGGGAAAAAAAATAAAAGTTTTAAAGGACCACTCTAGGCACCCAGACCACTTCAGCTTAATGAAGTGATCTGGGTGCCAGATCCAGCTAGGGTTAACCCATTTTTTTTTTTAATAAAACAGAGAAACTGCTATGTTTATAAATGGGTTAATCCAGCCTCTAGTGGCTGTCTCATTGACAGCCGCTAGAGGCGTTTGCGTGCTTCTCACTGTGAAAATCACAGTGAGAAGACACAAGCGTCCATAGGAAAGCATTATTAATGCTTTCCTATGAGACTGGCTGAATGCGCGCGCAGCTGCTGCCGCGCGAATGCGCATTCAGCCGAAGAGGAGGAGAGGAGGCGGAAAGCTCCCCGCCGGCGTTGGTAAAAGGTGAGTGTTTAACCCCTTCCTCTCCCCAGAGCCCAGCAGGAGGGAGACCCTGAGGGTGGGGGTCACCAAGTTGGCATCAGACACGTAATGGCTTTCCTTCAAACATGTGACCCTTCACTAAGAGTGCATAACTTTGTTGCAAAATTACTTTCTCTAATTTTGACTCACAATTATTTTCTTTTTGAAGGAAAGCACTACCACCAGGTGAGAGAGATCGCTATGGGGACGGCTTGTGCTCCCTCAAATGCCAACCGCCACCTGGGCTGGTGGGAACAAAATATTGTGTTTGACCAAAAACTGGTTTTACAGTAAATACGTCAAAATGTGGAAGAGGTATATAGACGACATACTGATCATCTGGACAGGCACTAGAGAAATCTTTCAAGATTTTGAAATTTTGATGAGCTAAACATCAATATTATTAATCTAAAACAGACTTTTGAGGTTGAGGACAAAAAAAACTTAACTTTCTAGACTTCTCTATTGAATTAACAGAGGAGAACCTCCTGGCCACAACTTTATATCGAAAACCCACTGCCACTAATAACGTCCTTAATTGGAAGAGCCACAATCCTACGGTTCTTACAAAAGGAATACCAATAGGGCAGTACCTTTGGCTGAGGAGATATTGCTCCTCAGTAGAAGATTTTAAAGTTAAGGCCAAAACCCTTAGAGAACATTTCAAGGCGAAAAGGTACCCAAATAGATGTTTGAAACAAGCTTACTTGAGAGTCTTACTGACTAAAAGACCAAACCTTCTTATTGAGGCACAACAAAACAGATCTGAACAATCTTTAATTAGATGCAGTGGTACCTTTGATGCTGGCTGGTATGCCGTCAAGAACACACTAGACAGATACTGGCCATTACTACACCAGGAAAATTGTAAAGCATGTAAGTACATTCGCAGATATTTTAAGACCTCTTCAAATTCAAACGAAGCAGAGTCCTTTACCACCAAAACTTTCATCAACTGCCAAACCTCAGATATAGTGTACCTATTGATGTGTAGCTGCAACTTAAAATACGTGGGGAAAACAAGAAGAGCATTCAAGAAGCGCATTCTAGAACATGTCAATTCAACCAATCCATGCAGACTTATTGACACCCCAATATCTAAACATTTAAAGTTACACCATGGGGGTTCTTCCCAAGGACTACGATTCAGCAAAAAATTAAAAAATAAATGTAGGCCGAAGGAAAGGTGACCTAGACAAAAAACTACTCCAGAGAGTGTTTCTGGATTTACAAATTAAAAACGCTATCTCCATCTGGTTTGAATTAAGGTTTTTCATACACTTCATTCATATCTGATTGAAATTACTTCCACATAGATTACAATTCACTTTAACATATACTTATAACAAAGCATACTATCACTTTTCTACAACCAAAATACCTTCCTTATGTTTCCCTCTGTAACTATACCCACTTTGTTTATTGACCTGGTTTACATATACATACCTTTAATTTTATTATGGATAGGATTGGTGCTAAGATACACAATATAATTATATCTAGAGTTGTAATAATCTTTTTGACATAGGGAAACCTGGTATTATTACCATTAGACTTTATCTTTATTGTCTGAAATTATCATGAGCAAATAGCAGTTACTTTTATAAATATATAGTTTGCTATAAACTATGGGACGATAATGTAATAAGTGAGCTACACACTAATATGAGCACATGAAAAGGTTAAAACTATACCAGGGGTAGGCAACCTATGGCACATGTGCGATGCACGGCACTCGAGGTGTCTTTGCACAGCACTCAAGGCTGCCAGAGCCAAACAGGGTCTGGCCTATCAGAAGTCCCAGTGAAACTTCAGATATCTGCTAATACGAAAAGGTGGTTAAGGAAAATCCTCAATTTATGCATTGCAACACGTATGGGAATTCACACTGGAGTAGAGCAGCCTGCAACTGCTGTTGCAGCTCCTGTCCTTGACCTGTACCTGGCCAGCCTGGTCCTCACTGGAACCCAGGGAAGCCACCCACACTGCTTTATATACACAGAAATGCAGATTAACCCTCCCTCATTCAAATAATACTAACAGCCTACACACAACCCCACACACAGTCCGCACAAACGTAACACTACTAACAATCCACATACATGCACACAACCCCACACAAGCAGTCTCTCACATGCAATACCCCAAACAGCCCCACACATACACACACTACGAAACTCACTATGTGACATTTTCATCCACGCACACAATTCCACAAGCAGCCCCCATACACAGCCAACTTTCATAGGTATCATACACGATACCACAAACTACTCCTGAACATATACAATATAATAGCTCATATACACTCAAATACAATGATACAAAGCAACTTCAGTATAAATAACACAAGCAGAATACGACAACATAGACACCCCAATTTAAAAAAGTAGGACCGGCACGCTATGGGCCATCACAATCTTATTTTGGCACAGTGCTGCTAAAACGTTGCCTACTTCTGAACTATCCCTTACATACCTTGGATTTATTTATATATGCTCCATCCATCTAAGTAATAGAATAAACAGTGCATCACGATGTCGGTTTACCATTCTAACCGACACTGCTATTATATTGGTTACATATTTGATTTGATAATCATTAAGGTGGAATCTAATACTCAGTCAAGTCCTTTATCCAAATCAAATAAACACACAGATAAGTAAGCGTCTCTTGGTCCCCATCGTCCGCAATGGCAACACCAGTCCGAGTGTTAGAGATACCTAGATTCATCTAATATGAGGCATAGTGATAGTGAACATGCTTCGAAATAGACAGTAATTGTATGCTTGAAACGTAACAACTCCGGAATTCAGCACGGCATTGGAAATTTGAATACAAACAAGACTGTAATACAAAGATATATTTGACACTTTATTTCAAATGTAACATTTTTAGCAAATAGATACATTATTGCACCCTGAGATTGTTTCAACAAAAGCAAGTTCATCTCTGACCCAGTTAAGTGAAATAGAACGGGAATAAGATATACAAACAGATCGCTATGAAGATGCTAACAATTATGCATAATATTTGCCAACATTTGTTGAACAAGTAATGAAGCTCATATCGAAGCCGATAGCATGACAGTTACGACTATTCACTCATTGATTGGACCACATGCAAGAGGAACTTTGCATAATTAATTGTATCATTCTCCAGGTCACACCTCTAAATTAACATGGCAATACCCGATTGGCTTTAGGTCACGGGTTCCACTTGGGGTGATGGGTTTAAAAGGCAAGACATGGTCAGGTCACTTTTGGTCCCTGACGAAAGTGCAAACGCTGTGCACCGAAAAGCGTGTCGGGCATTATATCGCAGGGCACTAAACACATTAAAGGAACACTAACGTCAGGAACACAAACATGTATTCCTGACCCTATATGGTTAAAACCACCATCTAGCCACCCTAGTCCCCTCTTGCCTCCCTAAATATAGTAAAATCTTACTTTTATTGAAGTCTGCAGCTGCTTACTTTGTCCCTGTTTCTTTTTGACCTGCCCACTGCCATCACCAGAAGTGGTGGCCTGATCCAATCACAATGCTTCCCCATAGGATTGGCTGAGACTGACAAGGAGGCAGGGGCAGAGCCAGCACAATTGAAGCACAGCCCTGGCCAATCAGCATCTCCTCATAGAGATGAATTGAATCAATGCATCTCTATGAGGAAAGTTCAGTGTCTGCATGCAGAGGGAGGAGATACTGAATGTTTGGATACATTTTAGGCACCCATGACCCAGGAAGGATCTCTAACAACCATCTAAGGAGTGGCCAGTGAAGTTATCCCTAGACTGTAATGTAAACACTGCATTTTCTCTGAAAAGACTGTGTTTACAGCAAATAGGCCTGAAGGTAATGATTCTGCTCACCAGAACAAATTCAATAAGCTATAGTTGTTCTGGTGCCTATAGTGTCTCTCGAAGTACAATGGTGTAGTAAACCAAGCTAATTAGAAGCATGATTTTGATTTATTAACATTTAAAACTTTTATTTTATTTTTTTCCCTTCATTCCTCTGACTATCTAGTAAGATTAAAAGGGAGGCCTTTTCTATATCTACTTTTTTTCCCCATCTATTTAAATTATAGGATTACAGCTTGAATACCGGTAATTTTAAGCGGATATATAATGAGCAAAAGAGGCTCATTTATGACTAATAGAATAATCTCTCAACTTGTCTCAACATACTGGAGAACTCTGTAGAGATCCTAAGTGAGCACTGAAATTCTATTCAATCGTATCCTATTTTTAGTCTATTCTAATGAACTAAATGTGTGGCTGCAGATTTTGAGCAAAGGCTTAATCATTATAACAGCTCTACCTTTTATACTCTGCTTGTCTCAATACTGGAGACACTTGTAGAGACCTTAAAGTTTGCATCGAAATTCTATTCAAATTTATCCTATGCTTAGTCTATTCCAATGAACTAAATGCGTGGCTGCAGATTTTAAGAAAAGGCTAAACTACTATACTGGCTCTGCTTACTCTAATACAGTGAAGGTGTGACTGCAGATTTTGAGCAACTATCTATTTCCATATCAGTTCTATTTATGATTATCTGTAAACCTCAAAATCAGTCTGCACATATAGGAGATACTTACCTCAGAATTTTCAAAGCAGATATCACGCCCTCTCACAGCCTTCCTTCCTACTTAGAAATCTTCATTCATACCCAACTCCTCTACATAGGCAATCACTAATAAAGCTTGATTAGTTAAGGGATTTTGGATTCATGTCACAGTCTTCAATAGTCAGAGGCTTAGCCTAGTAGGCTTTGGATTCCAAACCTGACCTTTATTAGATTTTGGTGAAGTGTTTATTCTATGATTGTGTACTTTATAATATTTTCCGAGGTAACATCCACATACAAAAAGTTTTCTTTTTGTGAGTGAGTGTTACAGTTTAATTCACGATAGAAGTAGGGATTAAAAGGACAACGTAGGCACTATAACCAATACATCAAATTTAATTAGGTACAGAGGTAAGAGTCTGCTGGCACGGTCCCACTTTCAGTATTAAATTATTTTCAAGCAGTTTAACACTGAATGCAGATCCCTGACTTCCATTAGCCCCAAATCGGAGGTGTGGCTAAGCCAGAGATTACACATTTTCATCTAGCCATACCGATTTATATATGAATGGGTACGGTGATAAGATGAAAGTGGTCAGCTGACACTCTCAGCCAATCATAGCTGCCCTTTACTACTCAGGCTAATGCTTCATTATTAGCCAAGGCAGCAGAGGGTGGGTTGAGCTGCTGGGAGCTCTGTTATAGTATTAAAACATTAAAAATGGTTTAATGTTGAATGGACTAATGGTGCTTGGGGATTCCAAACACTGTAAGCACTTCAATGAAATGAAGCAGCTTATAATGCCTACAGTGTTCCTTTATTGGTCTGGTGCTGCTTATTTATTCGGAAAGCATAAAGCTAACTGATCCTCTGGTTTAAACCCATTTCTAATAGACAAAAATATCATCCGTGTGGCCACTTTAACAATAAGTTGCTGCTATGAAACAGCACTGAAGGCAGTAGAGCAGGCTTCCCCAAACTCTGGCCCCCCAGATGTTGCTCAACTACAACTCCCATGATTCTCATGATTCATTCATAGAATCATGGGTGTTGTAGTTCAGCAACAACTAGAGGGCCGGAGTTTGGGGAAGCCTGCAGTAGAGAGTCCACTACACAACATATGCACTGCTGCATCTAAAGGCTGAGTGAAAAATCTTACACACACAGGAACTTATTTTTGTGAGTGCCAACTCAGTGCCTTTTACGTTTTTCATAATGCGCTGAAGAAAAACAACAAAGAAAACAAAAAAAATAGGCAGACCAAGTGATGATATTACACACACAATTAAAGGGACACTATAGTCACCAGAACAACTACAGCTCTTTGAATTTGTTCTGATAAATAGAATCATTACCTTCAGGCTTTTTGCTGTAAACACTGTCTTTTCAGAGAAAATGCAGTTTTTTCATTACAGCCTAGTGATAACTTCACTGGTCACTCCTCAGATAGCTTCCTGGGTCATGGCTGCCTAAAATGCATCCAAACATTTAGTGTCTCCTCCCTCTGCATGCAGACACTGAACTTTCCTCATAGAGATTCATTGTTTCAATTCATCTCTATGAGGAGATGCTGATTGGCCAGGGCTGTGCTTGAATCATGCTGGCTCTGCCCCTGCCTCCTTGTCAGTCTCAGCCAATCCTATGGGAAAGCATTGAGATTGGATCAGGCCACCACTTCTGATGATGTCAGCAGACAGCTTGTTTTTCTGAGGCAAACCGCATGCAGATCTACAGCTTCAGGCTTGAATACAGTAAGATTCTGCTATATTTATGGAGGCATGAGGGGCCCAGGGGGGCTAGTTGGTGGTTTTAACACTATAGGGTCAGGAATACATGTTTGTGCTCCGGCCCTATAGTGATCCTTTAAAGGAACCTATAGTCCTAAAAATAAATTTGTTTTACCATGACCTCTGCCCATCCACTTATATTTTGAAAAAAGCTATTTAAGCATATTTTGCTCACGTGCCTTTTGCTGCTGCCTGCTCCACCTCTTTTTGTCAGCGGGCACACTCCAATTCAATGCTTCTCATAACAAAGCACTGGAGACAAGAAGCACATGTGCGTGAAACCCTGCACTCCTCCAATCACAAGATCTCTGTGAGAAGTAATGAATGAAGAACAACTTCTAACACTGAGCTTAGTGGTGTACTAGCAAATTTATTTAACCAATCATTGTTAACAGGAGAAGTCCCAGAAGATTGGAAGTTAGCGAATGTTGTGCCCATTTACAAGAAAGGTAATAGGGAGGAGTCGGGCAACTATAGGCCAGTAAGCCTTACTTCAGTAGTGGGGAAAGTGATGGAAACCATGTTAAAGGATAGGATTGATGAACATCTAAAAACACATGGATTTCAAGATCAGAGACAACATGGGTTTACTTCAGGGAGATCATGCCAAACTAATCTTATTGATTTTTTTGATTGGGTAACTAAAATTATAGATCAGGGTGGTGCAGTAGACATTGCTTACCTAGATTTCAGTAAGGCTTTTGACACTGTTGCACATAGAAGGCTTATCAATAAACTGCAATCTTTAAGTTTGGATTCCAATATTGTTGAATGGGTAAGGCAGTGGCTGAGTGACAGGCAACAGAGGGTTGTAGTTAATGGAATATATTCGAAGCTTGGACTTGTCACCAGTGGGGTACCTCAGGGATCTGTACTTGGACCCATTCTCTTTAATATTTTTATTAGTGATATTGCAGAAGGTCTTGATGGTAAGGTATGTCTTTTGCTGATGATACTAAGATATGTAACAGGGTTGATGTTCCAGGAGGGATAAGCCAAATGGCAAATGATTTAGGTAAACTAGAAAAATGGTCAGAATTGTGGCAACTGACATTTAATGTGGATAAGTGCAAGATAATGCACCTTGGACGTAAAACCCAAGGGCAGAGTACAGAATATTTGATAGAGTCCTAACCTCAACATATGAGGAAAGGGATTTAGGGGTGATTATTTCTGATGACTTAAGGTAGGCAGACAATGTAATAGAGCAGCAGGAAATGCTAGCAGAATGCTTGGTTGTATAGGGAGAGGTATTAGCAGTAGAAAGAGGGAAGTGCTCATGCCATTGTACAGAACACTGGTGAGACCTCACTTGGAGTATTGTACACAGTACTGGAGACCGTATCTTCAGAAGGATATTGATACCTTAGAGAGGGTTCAGAGAAGGTCTACTAAACTGGTTCATGGATTGCGGGATAAAACTTACCAGGAAAGGTTAAAGGATCTTAACATGTATAGCTTGGAGGAAAGACGAGACAGGGGGGATATGATAGAAACATTTAAATATATAAAGGGAATCAACACAGTAAAGGAGGAGACTATATTTAAAAGAAGAAAAACTACCACAACAAGAGGACATAGTCTTAAATTAGAGGGACAAAGGTTTAAAAATAATATCAGGAAGTATTACTTTACTGAGAGGGTAGTGGATGCATGGAATAGCCTTCCAGCTGAAGTGGTAGAGGTTAACACAGTAAAGGAGTTTAAGCATGTGTGGGATAGGCATAAGGCTATCCTAACTATAAGATAAGGCCAGGGACTAATGAAAGTATTTAGAAAATTGGGCAGACTAGATGGGCCGAATGGTTCTTATCTGCCGTCACATTCTATGTTTCTATGTTATTGCTGCAGATGACAGCCACTATAAGTGCGCTTAACTCTGCAATGAAAACATTGCTGTATCTATACAGCATTGCAGGACTAAAACTACAGGGCCACTGCACACAGACTACTACATATATTTATGCGCAGCCCTGAAAAAAAATAGAACTATTTAATTAGCCCTGTGTTTAACTGAATTCACTATTTAAAATTATGAGCTATATAATAAAAATTTTTTTACCCTTTTTAAGATTTTTTTTGTGGTAGCAAAATACTTGAGTTGATTAAACTGCATTCATGTATCAAATATGCCCGTAATATGAACCGAAGAAATGTTTGCATACAAACAGCATTGCCCTGAGGTGTTTTTACTTTAAAATAAATTGGTCTCCTGAATAATCTATGGCACTGTAGTCCTTCAATAGTGTACTAGCAACACTAAGCACCAAGAATAATTGTGGAGGTTAACAAAAGTACTCACAAAGATATAATGAGACTACATGGGCAGAAATAGCTCACTGGTGAACACAATTTGAGTTGTGTTTGCTTGTGTCTAAGAATCTTTATGTACTGAAGCTTATTTATCAAAATGCATAAACTGTAATGTATTTAAAAAACAAATTGCTTTATTTAGGTTGAAACAGCTGTGACTATAGTCAAAATAAGCTATTCTGCACCAATGGGACATGCATCCATTTAAAAAAAAGTCTAATTTAAAAGATATGCTTTAAATCAGACATGTGTCTCATTCTGAGACAGTCTGAAAAAGCAGATAAATATAATTTATTTTTATTCATATCTACCTGCTTCTTTGCCCTTGTGTTTCCAATGCCATTCTTAAGGGGAAGGAGGAGGGGAGTTACCAAATCAAGCAGTGTTCAATCCATAGTTTTTTATGCAAAACAGATTACGTTTTGTGACTTTGCCGGGCATACGGAATTGAAAGATAGTGCGGGAATCGAGGAGGCCAATGGCCATGAATGTTGATTATGAGTGTTCTTGGTCAACAAATCATCTAGATCAAGGGTTCCCAATTAATTTTTCCTGTGGAAAAATTTACCTAGTATATCGACATCGTGGAGCCCCAACACCTGTCAAAAATGTTTTGCGCTGTAGCATAAACATTTTAATAAGCAGCACGTAAGGTTTTTTTCCCCCGCAAATTTTGTTTTCTGCTTTATATACACTAATGTACTTAGAAGCAGGTGTGTGCATTTGCATGCAGAGGTGTGTTTGGATGTAGTGTTGGATAAATGCGGATGTTCATTTGTGTGTACTATTGGTGTTTGAGTGTTTGTATATAATTTTAGAGTTAGAGTTCAGGGGTGTCTTTGTATGTCATGTTTGCGTTTGCAGGAGTGTGTGTTGTGTTGGTGTTTGATTGCTGGGATGTCTGCACATGCACTGCCACATACATACTTACGCAACACATACACACATATACACACTAACACATAGAAACACAGTAACACACATTGACACATACACACTGACACAAATATACACACTGGCAGACACACACACACATTAGCAGATACAAACCTTGACACACAGGTACACAAACGGGCACATTGCACATACACACACTGCACTGACAGATACATTGACACAGATACACACTGACATACACAGTTACACACATTGAAAACCACCCCAGTTGGGAAACACCGCCCTAGATAATGAGCTCTGAGGGGATTTTTTTCTAGTCTTGAATAAATTCCAAGTCAGGACTGATACAGTTATACTTTGTTGCTAGTTGCGAAGTGTGATTAAATGCAACATTTCTGAAACAGTTACTAAGCCCCACAAGCGAAAGAAACACACACTAAATGCCATAGTTTAAGTGGTGAAGCTCTGCTTGCGAGAAATATTTCATCGCCAATTACATAATATTATACTACACGTTGAGATTACTTCTTGTTTAGAACACTTAATACACTTATGTAAGTTCAGTCAATATGACACTTTAGTTGGCATCATGTAGAATCCTTGCAAAAGATGTATGTGTTTTTCTTGTTTTGGTTGTGTAAAGACCAACTTGTCAAAGTTTTGATAAATGTAATAAACTATTACTTTTCAGATGTGTCTTTTAAATGCACAATAGTAAAAGTATTTTTAGTTGAAAATTGCAGTAAATGTTTATGTAGAATATAGAAAATATTACTTACACGCGCCACATTAGCCTATTTGTAAACAGGAAAAATTCACAGGAATTTTTTTTTTGTAGTTTCAGGGCCAATCAATTGTGCTGAAAATGTAAATTAAGAACATTACTGTACATTCATATGTTGCAACTACATCTGAATTCAGTTATAAGATGTTACTAAATTACACAGGACCCGGGTACAACTGCCCACTTGAAAATGTAAAGGATCTTTTTAGTGACCCTATCCACTTAATGGAACACTATAGCATTAGAAATACAAATATGTTACCGCAGGAGATCCTGAATGGCCTATTTGCGCAACTACTAGGAGATGCAGCTCCTGGCGACTTCGGCATCGAAAGGGCCCACAGGGCACTCCGCGCCCCCAGAAGAGACGGGCAGCCAAGAGACATGATTTGCGCCCTCCTGTCATTCCCGCTAAAAGAATCTATAATGCGGGCAGCACGTGCACAGCAGCACATCACTTACATGGAAGCACAAATATCCCTTTACCAGGACTTATCTACCATCACCCTAGATGCCCGCAGGGCCCTGCGGCCTCTCACCAGAGCACTTCAGGAGCGACGAATTCCATACAAATGGGGATTTCCATTTAGCCTGCAGGCCCGGATGGGAAACGTATGGCACATCATCCGCTGGCCGAACGACGTACCACGGTTTTTAAGAACCGCCAACTTACCTGCTATCTCAGTGCCAAACTGGATCCTGGAGGAACCCCCGGCGCGAGCCACAGGCCCATCTGAAGTGGCACACAACATCCACCTGGAGCCTGGACCACCAAGACGCAGAGGCGGCCCAATAGGCCCTGAGGAATAGAGGCCCCCACGCCGCACGGACCAGTGGCCCCCCCTGGGTCATCCCATGCCAGATCAGGACATTGCCTCCTGAGCTTACCCCAGCTATGATTATGGACGCCATGCAGATCCGATGACACCACGGCAGGGGTATGTACTTTTAAGTCCGCTGCCTGCTTGCATTAGCTAGTAGACAGGGAGGAAGGCCGCAGACAGGTGGGGAGGGAAATGAAGCCACTTTCGGGGAGCGGCCGGGAGCTAGGGCCCCATCAGCAAACCCACACACCCGGGGCAACAAGGGGGACATACCCCGTAGGTGGGGAGGGGATGATGGGCAGGGTGCAAGGGGTCTGGACACCGACACCATCACCCGGGTCACAACCTGGGTCAAGACTGCTGAACTGAACAGGCTGCTCTAGCACACCGCTGCTCACGGACCAGAGCTGAGGGGGGGCTGCGGGAGGGCGAGGGCAACGGGACATGCGGGCACACGGGGCTAGAGCTGGGAGGGGGGCTGGGACAAAGCCGGGCACTTCTTGTTCATGTTGTTTAGTTATACACGGTTCCGTTTATATCACCCAACACACATCACAGCCACTCACATGAGGGAACAACCACACACAATCTGCCTCACTGAGACAAGCAAGACGCCATGTTGGTACTCCCCACTACGAAAGCCCAGGCACGCAGATAACTATCATGACGGAAATTCTGGGTGCAGGGAGAGACCACGTCCCAAACCAGCCCCTCTGGAGGGACGCAAACGTGGGAGCTGGCGAGCCACGCCCATAGGGTGGCCTCACAATGCAGCCCAACACTTGTAGGACTGACTACCCCCAAACAGCGCCCTAACACCCTAGACACGCTGACCTGTAGCCAACGAACTGTAAGTTGCCAGGCGGGGGAGGGCAGTCACGGAGGGCCCCGGGGTGCCCGGCAGACAAAACCAGTCGAATCCCCTGACAGCACCCGGCCATTAAGACCGGGAAGCCAGGAGAGCCGACCGTGACGGGGGGACCCACGGGTACCACTGACCATAATGCCGACAGGACCGGTAGGCTTATCCGCTCCCAGACCTCGGTACTGCGGTACAGGACACCACAGCCCGACCGACACTCTAAGTCCCGGGCGAATACTGCGGACCCCTAGGCTAGAGTAGGCAAACATGGCGATTGCACACACCCTTACAGGTTGGGTGCCGATGGAGAGGGGAGAGAACCAACCTCACTCAGATCCGAGACCGACTTCACTGTAAGTGACCATACGGAACCCCCACTGAGACAGACCCACACTGTACATTACACCGGCGTTCTCGTCGCTAAGGTTACCCACCAGGCTCGAGAACGAATACACCCGGTACAGGGTCAGAGTCACACCCGCACACCTAGAAGACACGCCAGACCGTTCACATCACCTCCACAGACAGACAGACCCCCCCACACTCACCACCTTTACATCATACAGACAACGCTGCGGGGACGCCGCCCTGCCGCCGGGATGGACGCCTCGCGAGGATTTGTCCCGGCCCAACTGACATACTGGTCCAATAATGTTCAGGGGCTTAACACACCTGAAAAGCGCGCGCACCTGGTAAGGCGCCTATGGGCCGTGAGAGCCTCCGTGGCGTTCCTGCAGGAGACTCATCTCCGAGGACTGGACGCCCCCAAACTAGAGAACAGACGCTACCCGCAGGGATTCTACGCGAACCACCCGGACGCTAAGAGGGCTGGTGTGGCAATACTCTTTGCACAGACGACGCCGTTCCAACATATAGCAACGCAGGCTGACCCGAACGGCAGATTCCTTTTCATTAAGGGTACAATCATGGAACACATGTATACCTTCGCATGCCTCTACGGCCCGAATAGAAAGCAGCATACATTCCTGGCTCGGACGCTAGCCAAATTGGAGAAATTCAGAGACGGCCTCTTGGTCATGGCAGGTGACCTCAACTTACCACTGGACCCCCGCACAGACACCTCCAGAGGACAAACCACGATCCCGGCGCACTGCATACGAGCAGCACTACGAGCTATACATAAACACGGCCTGGTGGATTGTTGGAGGGCATGTAACCCTGAAGGTAGAGACTACACCCATTATTCGACAGTCCATAAAAATTACAGTCGCATAGACTATATATTCCTGGCCCAGGAATACCTCAACCTCCTCCACGACGCACGAATAGGCATAATGGACCACACAGACCATGCACCACTGACGATCCGCACAAGCTCCCCACTATATAAACCCCGCGAAAGACACTGGAAACTGAATGAATCCCTACTGGACGATGCAGAGTGTAAGAGGGTGACTGCTCAAACCTTAACTGAATACTTTAACACCAACGAAGATACGGAGACGCCACCGTTAACGATATGGGAAGCTCACAAATGCGTCATACGGGGACATTTCATCGCCATAGGCACCAAACGCAAGAAGGAACGAACACGACGTATCACAACACTGCTAGACCGGATAGCTGACCTAGAAGGGGAACACAAGACGGACCTCGCAGACAGCACATACCTCCGCCTGACGGAAGCACGAAGGGAGCTGAAAGCCATACTATCACAAGGACTCCTACACACCGCGAGGAAGGCCTCCAGGTATTATTATGAACACTCGAACAAAAGTGGTAGGTTGCTAGCTAGGATGCTACAAGACAGAAGGAAAGCGCAACACGTTCACAAGATACGCACGAGCAGTGGAGACACAACCTGCCTCCCGGACGGCATACTGTCAGCGTTCCGGGAATACTATGCGGCGTTATATAACCAACCACGACTCCACCACGACAGAGACATAGGTAGCCATCGAGAACGGATAACCACATACCTTCAGAACCACATCTCCCGTCAGCTTACCCCGGACCAGGAGGCGGAACTCGAAATGCCCTTGACGATTGAGGAACTATCTGGCGCACTGAAATCAACTAAAGCGCACAGGGCCCCGGGCCCAGACGGTCTACCAGTCTCGTACCTACGCTCCTTCAAAGACACCCTGCTGCCCAAACTTCTGATAGGCATCAACTCAATCAGAGATGGAGGCCAATTCCACAGAGACACCCTGGGAGCAACCGTGGCAATAATACCCAAAGAGGGTAAAGACCCAACAATCTGCGCCAGCTACAGGCCCATCTCTCTGATAAACGCGGACATCAAACTCTTCGCTAAGGCACTGGCACTCAGGATGGCCCGGACGCTTCCGGATCTGGTGCACCCGGACCAAGTGGGGTTTATCCCCGGAAGAGAAGCCAGAGATAACACTATTCGAGCCCTCAACACCATCCATACCGCTAAAACGGGCAAAAAGGAAATGGTCCTACTATCCACTGACGCTGAAAAAGCGTTCGACAGGGTGGACTGGGTCTATATGTCGGAAACCCTACGACATTTGGGATACGGTCCACACCTGCGGACCTGGATAACGGCTCTATACACCTCGCCCACAGCCCGCATAAGAATAAACGGAGCACTGACTGACCCGTTTGATATACATAACGGCACGAGACAGGGCTGCCCCCTGTCCCCACTCCTGTTTGCCCTCACCCTGGAGCCCTTCTTGGAGGCGGTCAGACAGGACAGGGGTATCACGGGGTGCAGCATAGGAGGAAGAGAACACCGGGTAGCGGCTTACGCTGACGACATGCTCTTCTTCCTGGAGCAACCCAGAACCTCCCTCCCACATCTCCTGGAGGCGTTTCGACAATACAAGGAGGTATCCGGCTTGACGCTTAATCTAGATAAGTCAGAGATACTGCTGCTCGCACAGGACAACATCCTCCAACGACACATCCAAGCACAATTCCCCTTCAAGATCTCCACAGCCAAGCTACACTACCTTGGGGTGTGGCTCCCGAGAGATTTGACACTTATCTACCGACTGAACTTTGCGCCCCTGCTCACCACCCTACAGCAAGACATGAAACGCTGGACACCTCTGTACATCTCTTGGTTTGGGCGCATCAGTGCCGTAAAGATGAACATTATGCCCAGATTATTATACCTGTTCCAGACACTACCAACGTACCTCCCGAGGGCATTTTTTCAGACCCTGACGACCGCAGTCAGGAACTTCGTCTGGAACCAAAAACCAGCGCGTATCCGAAGAGCGATTCTTGAACGCCCTAGAGGAGAAGGAGGTATGGGATTGCCGTCCATCCTCACGTATTACCACGCTACCCATCTGCACAGACTGGTTGATTGGCATGCAAACCCCAGTACAAAGCAATGGGTAGACCTGGAGAAACACCAAGCCCAGGGACGAATCCCCGCTATGCTATGGCTGGGAGACGCACCACCCAAGGAACTACTTACCGGGAACCCAATGATCGACGCCACGCTGAAGGTGTGGTGTAGGATACGTTACTCCAAAAACCTCACGACATCGCCCAACCCACTCACACCAATAACACAAAATCCGAGGCTAGCGGGAGGGCTAAGCACGGCAGACCTGAAAAATCTCGGAGCAACGGACTGGGTATACGCTAGCCAATGGAACTCCGGGACGACGCTCAAACCCCTGGCAACGCTGATGCAGGACCGTAGGCCCAGTGGCCTAGACACATTCCGATATCACCAAGTGAAAACATACCTCGACGGCATTGCGGGTAAAGGCCACCTACACCGCCCATTGCTGATGATGGAACATCTATGCACGGCCAGACAACACCTCTCACATGGAGTCTCACACCTCTATACCGCGCTGCTAAGCGACGGTGATAAGAGCCCCCTAGGCTTCACATCGCGATGGGAAAGAGAGACCGGGATGGAACTCACGGAAAAGGAATGGCTCAAAATCTTTCAACTAACACACAGGGGGACCATCAGCTCCAAGTTCCAAGAATGCAACTACAAAATTCTAACAGGATGGTACCGGACGCCAGATATCCTGCAGCACGTGCATGAGTCAATTTCAAACGAATGTTGGAGATGCGGCACAGGAATAGGAACCAGCATTCACATCTGGTGGACATGCCCACGTATCGAACCGTTCTGGAGGATGATACATCAGACGACCAAAGACATCACGGGCTCAGACGTCCCATTCCAACCCATGCCACTGCTTCTCAACCACACGCGTACGCCGGTGAAGATCTACAAGAGAGGAATCCTCATACACCTACTCACGGCAGCGAAGTCGCTCATCCCACTCCATTGGAAAAGCTCGACAATTCCAACCCTGCAACAATGGGTAGATAGGGTGGAGATGATATATAACATGGAGATGATGACAGCCTCCCTGCAGGGACGCCAGGAAAAATGCGCTTTGGCGTGGTACCCATGGATAGACTACACATCGAAACGGACGAGAGGACGAGACCCGGTGGAGAGGGACGGCGCCCCCGCACTAACACAACCCACCCAACAGAGCTCTGCACAGACACAGGCAGTGCCAGACGAGTAGATTGCACCCTCAGCACGACGGAGACACACTTCCTACGCGACCCCCCACCCCTCCAACCACATGACACATAGACACACAAAAGACCCGGAGGGACACAACCCCCGGGGGCACGCAGACCGACTTAAGGCTCCGCACAAAGCGGAATCAATGAGTAAGCAGAGACAGAGACGGAGGACCATGGGTCACGGGAGGGGAGGAGTGACCCGCTAGAGCGACATATGGACCAATACACTAGGGGACGGAGGGAAGAGAGAGACCGGGACGCAAGGAACATGGACTCACCCCCACCCCAGACACAAGAAGCCACGACCGGAGCCAGTAGCACCCGGCCCTGACCACGCCAACTAACAACTGGGGCTGCGGCAGGTGGCATACATAACCCCACACACACAGCGAACCCAGCGAGACCCAAGATAAGAGATAACAACCTAGAATTAGGTATCCAGAAGAGTCACGGGGACCGTGCTACATGCCCCAGGGATGATATGATCACACCCACCACACGAGCGACTCAAACCAGGGGCCTGAGGTGACGAAACGGCATCTGACACAGACCCCACACACCGCACAACGACAGAACAAGACATCACAGGATAACCCTACATATACTAGCTGCGCCTACGGACAACCCAGGTCAACCACCCCCAGGGAAAACCTAAAACAGATCGACTCAGGGAAACTAGGGGGTAACTTCACGGTCACAGGGGCAAAATAATTGGCCCCCTCATGATTTAAGGCTGAGCCCATCCACATCAGGCTCATTACGACCTAAACCAACACACAAATCAAACACGAACCAGACTGGACCCCCATACAAAGCCCCAGACGGTACCCCCCCAAAGAAGGACACACGTAGACAGACATAACACGGATTGGGACAAAGCTCTATATCCATCAACCTGGCACTAGAAACACGAACAAAGCACCATGTACGAGGCTGGGGACAAAGATGAACTGCACCACACATAGACGGAGACTACCACACCTCTTAAGTACCATAGGTCACACTAGACCCAATAAGTAAGTGAGGGGAAACCTTGCACTGAGCCAACCTCTCTATTGGGATCCAACCTACAAATGAGGAAGCTCAGATACCAATGCAGGGTTGTACAACTCACCCTCTGACCCACGAGCACAACACAGAGCGGTTGAAACAACCCACCCGAAAACTCACACGAATCTTGAGGAGCAACCACAAACTCCATTCGCACCCGACCACAGAGGGGACTAACCCCATACAGGGCTAACGACAGAACACAACACAAAAGAACGCTCACCGTTATAATGAAGCCAAATACTCAAATATAATTTATTATCCAGTAGATGAAACTATCTTGATGCTGTAATACACATAACTGACCAGTTTATATGTTACCACATGTTAATTTATATTGGATATACATGCTGTGATTGAATATTGAAAAACTTAAATAAAGAATGTCAAAAAAAAAAAAAGAAATACAAATATGTATTCCCAACGCTATAGAGCCCTAGTGACCTAAATGATGACTAGGGCCCTGTTCTACGGCGAATATATAGTTAATTAACCATTTAGTTGCTTACCTTAATCCAGCGCCATGTTAGTTCCAGAGTGGAGCCGAATGCGCATGCACGGTCAGAGGCGTGTGTGCATTCAAACCCGCCCATTGGAAAGCATTAGTCAATGCTATGGGGATCTTTTTTGACGCTGGATTCCGTGAGGATGTCCAGCATCAAATAAGTGTGATTTACTCAGTGTAAATCGCGAAGTGCCTCTAGTGGCTGCCAGGGAGACAGCCACTAGAGCCTGGATTAACCTGGCAGCGTAAACATAGCAATTTCTCTGAAACTGCTATGTTTTCAGCTGCAGGGTTCAAAACTAGGGGGACCTGGCACCAAGACCACTTCATTGAGCTGAAGTGGTCTGGGTGCCTAAAGTGGTCCTTTAAGTACTTTGGAGAAGTCTAGCTTCCCCACTAAGCACTAATTAGGGTTTTCACTAACCTAGAAATTGTCAAGGGAAATCCATATTTAAAAAAAAAAAAAAAAATTAATTATGTAGTCAAAATTTCATAATTTTGTTTTGTAAATAACCTTGTAAATTATAACTTTAATATATATCTAACCCTAAAAAAATTAGTGCTATATAAAATAGGTACAATAAAAAAAAAAAAAATTATATACCGTATTATTCATTCAATGTATTCAAAACACTAGTGCTTTTTTTTCATTTCTTTAGAAACCAAAAGCTACAAAATATTTAAAAACAAATGAATTTCCGTCATTTGAACTCCAAAAAAAGATAACTTATAAATACAATTTCTGCTATTTGCTGCATAAGCAATGTTACAAAACAAAGTTCTACTAATAAATAATTGCAAATAGCTATTCCAATTGGCCAGAGAACATCAAGCTACAGATGGTGGACAAGTCTGCACCTAACTCTTATTAAAGATTACTATAAACATCTGGCTTGCAGTCAAATCTAGTTATAATTCTGCTTCTAGCTTGTCTTGTCATGCAATTCCTGTGGGTATACATGGCAGGCAACAGTCTCACAATAATATGGAATGCTTTACTTCTGCAAAAATAAATTGATTTTGAGCTATATTTTCCTGTGCATGCAAATACATTTAATATCAAACCATTGCTTGCTTTGGAGTCTAAAGCTACCAGTAACATTTATAACAAGAATAAGGGAATTTTCCATGCAAGCTTACCCACATGTTTGGTCATATCCCAATAGAACTGCTGAAATCGGAGAAGCATAGTAGATACACAATTACTAAGAGGGTTATTCACAAAGTGAGAATTCAACATGAATGTCAGATTTAAGGTCAAAATACTGGACATTTTCTAAATATTTTCTAAGTTAGCTTTGCTTAATTAAAATTACTTTGAATATACACTTTAGTGAATAACTCTGTAAGAAAGCAAGCGCACGTAAATCGCATATATTTTGCCATTTCTAGTGAGTGCTACAATTGCTCTCAACACGATTATACTATCAATGTACTGCAAAAAAATTAACACGGGGCTAAAAACTGGAAAGTACAAATGTTAAAGGGACATGCATCATTTGACAATCAAATGTACAAACAAGCAAGCAAATGCATTTAAACATATATACAACCCAAAAAAAGCAAGAAAAACCTTGAAAAGTAATAAATATTTATAAACTTACTAAAAACCTGGTTAGATTGCATTGTTAGGCACACATCTCAGATAGGGATTTTTTTCCTTCTCCCCCTTACTAACTAATCTCAATTTCAGACCATTACACTAATTACACCTCCCCATTTGGATGTTGCAAAGTAAAGAGATCTTATCAACTGCATATGTGAAAATCTGTCAGGCATTTCGAGCATTCTTAGGGATAGGACACTGTGGGTGTGGAAAGCGTAAGAAAGAAAAAGCAGTAAACATAAAATAAAAAATCCACTTTTTATATTTACCTGCTTTTTTCAGCCTGCAGAGTGAGGCAATTGAGTAATTCATAGCTAATGCTTTTGAATAAGTTGTCTCAAAGTAATGCATGTCCCTTTAAGTAAAAAACAATGCTAAAGAAAATGGATGCAGGCTGGGGACAGAAGACACTGCACAGAGGACAGAGAAGTGAGGGTGACAACATGCAGACCAAGTGATGTACCATAAAAGCTGCTGTTAATGTGAAAGATGCAATGGTACTGCATAGTATGTGGATCAGATGGAAATTGTGTGTAAATGAGTCAGTGTTTGACTATGGAGTGTGTATATAAGTCATTATGTGTTTGTGGGTACGTGTGTCAGAGTGTGCAGTGTACATTGGTGTGTGTGTGTGTGTGTGTGTCTCAAAATGCACAGTATGTGAGTCAGTAACCGTGTATTGCATTGTGTATTGCAAATAAAGTGTGTATGTAGGGTTCCGTTAGATGGACAAATTTTGATAAAAAATTCAATAATTTGACTCAATTTATGGGAATTTTGCATGTATTGTGCATATATACATATACGCACGTACACTGGTCAGACATGCTATTAAAACCACCTGCTTAATATTGTATAGGCTCCCCACGTGTTGTCAAAACAGCTATGATAATTCGAGGCATGGACTTCAATCTCTGAACATGTCCAGTGGTAACTGGCACCAAAACATTAGCAGCAGATCCTTTAAGTTGTGCAAGCTGCGAGGTGGGGCCTCTATGGAATGGATGTTATTCCTGCACATCCCACAGATGCTCAATCAGATTGAGATCTGGTGAATATGGAGGCCAAGGCAAAACCTTGAACTCTTTTTCGTGTTGCTCAAACCTATAGTGAACAGTTTTTGCAGTGTGGCAGGGAGCATTTTCTCCTGCTAAAAAAGAGAACAATGCCATCAGGGAAAACCTCTGGCATGAAGGGATGCATGAGGTCTGCAACAATTGCTAGGTTTGTGGTATGTTTCAAAGTAACATCCAAATGAATGCCAAGACCCAGCATTGCCCAGAGCATAACACTGCCTCTACCAGGCATCTGCCAAACCCAGACTCACCCATCAGGCTGCCCAACAGAGAAGCGTGATTCTTCTCTCCACAGAACATGTTATAACTGCTCCAGAGTTTAGTAGTGGCACGCTTTAAACCACTCGATCCGATGCTTGGCATTGTGCTTGGTTATGTGAGGCTTGCATGCAGTTGCTCGGCCATGAAAACCCATTCCATGATGCACCCCACAGTTTTTGTGCTGATATTAATGCCAGGGAAAACTCTTCAGCTATGGAATCAGCAGAGCGTTTGTGACTTTTACACACCTTGCGCCTCAGCACTTGGTAACCCTGCTCTGTGACTTACTGCCTCTATACACTGGTTGATGGGTGGGAGCCCTAATATTAATAAAATCTGTGGGAGGACCTAGTGCCCTCAGTCCCCATAGACGGGGGCTGTAATTATACAATTGGGGGGGGGGTGACATGCCACCCTCCAAAATAGTTTTATGTCAATCTCCTTGGGTGGCTAAGGGATCCCAATCCCCTAGCCATGCCGCCTAAAATAAATCCAAGTCTCTACCTACTACCCCTCATCCCAATAAGAATGTAAAAGGCAATAAATCTTAAAACCTGTCAAAAAATGTATACTTACCATTATTCTTTCTTCTTCTAATTCTTCTGTTCTTTAGCCCCAAAATGCCAAGTACAAATCCATAATTCCCTACGCAGCTAATAAAAATTGTAAAATACTTGAATCGGAAAAAATTTAAATAAAAAATCCTGCCAGAAATGAAAAAACAAACGCATCGCAAATAAAAGTACCCCATCTTCACCCAAGGTGGGCTCACCGCAGACTGGGTGATGATTACGAGAAAAGCCCTTATATAAGCTTTTGCAAGGTGTAGGAATATTTCCCACACTTTGCAATCCAAGTTAGAACTACTAAGTCAACCAATCAGGGCATTCTAACAGCCAAATCTTAAAATAAGTCTTACTTCATTTGAGACTTTGTTGTCTACCCCCCCTGCCCCCCCTCCTCCCCCCTGAAGTTAGACTAAACCATACCTGATGTCTCCCCACCCTTTATTTTACAAGTACCATCTAGCGACTGGGTGCGGTGTATATTTTTTCTATTATAGTAATATCTGTGTCTTATTGCCCTGCATAGGTTTTTTTATTTATTTAATATTATTTCATTCTTTTTACTTTCATTTACTTTTATTTTGTTGTGGTGGTTGGCTAGCAAGCACTGGCCATTCAGGTGCAGCATTTGAACTGAAATCCGGACCAAATTCAGATAAGTAGATAAGTCAAGATAAGTAGATTAGACTAGCACTTTAGTTCCTTGGACAAGTAGATTAACAAAAAAATATCCACACCTTTAGATTTCCTAAGTACAGACTATTTAGTCTTATGGTAAACCTGAGGTTGACAAAAAGGCAGGATTGGCCACATTTAGTATTTAGTTCCCTCCATCTCACTACACAAAAAGGATGGCGAAAAGGGTAGACACTATTTACCTAGTACCCAACCTACAGTGATTTTCACAACATACTGTACATATGGAACATAGTACACCCAAAGTCTTGGGTGCTCACCATACATCATGTGGATGAGAAAGAGTATCTCTTTCTCAATTTAATAGTGATTTTTTTTTTTAATATGTTATAGTTACAAACATTGTTGCACTCATTGTTCTGGTGACTACAGCGTCCCTTTAAGCAAGCACTTACGTAATGTGAAAATATAAGAAAGAAAAACCCATACCCTAGTCTGCAAGTTACACTTACAATTCAGAACAGTGTTTCAGAAGATTTTCTGATTTCCAAGTGTAAATAATTTTCCAAGTTATTCTGGTTTTAAAGCTGAACAGAAAATTAACCCCTAGGCTGGATAGTAACATTGAGACGCCAGGTTATATTTGAAAATTATTATTACATTCTGAAAATAAACTGTGGAAATGGTATTGCTTAGTTTCAGAAAATCTGGCTCATTACATATTTGGTGGATTAAAGTGATATTTTAAAGGCATTACTCACAATGCTATTTACATCTACAATTCATTAACAGAGTCATTCATACCATATTTATAGTTGCAATTAATTACACAAGTTGGTGCAAATGCAAATTAAAATCAGGTTTCTCAAGATGACATTTTCACACAAGACTGTGTGACAACCATTTACATTTAAACAGATCAGCCTAATCTGAATGTTCCAATTACTGCCCACACACAGTTCAAGCTGCCTACAGTGAAGGACAACTTGACCATGATGGTCTAAAATGGGAATCTTATTGCAAAATGGGCTAAGCAGAACTGTTCTTTTATTAAACTTACTAATTTTAGTATATAGCTGGTGGCAATTTAAACAGAAGATAAAATCTCTCAAAACAGTGAAAATTACCACAAAAAAACCCATGTTTATTTTTCAATTAATGGATAACATTTTACATAGGTTTCATATTCCCAGCCTTGATTAATACAGGTTTATCTAGAATCACCTTGTGGTTGCCAAAAACAAAACCAGATAGTAAAACTACTATAATCTTCTAAAAGTAATTCCTAAATTATTATAAATTAAATACGGGTTTCAATTATAGCCGTGTTCCTGGGATGTAATAGACAAAAAAAAAAAAATACGAATTAATTCACCCTAGTCTTTCGAAAGAGGACATCTTATTTAGTTATAGCAGGTATTTGTTTTAAAAACATAAAACTGTCTATAGCTGTAAAAGTGCTCCTCTGCCAAGTAATTTACATTCAAATACAGGCAGAATTGATGGCAATATTGCAGAAAAATTAATAATTAGTGATTTCATAACCAGAGACCAGAGGCTTACAGGGAACACAGGAAAGTGACAAATAACTAGTACAGCACTCTGTAGTGGTTATGGTGCTTAGACCATCCCTTTAAACAATGGCACCAAATGGAATGAGACAGCTTAAACATGCCAACATTTTTTAAATTCCTTTTTTGTACTATTTAAATAAATGGTTAGATCTATTAGATGTCTTGTGGGATACGGGTAGTTTGTGATTTTCATAAAGATAAAGGATACTAGAAAGCTAGGGTGAATAATCAGGTGTCTAATAAGGGTGTGATGTATTTTGCATTCTGATGATGGATTACTATTTTGGAGTGTAAAATCCACAACACACAGTCTGCAAAACACAACTATAGCCTTTTTTATTACTTTTTAAGGCACTCTGGATAAGAGTGCTATTTCAGAACTATAGCATAAATAAAGCACAATTTACAAATGGTTACCAAATCCTCAACTGATAATAAAAAACTGCTTTTCATCTTTCCAGCAGTGATTACACTGACATTTTTTGTACACAACGGTAATCTTTTTACATATAAAAACAGAGACTGATGTCAGGAAGATCACCTCCCCTAACTAGAACTGCATGCTTGGTAAAGATTAACCAAGTAACTATGTGTACACTAGCCAATGAAAATGCACAAAACAAAAAACATGAATTCACAACTTTAGAAAACCAAATGTAGATTGACACAATATGAATTGCGCAAATAAATTGGAACATTATTAACTCACTATTCTAACTCATCTGGGAAGAGAGCAGTCCCCTCCCTGGCATTTACTAGCACAGAAGGAACATTGTGGAGACAATATTAGGAGCAATTGATAAATCTGAAGTGCATACAGGTCCTTCCCAGTGTCCCCAATGTACCAATCACTCCATTTAGCAAACCAAAAAAAGTGCAAGGCTTAGCTCAGGAGAACGAACAGAAGATCCTAAGCAGGAGCTACCGGCTCTCCGTGTCGGAGAAATGGAGGCATGGAGCAATTCCCGGGAGCCCCAGATAAGAAGTCAAATCTTTCTAAACTGGTTTGATTACATACTCTGAGAGTAGTAAGGGCACTTTTGGCACCTAAATCATTACAGTCCTCTGTAGGGTTATAGTGTTCGTTTAAAAGGCAAAACCAGGCCAAAAATAAATACTTCCATTCTAAGTCAGTGGTGGTGTGTGTCTTTTTATTGTTAAGTCATGAACGTCAAATATTATTCAAGACTCAACAATGCTACAGTATGTTTACACTATCAGTGGAATTAATTCTTCCTCTGCTATTACAATGTAGAGATGAAATACGTTTTAGTCTTTGAATTGAACATACGTTGAATGTACTATGACACACTTTAAGGGAAAGATTCAAAAGACTTAGATTTATTAAAACAACATTTTCTGTTGATTTTATTACTGTTACATTTCAGATTACCAATATCTCTAACACTCATTTGGATCCAACAAGTTTGTCATAAAATGTCCTCTGAGTTGAAGGGAGGCGGAGGGAATAACCAAAATCTGTATGACAACAAATTTCAAATTACAATCTCTTTTGCCAGCTTTTGTTTCTTTAATAGAAGCAAAAGTTAAGTGCGTGTTGCTGACTGAGCAGTGTAAAAACCTGATGCCACATGAGAGGTGCTCTGCCAGCTGGTATATTTGAAGATACATTCTATTAAGCAATGACGTTAATGATGAACCGGAGGCATAGATTAATTGATGATGTCAGCATCATCAAGCTATTGTAAATGCAGCAATCAGTTAAATTTAGTAGCAAAATGAGAGAATTTTCATGTGACAAAAAAAAACCAACAGTAAAGGCAATTTAGTTAGGGTCCCTTCACAGATTCCATATAAAATCAAGTCACAGACTTCTAGGTACATCTGCAATGACTTACAGATCTTTAAGGAAACTATAGTGCCAGGAAAATAGGAAAGGTGTTTTCCTGGCACCATAGCTCCCTATATAGCTACCCTCGGTGCAGAAGATGTTAAAGGGCCCCCCTTCTGTCACTTACGCCAAAGTCCCTCTGTGCTGGTTCAGGCACCTTCCCGCTACTCCCCTTCAGATGTCAGCTGGCAGGGGGGACCTAACATGCATGCAAGGCGAGTGCCGAACTCGCATTACGACTTCCTCCATAGGAAAGCTTGCATAGATTTGCACCATCCCTACTCTGATAGGAAACCAAAGATCAACAAATGCACTGGCATCTACTTTTACTGGGATAAAAAAAAAAAAGATATTGTGGCTTCAGTTAACTTGCACTTCACTCTTTTTACAGAGGCATGCAAACATCATGGTTTGGGTGTGCTCCCTGCATTGAATTCTGAAGCAATTCTTTCATCCGCTATTCAATGAATGAATGCACTGTTTAAAACACTGACCTTTGAGGCTACATTACCACCATTCATTGATTTTCTAGTTACCAATTCAACTTTTGCACTTTAAAATCATTACATTAAACTCCCCTCATCAAATATCAGTTAAAGGACCACTATAGTGCCAGGAACACATACTTGTTTTCCTGGAACTATAGTGCCCTGAGGGTGCCCCCACCCTCAGGGACCCCCTCCCGCCGGGCTCTGGGGAGAGGAAGGGGTTAAACTTACCTCTTTCTCTCCTCCTCCTCTCCGGCGGAATGCGCATGTGCGGCAGGAGCTGCGCGCGCATTCAACCAGTCTCATAGGAAAGCATTCATAAGTGAGAAGCACGCAAACGCCTCTAGCGGCTGTCAATGAGACAGCCACTAGAGGCTTTAGAGGCTGGATTAACCCATTTATAAACATAGCAGTTTCTCTGAAACTGCTATGTTTATTAAAAAAATGGGTTAACCCTAGCTGGACCAGGCACCCAGACCACTTCATTAAGCTGAAGTGGTCTGGGTGCCTAGAGTGGTCCTTTAATCTGGTGCTGGGACTAGTAGTATTTTCTAAATAAACTGGTAAACACAGAGAATCGAATGAGCACATGTAATGATAAATGTAGCATATTACTTAGATATTATTTACCATTTGAATTAAAGACAGGTGGCTATATGCGAATTGTCACTTTTCTAGAAGAGAGAGAGAGAGAGAGAGAGAGGGAGTGTCTGTTCTATTTTGCCCCCTTTCGATTTTGCTTTCTGCATGGAGAAGGAAATGGTCCCTGGGGTTTAAGCTAAACATGTTATTTATTAAGACAAGGAGGCTTCTCTTTCTTTATTTCCCTCAGCAGCAAAGAAAAAACATAATTAAATCAGTATAATAAACAATCCCTAACATTAGAGGTATATCTTCCTAGCAACAGGAACAGACAATCAGATTCCACTCCCTAGCATAATAGGCAGTGATCTACAAACTATTTCCTCTTTCTTTGCTGCTCCCTCCGTTAAGTACACTGCTCCCATAGTTTTCTTAACTGTGGGATAGTTATTTAATACTGTTATATTATCGTTGTGAATTATTATCCTTATTTATTATTAGTATTATTGTTTAATATTTCATGGTTATTTTCACAAATTTCATGTTTAACCCCTTAGCTACTGCTGACGTATCAGGTATGTCCAACAAAAAAACGGTCTTCAACCCCTTAAGGACACATGACGTGTGACATGTCATGATTCCCTTTTATTCCAGAAGTTTGGTCCTTAAGGGGTTAAGGACGTGTACCTGATCCGCATACCTGATACGTCTTGGGGTAATTAGAGCTCTGGAAGCGATCGTGATCGCAATGTTGAGGCATCGCTGTAATACCCCCTCACTGCCGGGGGCCACCGGAGATTACCGGGTGATCGATCCCCCGGAACTGTATTTTGATATTAATATATATATTTATATAAAAATACACGTAGAATGAAAAAAAATAAATATATATATATATATATATATACACACATACACATATATATATATATATATATATATATATATATATATATATATATATATATACACACACACACACACACACACACACACACACACATACACACACACGTAGCGACCGTGGACGTACTATGTACGTACGACAAAAAAACTGGCGCTAAGGACCGTGGCAAATAGGAGCCCTGGACTGGCGATCCGCTACGATCACGGTAGGGGGGGACTGCAGGAGACCACAGCAGCCCCCGTACAGCAGCTCCAGCCACCCCGGCCCTCCAGGGCAATGTTATCACCATGATCACATCGCCGCAATAGGAGTCTAGGAGCGGCCAGCAGGGGGACTGTCTGAGCTGTCAGACAGTCCCTCAGGCTACTAAAAAGTTAAAAAAAATTATATATATATATATATATATATATATATATGTATATATATATATATAAATAAATAAAATATAAATTGAAAAATTTTCTATTTATAAAAATCAAATAAAAAAGCTAACTTTGGCCAGCGTTTGTGACTAAGTGGCTACTACAAAAGACTGGAAATACCCCATTTGGAATACCCTGGGTTGTCTACATTTGAAAATGGTATGCCATGATTGGGTTATTTCACATTCCTGGGCTACCATTGGTCTAAAAAGGCAACACAGACCCAGCAAACCAATCTAGCGAACTGAATTGGACAAGCCCTATATTGACCCAGTACCTTTTAAAACCACCATAAAACCTGTACATGGGGGGTATAGTTATACTTGGGAGACTTCGCTGAACACAAATATGAGTGTTTACAACAGAAAAACTTATCAGAACGAGGAAATCACCAGTAAAAGTGCAGTTTTTGTGTTAAAAAAAAAAATGCAAAAAACAAATATGAACACTAACTTTGGCATACCCCATTTGTCATACCGTGGGTTATTTTGAATACCGTGGGTTATTTACTTTTACAAATGGTATGCCATGATGGGGTTAATTTTCATTTCTGGGCTGCTATACGGTCTCAAAGGCAACATAGGCCCAAGCAAACCAATCTGTCAAATTTCTCAGGTTCACCACGATTACCCTGCTGGGAATGGGGTTTTGTCCCCTGATCTCCCTGCACCTGCAGACATGCAGGCGCTTTTAGACGCCTCAATATCCAGATCCATGACGCAGGCTCTGATGTCTACTATGGGCGTGATGTTGACTGCTTTGTCACAAACTATCACTCAGGCCATTTTACCGGCTCAGCAGTCAGCTCAGCAGACTGCCCTGTCGACTGCACCTACACCAGCACCTGCCACACAACGTCGTAAAGCTACGGTCAAATCTAAACACTCCTACAAAACAGATTTGACAGACACCTTTCCTGCTGCCACAGATGGCGTGCAAATGAGACACTAGCTGGGCAAAGTTGGCTAGACTATAGAAGCGGGCGAGAGCCCAGCTTGATTTGTCGGTGTCTGTTCTCAGCGACATCAAGGAAGAGAGTAATGAGTACATACTGGATGCCTCAGATGACCAGTTTGAACCAGATTCCGACAGTGCAGAGGGAGAGGCCATCGCCTTCTCCCACAGCACCTTTCCTGCTATGATTTCCGGGGGCCCAGGTAAGTGTGTCGGGCTCTGGTGACTATACAAAAATCTTGGATCCTCTGGGTTTACTCCTGTTTGATCCAGAGGATTTGAGACATCCGCGTTCAGCAGAGTGGTGCCCTTCCGAACATGTAGCGAGATACATCTGTAAACCCTTGGACAAGGTGGTTCTTATATACAGAATCGAGGCTCCTATTTAGGACGAGCTGGTTTTCAGGAACAAAGAACATCATCAGCTTTCTTCCCACAGAGATATATACCCTGGGTTGCTAGGGGCATTCGAGGAGCTACTTCTGGAAGACGACCTTATGGTAAGTGTCAATGCTCCCCCCTTTTTCCTTTAGTGGGGGGCAGACTCATGCAATTTTCTCATGTGTGGTCACATCTGATGTCAGATGCTTGGGTCCTTCAGGCAGTGACGGGTTATCAGATAGATTTTGTGTCACAACCAGTCCAAACCTCCCTCCCAGGGAAATTGTTTTTTCCCCATCAGGATGCTTTCCTGGTATCCACACAAGCCATCACAAAGATTCCGACCCATGTGGAGGGGTAAGACCATTCATAAACCTAAAGCAACTAAACAGTTATTTATCCTATAACCATTTCAAGATGGAAGGCATACATTGTCTTTGCGATTTACTCCAACCAGCGGATGGCAAGATTAGATTTACAGAACGCTTACCTCACGGTTCCTATAGCAAACCAACATCAAAATTTTCTCCAGTTTATGTGGCAGGGACGAAAATGGAGATTCAGGTGTCTCCCATTCGGCATGTCGTCAGCTCCGTGGTGTTTCACCAATTTCATGAAACCAGTGGTTGCTCAACTAAGGAGTCGAGGTATTTGGCTTCTCATTTATCTGGACAAAACCTGGGTTTCCTTTTCAATTGGGAAAAGTCCGTCATGGCTCCTTCCCAACGTATCGAATTCCTGGGACTAATGGTCGATTCAACTCTTCAGACTCTACATCTACCAACATCAAAGCTGGTAAATATCAGAAAAGAAATAAGATGTATGTTGGCTGTTTCCCAACTCTCCATCAAACACTTGGCACGGGTCATTGGACTCCTCGCAGCTTCCATCCAAGCCATATTCCCAGGTCATCTACACTATCGGGCACTTCAATGGCTGCAAGCCTCTTACCTCAGAGGCGGAGCATCAAACCAAGACATGGTGACATTGGACAAGGAGGCGAAAGACGAGCTTCATTGGTGGCTTCTCCACATGGAAGTCTGGAATGGACCCCTGACCTGATCATAGAATCGGATGCAAGCTTACACGGTTGGGGTGAGCATTGTGGAAATATTTCCACAGGAGGCAGATGGTCAGATCTAGAATCAACACTACATATCAATTGCCTGGAACTTCTGTCCGGATCCTTTGCTGTGCGCAGCCTCTCTCCAACCCACTCCGAATGCACAATCCTACTGAAGATGGACAATATTCAGCAGTCAAATACATCCACCATCTAGGAGGCACGAAGTCCAAAGTGCTGGCGAGCATGGCTCGCAATTTTTGAAAATTTTGCCTTCTGCACAATGTTTTGGTGACAGCAGAATATATTCCTGGCCTCTCAAACACCACAGCAGATTGGTACTTCCCCACCTCAAAGTCTTCAGCGACTGGCGTCTGAACCCTTTAATATTCCAGAAAATCACAGACCTGTGGGGACCGTTGGGAATAGATCTCTTTGCCTCTCGAATTAATGCGCAAACCCATAATTTTTTCAGCTGGAGACCAGACCCGACGGCTCTGGCAACAAATGCTTTTTCCCAAGATTGGTCTACGAAAACAAACTATGCATTTCCCCCATTTGCACGGATTCCTCGTTGCCTACTTTACCTACGTCACCAACGAGGCATGTTGGTGCTCGTGACCCCGCTATGGGCATCACAACCATGGTTCCTGCATCTGTTGGAAATGGCAGTGGATTTTCCTCGTCTTCTCCCATTGTACGACTCTCTCCTCCAAGACCCGGATGGTCAACCCCACCCACTGATCCTCGAGGGCCTTCTACGTCTTATAGTGTGGCTGATTTCAGGGGACCTTCGACAATCCCAGTTATTCCTCAGTCTGCTATCAGACTTCTCGAGAATGCAAGGCACCTGGCACGAGGCTAGCTTATAAACCTGCTTGGAATGCATGGAATGGTTGGTGCCTGGAAAGAAATCTGGATCCCTTATCAGCTCCTTTAACATCCATCTTACATTTTCTGACTTCTCTTTTTAAGGCAGGGAAAGCATACCGCACGGTTAATCTTTACCGTTCTGCGCTTTCCGCAGGACATCAAGGTATTGATGGTATCCCCATTGGACAACATCTCTTTGTCTGTGGCCTCCTTCGCGGAGTGCGGTTTTCTCGTCCTCCTTTGCCTCGTTATACTTCACTCTTGGACATTTCTCAACTTTCTGGAGTCATGGCCAGACAATGTGTCGTTATCCCTCAAACAACTTTCTGCTAAAATAGTCTTGCTTTTTTGCCTAATCTCATGCAAGAGAGTTTGACGTATGGGCTCTTGACACAGATGCTCGCTCTTATACTTCTGAAGGCGTCCTTTTTTGACATCTCTAGACGGACAAGACCTCTTCCAAGTCTGTTCTATACCTGGCCTTCCCAGAGAGACCTTTGCCCTTTGCTCAGTGGCATTTTATGGGAATATGAAAGTCGTACAATCTCTTTACGGAATCCTCAAAAGCATCAACTGTTCATCTCCTTCCGCTAACCACACCTACTGGTATCCTCTCTTTCATTAGCCTGATGTGTAAAATGGATTATGGCCCTAGCCGGCATCGATACTTCTGTATTCTCCACACATTCAGTGCGTGGTGCTATGGTTTCTAAAGCTTCTGCAGTCGGCTGCCGTTTAGAGGATATTTTACAAGCTGCCAACTAGTCATTGGAATCTACATTTCAGAATTTTTATTTTAAACCCATTCAACATTTTGCAGGAACGATCATACCACAGCTTTAAACTAGCATAATAGGAGCCCCCGTGTCTTATTAAAATGACCAGATTTTACTATTTCATGACGTAAAGTCACGATTTTATTAATGACACGGAGGCGAGTATTATGCTGCACTTTTTCTTTATTTCCCTCAGCAGCAAAGAAAAAAATAACATTAAATCAGTATAATAAACAATCCAAAAACATAAGAGCTATATCTTCCCAGCAATAGGAACAGCCAATCAGATTCCACTCTCTAGCATAATAATAGCTCAGACAAAGCCACCGGCTGTAGCTGTAATGGGGCTGACCCGATGGAACCTTGAAAGAAGTGAAACCATTCTAAAATGGTTTTACTACTTACAATAGGGTGGCACTGGCAAGTGAAGTGTCCCTTTCACCTTTTTTTCATGTGACTAGACACTTCCAACAAAGATCAACACATCTACAGGAAACATACCATAGTATGATTTCTCATACACATATAGGGTGAACATGATTTTTATTTATTTTTAAAGTTTAAAAAGAAAATATATACACAAGATAATAAAAGCTGTAGGAATAAACTTCTGTAACTATTGCTTGGAATTCTATTCAGAATTCTGATCAGATGTTTAGTAACTCAACAAGAGGTAAAAGGTTACCAGAACTTTTCCCAACCTTTTTTTTCCCAACCATCCAGGAAATTTTGGTGGGTCTGGAGAGAAAGCACCCCCATGGGTTGAGCTCCATTCGCCTTTGGAGAATGTGAGGGCTGAGGTCTACCACTTTTCCCCAGAATTCCCTCACTCTTGGGCATTGCCACCACAGGTGTATATAGCTTCCCTTATCACCGCAAAGGTGTCAGCAGGTATCAGTGGGACTCAGTTTCATGTGACATTGCTTAACCGACGTTGTATACAGCCTAAATAATGTTTTGTAGCATTGTTCCTGTAGCGTTACACACATGGACACTTTGGTACAAGCCTCCCATATATCCGCTGCTGCTTGGATCTCCTTGGTGCATGCAAAGTGAAATGTTGACTTTTTAAGAAGCTACAATAAAAGTTGTTTTATTTTCAAAAACTTTAACAAGACCCTGGAGTGCTTTCATTGTTTGCTATATTATTGACATTCACAGTACCCCACCTATCCACTAAAGCAGGGCTCGACAAATCCCAGGCTCCAGGTTGCTATGGCGACCAGGAAATTTGTCCTGGCACCTGGGATTTGTGAGCCTGTTTAGCCCCCGAGGCGACCAGCTGCATGAGAGCAGAGGCGGGCAGCCGGAGGGCTGAGGCAGGATGCTGACTGAGGGAGGCGGGCAGGCGGCCGGCTCATTGAGAAATAAGAGAGGGAGACTGGCACATGGAGAGCTGTGAGAGGGAGGCAGGTGGCTGACAGAGGGAGTTGGGGCGGCCGGCTCATTTTTTGCTGAGTGAGGGGAGCGGCCAGCCTATGGAGAGCTGAGGGAGGCGGACAGCTGACGGAGGGGGCAGCTGGGTAATGGAGAGCAGAGTGAGGCGGGCAGACGGATGACTTAATGCCGCGGCGAGGGAGCTGTAATCGCTCTGCTCCCTCGCACGACTTATGGTGATGCCGGGTTATGACATCACTCCAGCCCCCGGCTCACTAAACAGTGTGCGAAAGAAAGCAGAGCAGGGAGATGACAGCAGCCCCACTGGACCACAGGGAAAGCCTATCCACTGCAGCTCTCCAGAAGTAAGGAAGCTGGGTAGATTTAAATAAAGTAATTACTTGTAAGTGTGTGTGTGTGTGTCTGTATGTCTGTGAGTGTGTGTGACTTTATGTATGTCAGTATGTCTGAGTGTTTTTACTCATCTTTTTTCCCACGCCATGTTGATGACGCTGCGGCTGGCCCCACATCCATGGCTGAGATCAATCTTGACGATCTCAGCCAATCCAATGCTTCCCCATAGGAAAGTATTGGAAGACTATTGCACATGCACGGCAAAATGCCACTGCACCAATTTAACTTCTCATAGAGGTGCATTGAACCACTGCATCTCTATGGGGAACATTAATGTAGGTGCTGCACATTGTGAAGCACTGACCCAGGAAGCATCTCTAGAGGCCATCTGAATGGCTGTCACTAGAGGTGTTACCAGGCAGCAATGTAAACACTGCCTTTTGTCTGAAAAGTCAGTGTTTACAGTGAAAAGCATTCAGGGACAGGTCACCTAAATTACTTTAGCTAAATAAAGCAGTTTTAGTGTATAGATCATTCCCCTGCAATTTCACTGCTCAATTCACTGTCATTTAGGAGTTAAATCACTTTGTTTCTGTTCATGCAGAAAAACTGGTTTCACTTTCAAACAGATGTAATTTACCTTAAATTATTGTATCTCAATCTCTAAATTGAACTTTAATCACATAGAGGAGGCTCTTGCAGGGTCTAGCAAGCTATTAACATAGCAGGGGGTAAGAAAATCTTAATTAAATAGAACTTGCAATAAAGAAAGCCTAAATAGGGCTCTCTTCACAGGAAGTGTTTATGCAAGGCTGTGCAAGTCACATGCAGGGAGGTGTGACTAGGGTTCAAAAACAAAGGGATTGAACTCCTAAATGGCAGAGGATTGAGCAGTGAGGCTGCAGGGGCATGTTCTATACACCAAAACTGCTTCATTAAGCTAAAGTTGTTCAGGTGCCTATAGTGTCCCTTTAAGATGTAATGGTTCTGGTGACTATAGTGCCCCTTTAAAAAATTTATTTTTTTTGCACTGATTTCTCTGACTTAACTTTTCTAGCTGGCTCCTAGATTCCAAGCAAATTTGTCAAGCCTTGTACTAAAGGTACCCCTTTGGAAGTGACCAAAGGAAAACAAACTGAGCAGTCTCTGGAAGCTGTTTAAGCAGTCAGTACTGAAAGTTATCATGTAAACCTCCCATGTTAAAATTAGTGTACGACCCACTAATATTGTGGTACTGTGACATAGTGGTGAAATGAACACAAATATGGCCATATGGTGTAACAGAAACTCCATACTTGTTTGCCAAGATAGATTTTAAGTAGCCTTGTAAAACTTCAAAAACAGTAATTTTGTCTTTGTGTGTTCATTGTTCCTTTGACAGTGTTTTTTTTGTGTGTGTATAACTTAGCCTTTATAGTAGCACCACTGCTTAGAAATGCATGTTCTGGGTGTCCCCCCAATGCCCATTTTATTCACAATTAAAATACTTTTTTAGATTTTATTCATATTCAATTGTGTCCATATATAAATATTTGATGTGAACTGAAAGACCTATTTCTTCTGAACAAAGTGTGGGTGCACTTAACATGAAATTGGTAATTTATGGTTCAACAGACATATAGCTCAAATTCTAGGTTTTGTTTTGGTTCAGAACTTGGACAATTTCCTCCATCCTTAAGGGGTTCAACATTTGAATTATCTATAAAATAATTATCCTGAAATACTGTGCATGCATACCAGACCCAATGATGAGACATTGCACATGTTCATGCTAACAGGACATGACAATAATTTTACACAAAGTTATTAACGTCACTCAATCGCAAAACTCCAACATTTAGACTTTGCACACCCACTTTATTAACTTTTAATGTGGTCACTTGAGTAATTATATTTAGTAACTGGTTATTGAAATAGTTTGAATAATCACTGCAACACTATAGGTATCATTAACTAGGTACTGCATTCTATGGCTCTGGTTTGTATACCTAGTAAAAGGTACATATAACACCATGAACCGAGCTAATGCCACTATATGTTATTTACTGTAGCTGCATTGATTTTCCCAGTACAGAGAAGATTCCTTTGATTGTAGAAGTTCAATCATGGAATTTTTAAATAATTTTTATGTGAATTATGTAACACTCAAATAGGTAGGGTCATTGTGATCAGTTTTCAATTGAGGAATGAGCTATCAAGCTAATTCTGTGTTTGTGAATTTGGCCCATTGCAACAATAAAGTTACAGTATCTCACAAAAGTGAGTACACCCCTCACATTTTTGTAAACATTTTATTACATCTTTTCATGTGACAACACTGAAGAAATTACACTCTGCTACAATGTAAAGTAGTAAGTGTGCAGCCTGTATAACAGTGTAAATTTGCTGTCCCCCTCAAAATAACTCAGCACACAGCTATTAATGTCTAAACTGTTGGCAACAAAAGTGAGTACACCAGTAAGTGGAAATGTCCAGATTGGGCCCAAAGTGTCAATATTTGGTGGCCACCATTATTTTCCAGCACTGCCTTACCCTCATGGGCATGGAGTTCACCAGATGCCACTGGAATCCTCTTCCACTCCTCCATGACAACATCACGGAGCTGGTGGATGTTAGGGACCTTGCGCTCCCCCCACCTTCCGTTTGAGGATGCCCCACAGATGCTCAATAGGGTTTAGGTCTGGAAAAATGCTTGGCCAGTCCCTTACCTTTAGCATCAGCTTCTTTAGCAAGACAGTGGTCGTCTTGGAGGTGTGTTTGGGGTCGTTACCATGTTGGAATACTGCCCTGCGGCCCAGTCTCCGAAGTGAGGGGATCATGCTCTGCTTCAGTTTTTACAGTACATGTTGGAATTCATGGTTCCCTTTAATGAACTATAGTTCCCAAGTGCTGGCAGCACTCATGCAGGCCCAGACCATGATACTCCCACCACCATGCTTGACTGTAGGCAAGACACACTTATCTTTGTAATCCTCACCTGCTTGCCGCTGTTCTATCAGTTTGGTATACCCCGTCAGATTGCTATACCCACGTCACTTCCGGGGAGGGGAATCAGCTGTCTCCTGTGCTGCACATGCGTGCTAGCACTCCTGCTACTCCTCCACAGCAAGGTCCTGGAAGGTAAGTAAAACTAGTTTTACACTTTCATTATAGTTAAGGCATTCACTAAGCTTAGGACATGGGACATTTAGGGTTAATGTTAGGGTTCAAATTAGGGTTAGGATTAGGGACTTGTTCCTATTTAGTGATATTTCACATTAGGGGAATATCACTAAATAGTGATTTCTCACACTTTATTTTAACCCTTACCCCAAGGGTTAGGGTAAGAATAGAGTGTGAGAGAGGTTAGAAGCACTTACCTAACCCTAATTTGTACCCTCACTTAACCCTAAATGTCCTGTGTGCCTAAGCTTAGTGAATGCACTAACTATAATGAAAGTGTAAAACTAGTTTTACTTACCTTCCAGGACCTTGCTGTGGAGGAGTAGCAGGAGTGCTAGCACGCATGTGCAGCACAGGAGACAGCGGATTCCCCTCCCCGGAAGTGACGTGGGTATAGCAATCTGACGGAGTATACCAGACTGATAGAACACCGCCACACACACTTGACAACATCTGAACCAAATAGGTTTATCTTGGTCTCATTGGACCACAGGCCATGGTTCCAGTAATCCATGTCCTTAGTCTGCTTGTCTTCAGCAAACTGTTTGTGGGCTTTCTTGTGCATCATCCTTAGAAGAAGTTTCCTTCTGGGACGACAGCCATGCAGACCAGTTTGATGCAGTGTGCGGGTTATGGACTGAGCACTGACAGACTGACCCCACACCCCTTCAACCTCTGCCGCAATGCTGGCAGCACACATATGTCAATTTCCCAAAGACAACCTCTGGATATGACGCTGAGCACATGCACTTAACTTCTTTGATCAACCATGGTGAGCCCTGTTCTAAGTGGAACCTGTCCTGTGAAACTGCTGTATGGTTTTGCCCACAGTGCTGCAGCTAAGTTTCAGGGTCTTGTCAATCTTCTTACAGCCTAGGCCATCTTTATGTAGAACAACAATTCTTTTTTTTCAGATCCCCAGAGAGTTCTTTGCCACGAGGTGCCATGTTGAACTTCCAATGACTAGTATGAGAGTGTGTGAGCGAGATAACACCAAATTTAACACACCTGCTCCCTATTCACACCTGAGACCTTGGTAACACTAACAAGTCACATGACACGGGGGAGGGAAAATGGCTAATTGGGCCCAATTTGGACATTTTCACTTAGGGGTGTACTACCTTTTGTTGCCAACAGTTCCTATACTTTTTAGGTACGAGGCGCCCTTAATATTTCAATATTTTTCCAAAAATTTTTCTAGGTTCTATATATGTACAGTGCTGCAGCATATACTTGGCCCCTAATCTTTGGGAGTGGCACTGGTAGATTATTTAAAGAAACAATCCAGCCACACTACATTGTAGTGGTTATGGTGTAGTAGTTATGGTGCCAGTAGTGCCCTTCCAGGGTAAGTAGTCAAACTGTTTAAGAACAGTTTGACAACTTATCTGGGGTCTGCCGGGATAGGGGCTGTAGTGTGTGTGTGAGGTACAGTGTGTATTGGGGGGGTGGGGGATAATTGTGTGTATGGGGGATAGTGTGTGTGTATGAGGGGTAGTGTGTGTATAATTGTGTGTATGAGGTCTGTGGGGGTAGGAGGGCAAATTAATAAATATTTACTTAACTTTTTTTTATTAATATAAAAATGATATCATCCCCCTCCCTGCTTACCTTTGCCTGGGAGGGGGTACATTTTCTGCAATCCCTGGTGGTCCCAGTGGAGAGAGTGAACTCTAGCAGCCTAAGGAGCTGCTAGAGTTCACTCTCGCAAGATCTGGAGTGTTGCCTTGGCAACCGGGGCAGAGGAAAGCACAGTTCATGGCGCTATCATCATAGCACCGGGAAAATAACTTGCGGCTCCCGTGTGCCCGTTGCGGCATATAGTTTGGGAACCGCTGGTTTAGACATTAATAGCTGTGTGTGGAGTTATTTTGAGGGGACAGCAAATTTACACTGTTATACAGGCTGTACACTTACTACTTTATATTGTAGCAGAGTATCATTTCTTCAGTGTTGTCACATGAAAAGATATAATAAAATATTTACAAAAATGTGAGGAGTGTACTCACTTTTGTGAGATACTGTAAGTAACACTGCTCTAAAAAGGTATCAACACAGGATTAGTTATTACTCCCAATATGTACCTCCTTAAAACACCATTATTATTAAAGTTTTATGTGTGGCATGCACTGTACACACAATTTGAAATGAGGTTGTCAAGGAGGGAAAAAAAATAATTTGCAACTTTTCAGATTTCGAGTGAAGTACACTTCATGATTACATTTTACACAATTTAGTTCTTCAAACATTGTGATAGCAGTTTGGTAATATAGCCCTGTGGCAAACTCCCATTTTTACCAGAGTTTGCCAGCCTTCTGCCTACAGACTATGGGCCCTGCAGGGAAACTTGTAAAAGACTACCGAACTTAACCGACTGTTCGCACTGATTTCATTGGAACTGTTTTGGGCATAGGACTATGTGCACGGTCGGTCAAAGCGCTGGGAAGTGACAGTTCTTCAAAGCTTGTGAGCCTCTCTTTGTTTTACTCCTTGTGTCTCTTCTTTTATGCTTTTTACTGGCCTCTCTTTTTAGTTATCTCTTTCTGCATCTGTCCTGTCTTTTTCTCTTATTCCAAACCCCTTATGCTTTAGCCTCATATTTATTAAATCCCGCTTTATTCCCTAGACCGCTTTCTCATCCACGGAGGTATAATGGATAGGAGTGAGAATCGAGAATTAATAGCCTTCTCAGTTCTTTCAACCTCTGATCCATTCTGAAACAATGAGTGGGGCAATGAGAGAGACCCTGGAATACTACATCACTTATATCCTAGTGCCATGCAGAAGACACAAGGCACAACAGAGCAGAAAAAGACAAAGCTTAGTTATCCTGCTTTAGGCACCAAGGAGACAGGGAATTGTAGTTCCTCTGCTGCATAGGTGCTAGCACAGAGTCCAAGTGTGCACTTGACAGTCAGATGCTTATGTGGGAAGAGTGGAACTAAGTTTCACTGTACTTTACTTGGCCTGATATGTGAACACATCCAGTCCATGTAAATTTTACACTCTTAGTGTAAAGTTTTCCTAGAGGAGTAGTGGATTTAACACCAATGTGGGGTTAATTCTCTATTAACACCCGAATTACTCAGTTCTTGGCAAGCTGTTGTCCATATTCTTTGAGTTATGTACTATATTTTTTTTTATTAGTATACATATTTGTGTTTTCTCCCTTCAAAATGTGTGTGAATTTGCCTGTCTAGAGACTATATTCTTTTGAATTTTCAAATAAAAAATAACATTTGATTTTAATATAGCCACATGTATGTGTTAATACAAAGTTACCAAAAAGCAACAAACTCTTTGGTGTTTTACCCATTGATTCTATGATGCACTTGTCACTAAAGCATTGTGCTGCAATCTCAAGACAGATCAGCCACCTGCTGTTGTAAAGAGATAAGAAATTGCAGCCACAACAACTGATTCCATGAATGAGAGAAGAAAACGGGTAAGATCGTTAAAAAAAAATAAAAATTATAACAAGGTCAGTGTGATTCCAAAAGATAAACACTAAGTAGAACTAATAGCATTCAGTGCCCTAGAGTCCACACCAGCACTAGGACTGGCATAGTGCTTAACACTTACAAATACTATCACAGTGAGTAATCCTATATTAATAGAACCTAAAAAAATAATAAAATTATTACAGTAGATACTAATGTTACCAGATATAAAGCAAACAAAAAGAATAAACAAATATATACAAAATTACCCTTTATAGCATGGGTGTCAAACCATTTAGCATCCCTTCGCCGCATTGAGCGCAGAGGAATTGCCTTGGGCCACACATAATATCTATAATATAATGAATGTAATAAAACTTCAAAACCCCTTTTCTTAATTTTGATATTTCAGTTGTTTAGTAGATAACTCCCTTATTTGTTATCCTTATGTGGGATTGACATATTTAAGGATACCAAATTAGGGTGCTATCTACTAAACATATACACATGTAAATGCATATGCACACATAACCACAGACATACACACACACACACACTCACAAAACTATACACAGATAATCACAGACACACATACAATCGCAGACCTATAAACACACAATCACAGATGTACACACACAATCACAGACCCACACACGCACACACATACAATCCCAGACCTATACACACACTACATGAGATATATATACACATATACACACGCTCAATACAAACAAGTGCCGCGACAGACAAACATACAAGCTTGCTCACTAGCAGGCACATGCACACAAAGTCACTGACAAACTGAAGCTTACCTGGCACTGAACACTTGTGAAAATTGATGGCAAGATGAATGCAACATGGTATCAGAAAATACGCATTCTTCTGCACAAAGGCTGCCCTTGGCTTTCCAGCATGACAATGACCCTAAGCACAATGCCCAATTGACCCTCCAGTGGTAAAAGCAGAAAGAGGTGAAGGTTCTGGAGTGACCATCACAATCTCCTGACCTGAATACCATCGAGCCAATCTGGGGAGATCTCAAACGTGCAGTACATGCAAGATAACCAAAGACTTTGCATGACCTGGAGGCATTACACAGTTATAAGAACTACGGATATGCAGACTTTTGATCAGGAGTCATTTCATTTTTATTCTTTGTTGCCATGTTTTGTTTTAGGATTGTGCCATTCTGTTATAACCTACAATTGAATATGAATCCCATAAGAAAAAATGTTTTTGTCTTGCCTGCCCACTCATGTTTACTTTTAAACAGGTACATATATTACCAATTCTCCAAGGGTATGCAAACCTTTGAGCACAACTGTAAGTATATTCTCCTTATAACAGTCCTATGAAGTTAATGTAGGTCCCAGGTCTCACTTTTCTGATTGAGATATTGATTATGTGATATAGGCATTTATTATTACCAGTATCTCCAATTTAGGGCATTGTAGGTTCCAGGTGCTATTTTCCTGGTGACTGAAGTATTGAGTATGAGAAAGGGGAATATCTTCTTAAAATCGCTATCTTACTTTGGGATTACATATGTCCCAGGATTTTTCACCATTGTGACTGAGGTATAGAGTGTAAACTATAGGTATATATTTCTGAGGTATTACAATTAAAGACCTTCCTTTGCTCACTGATATACTTGGTTTTCTCCTTTTATTCATATGCAGACCTGGATCCCCGATCTTTGTATAGGATTACAAAGGACATACGGAATACAATATATAGTCAGAGTTTAAATTATACGGATAGAGCTTAGAATGCTTAAAGGACCACTCTAGGCACCCAGACCACTTCAGCTTAATGAAGTGGTCTGGGTGCCAGGTCCTTCTAGGGTTAACCCATTTTTTCATAATTTTAGCAGTTTCAGAGAAACTGCTATAATTATGAATGGGTTAAGCCTTCCCCCAAAGCCTCTAGTGGCTGTCTCATTGACAGCCACTAGAGGCGCTTGCGTGCTTCTCACTGTGATTTTCACAGTGAGAGCACGCCAGCGTCCATAGGAAAGCATTGTAAATGCTTTCCTGAGACACGCTGAATGCGCGCGCGCTCTGCGCATGCGGGAGGAGGAGGAGGGAGGAGGAGAGCTCTCCGCGCTGGAAAAAGGTAAGTTTTTACCCCTTTCCCCCTTCCAGAGCCGGGCGGGAGGGGGACCCTGAGGGTGGGGGCACCCTCAGGGCACTATAGTGCCAGGAAAACGAGTATGTTTTCCTGGCACTATAGTGGTCCTTTAAATAAAGAAAATTATTTATGGTGAAGCCTATATTAGCTTTGTACAAGTGATATTAAAGAATGGTCTCATAACGGCTCTATACAGTAATAAAGTCAGAATAGAGAGACCATCTGGTTTTATTTTTGAATTAGGTAACTAGGCATATAGTAAATAGTTTGCTATAGGGGTAATTTTGTACATTTTGTTTCTTCTCTTTTATCTCTCTTTTATTCTGATTATATTATCTACTGCAAGACTTTCATTAGGTTTTTAGATGTTTACAAAACTTAATATAAATACAGTGGACATTACTTATTACATGTACAATTCATCTGCTTTCTATCGTATTAATCATTTCAAATTACAACACATAAAAGGATATTCTATGAAAAAGTCAAGAAAGGTTCCTGATACCCACATTATGCCAAATAAAAATAAAACATATTACACTAATAATAACCCAAAGGAATACAACATGAAGCTTTAAAAATTGACAGCACTCTTCTTTTACTAGAATTATTTCTCTGCTAAGCAAATATAGTCCAATGCAAAACAGGTGGTCTAGGGCAAGAGATGCTTTTCCATCCTAGTACAATGTGGGCCACTAGAGGGCATCTGAGGTATCCATCAAATACAAGCTACTTTTTAAACTAGAAGCATTACATTATGAGTAAGTTCATTTTTGAGTATGATTTTATATATATATATATATACACACACACACACACACACACTAAAATAAAAATATAGTATTTATACAATCTGTTTCACTAGAAGGAATCCATAAATTTGATATAATAATATAACTGCCATGTAATGTATCATTATATTAATGCTTAGTCAGTCCAATCAGTATTGCTAAATTTGGATTAGACCATTAAATGTCAGTCATATAGGTTTTCCAGACTCACAAATCACACACCAAACTTAACGCAATAATTTCTCCAAAAACACAAAAATTAAAAAGGTAGACATAACTGGCAAAGGATTGCCTTTAGCAACATAATGCATGTATTATACACACTGAGTGCCTGGCATGTCACATGAGGACAAGCCATAAGGCAGATAACCCTCACTGGGAGAGTTGGAGATAGTGAAGGGGACCTGCACACTCGAAGAAATGTGTGTTGTACACAAGAAGAAGGGGTGAGCAGTATATAGGAGGATGAGTTAGCAGACAGGAGCATGGAGGGGTCTGCATGGGAAGGAATCAGCACACAAGCACGGGGGACTATATACACCTGAAGGAAAGGGAGAGTGTGTACACAGGGCAATGGGGTCTGTATACTACATAAGGAGTGTGTACACAGGGCAATGGGGTCTGTATACTACATAAGGAGTGTGTACACAGGGCAATGGGGTCTGTATACTACATAAGGAGTGTGTACACAGGGCAATGGGGTCTGTATACTACATAAGGAGTGTGTACACAGGAGGAGGAGTCTGTACACAGGAGAATGAAGAGGGGAGGGGTCTGCATGCACCACACGGAGTTTGCACACAAGAGGTGTTCAGCACATTAGTGTTAATGGGGGTATACACACAAAACAAGCCCGAGGAGTGCACCCAGGGTCACTCTGTATGAGGAGCGGGAGCAGCTCAGGCTGGGAATGCACACAGTGTGGGGAGAGCTGGGGTCACGGTTAGCGGACTATGCCGGGGCAGGTACATGGCAGCCAGTCGGACACACAGCCCCCATCCCACCCCCTCCATCACACAGGCCGCCTCACCTCTTATTATTCACACAGATCCTGTCCGCCGAGTCGGACTCCCTGTTCTTTTGTTCTTGTCTCCGTCCGCAGGCCCGGGATGAGACCCTCTCTCTCTCTCTGTGTCCTCGCTCCCTTCCCGCTGATCCCTGCCCACCTCTCTCCCCTCTCTCCTCCTCCTCCTCGCTCCTGCCAACCGACCCAGCGCGAGCTAGCGAGCGCGCGCCTTCCAACTGTCACCTCCCGCCTGCGCGCGCCCGCTCACCGCCGCCGCTACCACAGCCGTGCGCGCGCGCATCCCAACTAGTTCGAGTCCGACTCCGGCCCGCGGAACTCCCGTGGGACCTTCTAGTCACGTGTCAGAGCGCTGGGCATTCTGTGTGGGCAGACAGTCACCGGGCGGGATCTCAGTCACTGTGTATGCTGTCTGTCATCGTCTCACCGGGAGCATGGCTCCTCCACAGCTGGTTATTGTGTAATAATAATAATAATAATAATATGTAGCCCGGCTGTGAGAGAGACAGTCTGCAGCCTATAAAGTGCTCTAACATTTTTGAGAGTTCAAACAAACTTGCCCCCCCACCACCATATAGTTTCCATTTTTGTTACAGAAAATAATGCTTAAATTCGCTTTGGACACGGTTATTCTCTAAACACCGAACTTTAGTCAATTAAGGGAACATTTGAAGGCACCAGAATCACTACAGTGGTTATGATGTATGGAGTGCCCTTGAGCCCTCAGAATGCAAAGTGTGAAACGGTTTGTTAAAGAAGGGTTTGACAATTTATTTATGTCCCCTGGGCGTCAGCGCTGCATCCATATATTCCTGCAGTTTCCCGAGCTACAAAGCTGCACTCATTGGATGAGAGCGCCAAGATGATGCTCATTGGATGAGAGCGCCAAGATGATGCTCATTGGAAGATGAGTGCCAAGATGTTGCTCATTGGAAGATGAGCGCCAAGATGATGCTCATTGGAAGATGAGCGCCAAGATGATGCTCTTTGGAAGATGAGCGCCAAGATGACGCTCATTGGATGAGAGCGCCATGATGACGCTCATTGGAAGATGAGCGCCAAGATGACGCTCTTTGGAAGGTGAGCGCCAAGATGACGCTCTTTGGAAGGTGAGCGCCAAGATGACGCTCTTTGGAAGATGAGCGCCAAGATGACGCTCATTGGAAGATGAGCGCCAAGATGACGCTCTTTGGAAGATGAGCGCCAAGATGACGCTCTTTGGAAGATGAGCGCCAAGATGACGCTCATTGGATGAGAGCACCAAGATGACGCTCATTGGAAGATGAGCGCCAAGATGACGCTCATTGGATGAGAGCGCCAAGAGGACGCTCATTGGATGAGAGCGCCAAGATGATGCTCATTGGAAGATGAGCGCCAAGATGATGCTTGGCATAATAATGCATGGCTAAGAATAAGCAGGCTCTTGGGCTGGACGTACAGTGCCTTTAAGGATCAGAACTTCACGCTGCAGCTCCTAAACAGTGTGGGCCAGGCTGGATACTTGCTGAGCAAGGGACATGAGCAGGAGGTATGTTCTACCTGCTTACCTTCCTTGGTAGTTCAGTTTAGAGGCAATATAGCAGGCCCAGGACATGAAGGTCCCAGGTTCAAATCCCCTGCTACACCTTGCTGTCTGGATGGCACGGGAAAACCGTGACAATCTCTCAGATAATTATTGGATGAGAGCGCTAAGATGATGCTTATTGGATGAGAGTGCTTTTGGCTAATGACTGCAGCCCTGCATGGTCCTGCTTGGTTGAACAATCTGGAAGCGGGTAGTGAAGTGCCCAGTGGGACGCAAAAAATGGTTTTACAAATTACTTTGTGAGCGCCCTGTAAAGCAAAGCGGGTGCTTTGGGACTTTAATAAATTGTCAATCTGTAGTGAAATAGTTAGACTACCGTGTTTCTTATATTAATTTTAGTCACAAAAAACACACTAGGGCTTATTTTCAGGGTAGGGCTTATTTATTTACGGTACCGGTATGTACATTGAACCCCCCCTTTAATTAATCCACCCCCCCTTTAATTAATCCACCCCCCCTTTAATAAATCCACCCCCCTCTAATTAATCCACCCCCTCTAATTAATCCAGCCCAATTAATCCACCCCCTTTAATTAATCCACCCCCCTCTAATTAATCCACCCCCAATAAATCCACCCCCCCAATTAATCACCCCCTCTAAAATCCCCTCTAATCACCCCTCTAATAAATCCACCCCCTCTCCACCCCTAATTAATCCACCCCTCCTTTAATAAATCCACCCCCTCTAATTAATCCACCCCCTCTAATCCAAATCCACCCACCCTCTAATTAATCCACCTCTATTAATCCACCCTAATAAATCCACCCTCTAATAAATCCACAATAAATCCACCCCCTAATTAATCCAAATCCACCCCTTTAATTAATCCACCCCCTTTAAATCCACCCCCCTTTAATAAATCCACCCCAGCTAATTAATCCAGCCCCTTAATTCACCGCCCCCTTTAATTAATTCACCCCCCCTTTAATTAATTCACCGCCCTCTTTAATTAATTCAGTCCCCGCCCGGAAATGGATCCTTCCGCTGAAGATCCGTGAAGGCAGACTGACGGCGCTGCGCACGTCGTCATCACGTTGCGCGATGCTGCGGCCCGCAACGCTCCTCCTCCTCATAGAAGAAGGAAGTCCCGCCGGGCCGAAAGGTGCAATGCATAGGTCTTATTTTCGGGGTAGGGCTTATATTGCAGCCCACCCCGAAAATTCAGCTAGGGTTTATTTTCGGGGTAGGGTGTATTTTCAGGGAAACACGGTACAAACAGTGGGATGGTGCCAGGGCACTCCTAGCACCAAAACAGAAGGTTGTAGTGTTTATGGTAATTAGATTGTTCCTCACAAATTAATACTTATAGGGCAATTGAACTTATGCAGCCCTAAAGTATGCTTTATTTATTTATACAAATTCCTCAATCTCAAAGTCACTCATTTTTATTAGCAGCCTTGGAACAGATATTTTATCCCAATGCTTTTTATGAGAAGCATTCTGTTGGACAATGCCCAGCACTAAAACGGAAGTAAAGTAAGGGTTGAGCATAAAGAGAGTGGATTCAGAGCCGGGTAAAGATTGCCCAGGCCCTAGTCAGGGTGCCAAATTTGGTCCCACTCCTAGAGCCCTTGAATGTATTTCTGTGAGCACGGCTGTCTTTAACACGGGGCAGCTGCCCCGGGCCCAGTTGCTCCTGGGGGGCCCCAGAGCAGCTGCCCCGTGATTTGAGCAGCCCCCATGGACCCGGCGGTGCGGCTGCACAGAGCCGCACACTAAAGAGGACCCCTGGGTGGCCCATGCACTAAGGGCCACCCGGTGGGCATGAGTCAGCAGGTGCCCGCCCCTTTCTGTTTGGCAGCCGGCTGGGAGGAAGTGAGTGCCGCGCGTCACTTCCTCCCACCGGAGATCAAAGCCGCGTGGGAGGAGGAAGGCAGGGAGGAGGGGAGTTCCAGAGCATAACTCCCAACTGCCTCAGCCTGCCACTGGACACACTGAATTGTGTGTGTATATTCTACCTGCTTAGCTTCCTTGGTAGTTCAGTGGTGGATCCCTGGCAGTCCAGTGAGAGAGTTTCCTGATCCCCACCAATATAATACAGATTCCTGCACTCTGAGTCCTGAAGAAGCACCAGGGGGCACGAGGCTGTTCTAAGTATTGGTACAGACCACAATGCTTCGTCTTCAAAGTGAGGAAGCACGGCATCGTATAGGGAGATCTTTTTATTTCCCTTCCGGCTCAAGGATAGCCTGCTCCAAGCCAAAGCTCCAGTCACAGACATGGACCCAACAATATAATATATTGCAGTAGGTGCAGTTTTATATTGAAAAGCTGCGCATACAGACTCCAAGCACCACGACTACTTAAAATCAATTAAGTAGTCATGGGACTTGGAGTAACCATTTAAGCTAAGCTGTTAATTTTGAGTACATAGATTTGCAGAATAACAATGGGATTAACCCCTTAAAGACCAAGCCAAATGTACACGTTTTGATCAAAATAAAACGTAAACAAAACTTGGAATTTCACTATTTGTCTGTTCAACCGTAATTACTTACTCCATATACTGCTATTTGCCCCTTACACAAGTATTAAAGGGACACTATAGTCACCTGAACAACTTTAGCTTAATGAAGCAGTTTTGGTGTATAGAACATGCCACTGCAGCCTCACTCAGGGACGTATTAGCCGCGAGGCAAACAAGGCATTTGCCTTGGGCGGCATTTTTCAGGGGGCGGCAAAAAAAGCCGCCCCCCAAATGCCCAGGGCAGATGCCTAGTTAGCCTTGCGGCTAACTGACATCCCGAGCGGGCGGGTGGCGCTGGCAGGCAGGCGGCTGGCGAGGGAGCTCTTCCTCTGAGCTCTCTGCTCAGCTCCCTCGCGCGTCGCAGAGTGAGGCTGGGAGCCGGAGGATGACGTCATCTTCCGGCTCCCAGCCTCACTCTGCAGCCGGCGCGCGAGGGAGCTGGGCAGTAAGCTCAGAGGAAGAGCTCCTTCGCCTGCCTGCCAGCGCCGCCCAGCCCGACCGGCAGCCACTGGACCACCAGGGAGAGAGAGACCTCTCCCCCCCCAGCACTCCCAAAGGTAAGGAGGTTGGGGGGGGATTTAAATTTTAAAAAAAAGTTAATGTGTGTGTGTGTGTGTGTCTGACTGTGTGTGTGTTTGTGTCTGACTGTGTTTGTGAGTGTGTGTGTGTTTGTGTCTGACTGTGTTTGTGAGTGTGTGTGTGTTTGTGTCTGACTGTGTTTGTGAGTGAGTGTGTGTGTGTGTCTGACTGTGTTTGTGTATGTGTGTGTTTGTGTCTGACTGTGTGTGTGTGTGACTGTGTGTGTTTGTGTCTGTGTATGTGTCTGACTGTGTGTCTGTGTGTGTGTGTGTTTGTGTCTGACTGTGTGTGTGTGTTTGTGTCTGACTGTGTGTGTGTGTGTGTTTGTGTCTAACTGTGTGTTTGTGTCTGACTGTGTGTGTGTGTGTTTGTGTATGTGTGTGTTTGTGTCTGACTGTGTTTGTGTCTGCGTCTGACTGTGTGTTTGTGTCTGACTGTGTGTGTGTGTGTGTATTTAGAAGGTGGGGCGGGGGGAAGGGTTGGGTGGGGGTGGCGCGGGGGGAGGGGGGCGTCTGAGTTTTGTCCTGCCTAGGGCAGCACAAAACCAGGATACACCACTGGCCTCACTGCTCAATCCTCTGCCATTTAGGAGTTAAATCCCTTTGTTTATGAACCCTAGTCTCACCTCCCTGCATGTGACTTGCACAGCCTTCCAAGATATGACACTATCACTATGTCACTTTAAGGTTTCACAGTTAAGAGGGTGAAGAACTACAAGAGATGTGTATATGAATAAGGACAAGAAATATCTTATTAATACATGTTCTCTCTCTCCCTTTTCACATTTTGCATTTCATTAATTAGGTATTCATAAAGGAAATGTATGTTGAATCAGCTGGATATTGAATGTATTTTATTTATTGATTAAATGTATTTGTTTTATACTATAATTGAACTTGTTTATGTATAAGTAATGATGAATCTGTGAATGTATATATCGCAGTTTAAGGGTGAGATGCCCGTTTTGGACGAGGGTGAAGCAGCCATTGATTGTAATTAAGATGAGTCTGCCGATCCTGACGTTCTCTCTGGACGTCACTGTGGCAAACCTAGCCACTTTGACATTATTTAAGTACTGTCACTTTAAGGGTTGCTTGTATGTTTTTCGGGTTATGTGTGTTCCAGCGTGTAATGTAATGCAATTGTATAACTGTATTTCCTGCCTTGGCTATCTGCCGAAAGCAGATAGCTGATTCCCTTTCGTTTCACGAACGGCACCTTTGCGGGCTGTTCGTGAACTGAACAAACCATCATTTAATAGCCCACACACTTAGAGACGTGTGGCGCCTATTAACCGATTGCAACAATGTTGCAATTGGTAATTAGAGGCTCTCCAAGGTGGCCGTCGTTCAACTACCGACCATGCGGCGGTCGGCCATCTTGGATCCTTTGTTCCCTCAGCGGTGTTTGGTCGTCGAGCGCATGGTACTAAAAACGGCTACTCGACGGCATGAACACCGCTGAGCTTCCAGGTCGTTCGGGAGGTCCGGGCCGTTCGGTATCCTGTTCCCTTACATGCAATCGGTCTTTTGAAGATATGTTTTAATGAATGTGTTTTTCGTGCGGCGTTCGGTTGTTTCAGCTGGGATCTGAGCGGTAATCTCACGAATAATGCGCTCAGACCCCAGCTATCTACCGAACGTCCATTCGTTTAAATAGACCGTATATTCAGAGAGTTATACATTTTAATACGAATTGTAGGTTCTGCTGCATGGAGGGATAATCCACTTAACGGTACATTCCTGTGGGAGGATCCCTCTCGTGCAGCAGTGCCTGATGGGAGAAATGTCCTGTACAGTAAGTCCCCCATGTAGTCCCCTCTGGGAATGCCCCTGGGAGGGGACACAGGAAACTCCTTGCATGGGGACTTGTATAAATTGTGGAGCAGAAATAAAAGACCTCAGTTGACTCCCAGCCTATGTGTCGTCTAGTTCTTGGAAAGGAAGGGTTACTACAGTGCTACTTGGATTATTGTATGCTGATTCCCTGGATTATCCTTTGTTGTTCCTGTTACCCAGCGGAGATATCGTGGATTATACTGCCTCTCCGCTACAATTGGTGGCAAGCGACGGGATTGAATCTACACAGCAAAGCAACGTTCGGCAGAATTTAAAGCGAATCAAGGAGCAGCAATTCAGGAATTAGCTCATTCGAATGAAACCCACGAACGGCCGGTGAATGGGAACAAATTACGCCCTGTTAAAACAGAGCATACTAAAGGAGCTGCTGGAAGCAAGAGGAGCAATAGCCAGTAACAAGGCAAAGGCTGTCCTAATTACAGAGCTCATGGAAGGAGACAGAGCCGCAGCTGCTGCAGCACCTCAAATGGAGGGAGAACCCAACGAATTTGTAACCGAATTCAGAGCACGAATGGCTTTATTCCCTGAACCACCATCTGCAGAGATGGTTAACCAGCTCTTCGCTGATGTACAGGAGTACATCATGTCTAGGAGGGCGCAAGGGAATCAACAAGTCGGAGAAAGAGCCGCAACGCCCGTCAATATCCTCCCAGGGAAAGCCAAAATTCCATATCAAGCCTTTAAAAGCTATGTGGAGGCTGACGGTGGCGTTGACGACTACTTACAGGACTTTGAGAGGCTGTGTTTGCTGCATGAGATCAGCGATGCAGAGGAGAGAGGACCCGGAGCTCAGGCTGCAGCTCCTCCGGGTCCTCCTCTCGCGAGATTTGCAGCGTTGCCGCGGTTACCACGGCAACGCTCCAAATCTCGCGAGAGTGAACTCTAGCCGGGCTAGAGTTCACTGTCCCCACTGGGACTCGCGGGGAATCACCACTGGGACCACCAGGGATCGAAATATGTCCCCCCTCCTCCCCAGTAAAGGTAAGAAGGGAGGGGGGACATAGAATATATATTTATTTTAATTAAATAAATAAAAATATATATTATTTAAAAAAAAGCCCCCCTACCCTTATCACACACTCTATACACATACCCCCATGCATTGCCCCCCATACACACACATTGCCCCCCATACACACACACTGCCCACCCATACACACACATTGCCCCCCATACTGCCCCCCATCCACACACATACTGCCCCCCTGCCCCCCCACACACACATATACACACACATTGCCCCCCATACTGCCCCCCACACACACATTGCCCCCATACTGCCCCCACACACATACACATTACTGCCCCCATACACATACACATTGCCCCCATACATACTGCCCCCATACACACACATTGCCCCCCATACACACACACTGCCCCATACACACATACACTGCCCCCATACACACACATACACTGCCCCCCCCCATACACACATACTGCCCCATCCACACACATTGCCCCCCATACCATACACACACATTGCCCCCATAACGCCCCCACACACATTGCCCCATACACACACATTGCCCCCATACACAGATACTGCCCCCCATACACACACACTGCCCCCATACACACACACTGCCCCCCATACACACACATTGCCCACACTCACACATACACTGCAATACTCACACACACACTGGAACTGTTACACACATACACTGCATCCCTGACATACACTGGGATGGTTCGTAGGGAAAATGCCACTTGTTTAAAATTTTAGGTCAGACGGTAATGCTAGCTATTCTGCGGTCGGCATGCCAAAGGTGCTGAGTGCCTTGCGGTCATGGCGCTTAAGGGCTAGATCTTCCATAAAACTTAAAATATACAGGCCAACATTATGAATTATACGTCTCCAGACAAGTTTCAATCCCCCAAGTGTAATGTCCAAATATCCGAATTGAAGATACCAAGCCCGAGTGATTATTGAATAAAGTTTTGACCGTGCTTGTCTTTGAACAGGAGCTCCTGTGGTATTGGTATGTTTTTCCTTATGTGAAAATTTGTATTTAACTTCCATTTTCCTGTATAAAATATACATTTCTTAGCTTTGGGTTTTTAACAATACTTATTTTAATCGTCAACCCTTCATTTGGGGGGAAGTTTCCATGGTACAGTTTTCAATATTTAATTTAGCTTGCTAGCTAATTTCTTTGAGGTAATTTTTATATGTACCCTTTTGGCTTAGTATATATATATATATACACACACACATATATACACACACGCACACACATGTATTTATACACTAGCTGTAATAGGAAACAAAAAAACATTGTGAATGTTATTTAAATAGTAAAATCTTACCTTTACCAGTCAGACACACTTAGAGACATCAATTGATTGTGCACCTGTTCATGTGGAACAGCACTCAGTAATTTAGAATGATTGTCTAATGGTTGTGTTAGAGATTTACCAAACCCAATTAAGTTTACTTTCAGAATAGCCGGGTTAATAAATAACCTGGCTGAGAGAATCACCTCACCGTATCTGAAGCCAAAGGGACTCTGACCTGTTCTAATAAAGCTTGTACATCAGATTATAAACACTTTCCTACAAAAATCGTGAGGTAACTATTAAAAAGAATTACTGAATACTTAATGCTTTCTTTCTATGTGTATGGTGATATCATTGTTGACAGTGTCTTGAGAAACAGAAACAGAAAAACTGATTTCCTTTATGCAATTATTATAAATTTAAAGTGGCTTTGTCACTTTTTGGGGGGAAAGATCCTGCAAGGTAACATGTCTGTTTGTGTAAATGTGACCAAAAAGGGGAGCAATGGCATGCGCAGGTCGGGACTTTGTTGTTTTGGTGCTAAATTTGAACAGCTAGCGCTATTTAAGCTGTGCTAGACCCTCCTGTCAGCAGGATGCTGTTCAGGTTGGGTCTGCCATGTCATCAGACCCCAACATGGCTCTGAGGTTTTTGAGGTGAGATATATTTTGTCTCTACTTTAAAGATCTCTGTTTAATTTTCAAATTTGGAGTTTAAAGTTGATTTTTGTTCTCTTTCAGAATGTCTATTCCTCTTTCACCTGATAAAATGTAAAAAGACATGAATCTTGCACCTGCACCCACAAAAGTTACTGCTAACTTTTATGCTGCAGTAAATACTCTACTCCTCTACCGAATGGATAAAAGATGTAATTTATGTTTGGCTGAGAGTCTGGAAAAATCCAAGCAGAAAGACATGCAGTCTTTTTTGATGATAATTTTGCTCAAACTTTTGAGTCTTTTAAGAAAACAGTCAGATCAAGTATTCCGGTAGCTGCTCATGTTACAACTAGTAAGAAACATAAAAGGAGAACATTGAAAATATCCTCGGGAGAATGCTCAGCCTCAGTTTTCTCAGAAACTTCTGATTCGTCATCAAGTGTGGAGATGGGTTTCCCACCAGACGAGCTGAGAAATTTTATGAAGGAGGTATTATTGATTTTGACTGAAGATCTATCTAAAAAATCTAAGGAAAAAGGTTTTCCTTTTCAGAATAAACTGATTAACTTAATGTACAGAGAATGGAAACATCCAGAAAAGAGAGCTTTTATTTCAAGGCATTTTAAGAATTTTTTTCAAGATCAAAAGTGATGTGTAAATGGGAAGAACTACCTAAGGTAAACATACATCTTTCAAAAAAAGACAACCATTCCAATTGTAGAAGTTTCCGGCCTTAAAGACCCAATGGACAAACAGTTTCCGGCCTTCCAGTCAGCTGGTTTTCAATGTAATGCCACCTTAGCCAGGACTTCTGCTGTTAAAACTCAAAGCTTTTGGATACAATCTCTGGAAGATTGTTTGATGGAAGATGCTGACAAAGATTTAGCCCATATCATGAATAACTTGAAACTCTCCAATTAAGTTTTAATGCATATGTCAGAAGAAATTCTGGAATTGGCAATGTGCATTATGGGTCTTTCCTTTGTAGCCATAAGGGCTACACTTTCATGACTGGGTGGATTTTATCCCACCCACTAGATTATTGGGGAGAGATTTTTCCTCATTATCACTCGATTCCACTTCCTGCATCCATGTCTTTGCATCATTGTTGCTGCAATTCTGACATCAACAATTCACTCATTAAGACAAACTGGTTACTACTGGTTAGTCCAACTAGTGCTTTTCTTCTAACCAACGCTATTAGATATCCTTGCTGTTCTCTATATAAACTGATGTTTACAAGGTAAGCAGTGTAATATTTTTATTACCGTATGTCACAGTTCTTGTACTTCTACCTTCATCAGATGTGAATTAAACCTGTAAGGTAGTTTTAAGTCTCATAAAAGTAAAGGCCATATTCTAGCATGTACAGTATCTCACAAACGTGAGTACATGCCTCACATTTTTGTAAATATTTTATTATACCTTTTTATGTGACAACAATGAAGAAATGACACTCTGCTACAATATAAAGTAGTAAGTGTACAGCCTGTATAACAGTGTAAATTTGCTGTCCCCTCAAAATAACTCAACACACAGCCATTAATGTCTAAACCGTTGGCAACAAAAGTGAGTACACCCTAAGTGGAAATGTCCAAATTGGGCCCAATTACCCATTTCCTCTCCCCGGTGTCATGTGACTCATTAGTGTTAGAAGGTGTGACAGAACGCCGTCACTGAGTACTATGCCCATGTGTGCCCACTCGCTTGCCTACTTATTGTTTTCAGGTCATATTGCTGGGGATCTCCCTATCTGTGTGGTCCCCCTGTTCCACACATCATGTTTAGGCTTGATTAGAAGATTGTGCTTGTCCCATCCTAAATATGATAAAAATGAGGCTTGAGTATTAATCTATGGGTAGGACTTAATGTCTCTTTTGGATATGACATTGGAACACAAGGCTTGTTCATATCAAAGGACTCCTTATCTAAGAGGCAATATGCTCTGACCTCCCATACAATCAAACTAACCCCTTTTGAAATTAACAATATCACCTCTCCGAGGCACACAGGAGGAGTTGTGTGTAATTGTATGAAGACCCCCTGCTGGGGGTGTGTGTATAACTTGTCTGTACCATGTCCCATTAAACAGAAGTTGAGTTGACTCCCTGGACTATGTTTCATCTGCTTACTAGGGAAATGATGTAACGGACCGTTTTGCACAAAAGGGGTAAAAAGGGGTTAACAGCCGTTTAGGAGATCTTCCCTTTCCAGAGATACAGGCACAGCTACTGCAGAACACCAAACTCCCGAACTGGATACAAAATAGCACTCCAACTCCCGAACTGGAATCTCCCAAATAGCTGCTAGCAGATGAACAGGAAAAGCAGACAATCAGCTTACACTCCTGGCAATCAGTCTCTAACAGCATACAGTGAATCCCCCCAAGAACGAGACAAGGCTCCGTGTTGAGGGTCAAGCAGTGGTCTGAGGTTGGCAACCTAACAGCATACAGTGAATCCCCCCAAGAACGAGACAAGGCTCCGTGTTGAGGGTCAAGCAGTGGTCTGAGGTGCTGGCACACCCAGCCTGGTTTTTATTACAGTCTTTTCAAATACAGGACCGCCCACAGGGAGGTATAAAACAACCAATCACATATCAGTTACATCCCACATATTCCCTCCCCTTATCCTGAGAGGAAACTCAATTACACATATAGTTAAAACATACTTTCTACCCAACTTTCATAACTCTAAAACCATACATCACATTCACATAAAATTACATATTCACAATCAATCCATTCAGGGGAACAACATATTTAAAAAATGGCATGAATCAGACCAGGGGTTCAAAAGTTAGTAAAAGTATCTTGTGGGCCCTGGCTGGCACATGGCTATCTGGCTCAAACAGGTTTTACAGAGCCCTCTATCCTGGAGACAATGGAGAAAGTAATCCAATTATCCAGGGATAGAGGCAGACTCCATTGAGCACATGGTTGCAAAAAGACATAAAACACTTTAAAATACATAAAGTCACCTTTTACACATAACACACAGACATTTCACATATCCCCAGATAGCTGGGATCTGAGCGCACAAAACTACCGAATAGCGCTCAGATCCTATTCACAGTTCAATTGCCATGGAGCCAAAGTCTTTAACTATATGAATGGGCTCCATGGCATAGCTATCTGAGTTAACACATTTACATAAAGTCTGGTCCATAGTCCAAAGGCAGCAGGCGGGCAGCCAGGCTTCTCCAATGCAATGTGGCAAGATTGCTCTCATCACAAATGGGCATTTACTTGTGCTGATGGTTTCAGAGTGGCTAAAGGAAGGTAATAGCGGAGGTAGCCAATCGGGTTACCCGTGGTCTGCTACACAAGATCTCAGGTGTGAATGGGGAGCAGGTGTGTTAAATTTGGTGTTATCGCTCTCACACTCTCTCATACTGGTCACTGGAAGTTCAACATGGCACCTCAGGGCAAAGAACTCATTGAGGATCGGAAAAATAGAATTGTTGCTCTACATAAAGATGGCCTAGGTTATAAGAAGTTTGCCAAGACCCTGAAACTGAGCTGCAGCACTGTGGGCAAGACCATACTGCAGTTTTACAGGACAGGTTCCACTCAAAACAGGCCTCACCATGGTCGCCCAAAGAAGTTGAGTGCACGTGCAAAGTGTCATATCCAAAGGTTGTCTTTGGGGAATAGATGTATGAGTGCTGCCAGCATTGTTGCAGAGGTTGAAGCCATGCAGACCATACGCCGCACACTGCATCAAATTGGTCTGCATGGCTGTCATCCCAGAAGGAAGCCTCTTCTAAAGATAATGCACAAGAAAGCCCGCAAACAGTTTGCTGAAGACAAGCAGACTAAGGACATTGATTACTGGAACCATGTCCTGTGGTCCGATGAGACCAAGATAAAATTATTTGTTTGAACTGGGTTTTCATACGTGCTGAACCAAGTAGGAGATTCAGGTAGGAAACGTCTCTGAGGTGTATTCTTGCTGCACAATGTGACTACAACCTCTGGAGGGTAATTTAGCATAATATTTGTGTGAACATCTCTGCTATGTCCCACTGTTTAGCACTGATTAAGATCTCTAGTCCTTACAGGTTGCATCTCCATGAGTTTTTATCGTCCTTGTGATACTTCCTGTTGTGGTAGCCTCTAATTTCCTTACATTGCATATTGTTCTAATACAGGAATACAAACATCAACAAAAGGTGTGGTGTACTCAGATTGGGCATTCAATGTATGAAAAATACCAATGTAATAAAAAGTGTTGCTAAATTGGCTTACATTCACCATTATGGATCTTCAAAACCTATATACAGGCATAATGATCCAAGTGTGAAGTATATCTTCCCAAATTTTATTCATTTTAAAAACATACAAAAATACAATATAGGGGTGAGGCCTGTCTGCTAAGATTGTGCTTTTCAATAGCTCTGGCTTCTGCACGCTTCTATTGGGCTTTTTCGACTGCATCCCGCCTCGGTAGCAGCTCAGTTAGACCGTTGAAGAGAATTCTGTGGCCGAGGGGGTCACCAGCGATACAAACAGAATACCATTTGGCCATGAGGCTTTCTATGCTGCGTGGTCTACTGCTTGGGGGAAGTGGCTGATCTTCCAAAATGAGACATACTTTTAGCAGAGAAACTGATGCAGCCCCGTAACTCCCCCCTTTGGACCTGTGGGGGTTATCACGGTCCAAGCTGGAGATACTCCTTTGCCGTAGAAGATGCTTCTAGCCCCGAATGTGCCTTCAAGCATAGTGTAGTAGCTCCAATAGAGGTGTGCTTTTTTTTGTTTGTTTGTTTTTTAAATATATTTATCCATAGGCTGGGCAGCTGCACACTATCTGATATACCAAGCTCGATTTGCACGTGTTTTATGATACTGTTTTTTTTCTATTTGTTTTCATAAGCTGTGGAACATTCTATTCATATTGTGCTTTGAGAAATAAAACAATAAAAAAAACACAAAACAAAGAAATATACAAAAGATACTCACTCACAAACTCTATGTCACGGTGTCGCGGGTTTCTGTCAGTGTGACCGCACTGAAAAACAGCAGTCACCCTGACAGAAATAACAAACACTTACCTTACCCGTGGCAGATCCAAACCCAACCTCCTTCCATCTCTGCTCCCGGCGTGTGCGACGTTAACAGAGACGCTGGCTTTTGCGGTTCCATTTTTAACAAAGAAATACCCTTTGCCCATATTAAAGATTGCGCTTGCGTGTGTGCGACATCACGTCATAGACGTGCACGCACGTTTTGGGATCAGAGATCAGCCAATTACAGCTCTAGGAGGGTTATTTGAATTTTGTATTTATTGTGTATTAATATTGATTTTGTATTTTATTGTACCCTATTGTACCTATGCAATGTTTTGTGGACCCAGGACATACTTGAAAATGAGAGAAATCTCAATGTATCTTTCCTGGTAAAATATTTTATAAATAAATTACCTTTCGATCAGTGCCCTGTCATGGTTTCCCTTAGCTGGTTATCCGAAATAGTGTTCCTGATCTTTGTATTTTTGGTATTTGACTTTGGCTTCATTTGACTTCCCTGATTTCTGGTATCCTTGACTTTTGGCTTTCCCTCATCGTTGTGTCTGTATGCCTGACCTCAGCAAGCATTTTGACTATTCTTGGTTACGTTCAGTCCAGCCATTCTAAGGTTTGGTTATACTTTATCCTTAGTCCTAGGTGTGATACTATTTCTGCGTGCTGGATCAACAGTACTCCTGAAACTCTGAGCCACTGAAGAGTGGCCAGAATTGCATTCAGCTGTGAATGGCGGCAGTCTCTTGTCCGCCTATCTGCCTAGGTCCAAAGTTCCTTGCAATAGGGGAAGATCTTCTTTCCTGGTGACTGGAATAAATCACTCCACAGCAATGCTCCAAAATCCAACCAGTTTTGTCCTTTAGACTTTATCAAGGAATTGCTTCTAAAACATCCCACACCTGACTAAGTTAGGTGTAGGCAACCTTCAGCAATCGAGATGTTGTGGGCTACATCCCCGTAATGTCCTTACAGCCATAATTTTGGCAAAGCATCAGGTGAGATGTAGTCCACAACATCTGGAGTGCCAAAGGTTGCTTAGGTGTGGAGTAGGGTCATACAGGTTGCCTTCCCCAAAGGATTCTTAACTCTTCTCGATGCTCCTGTATTTTAGGATCCTCCACTTTATTTTGTTTTAAAACCTTTATTTATAAGAATAAAAAGCAACATTTTCAATATATGAGTTCAGAAAGAAAACAAAGATCCAGTGTTTGAGAACACAAATAATATAAAAAGAGTAATACCCATCAGTAAATATCGTAATAACATCATAATATTAATGTAACATTATATATTTGTATTTTTTCCAAAATAAGAGGATATTATGAACAATAATAAGCATTAGTGATGTCCCGAACGGTTCGCTGACGGATGGCAAACATATGCGCTGTTCGGTCCGCCCCCTATTCGTCATCATTGAGTAAACTTTGACCCTGTACCTCACAGTCAGCAGACACATTCCAGCCAATCAGCAGCAGACCCTCCCTCCCAGACCCTCCCAACTCCTGGACAGCATCCATTTTACATTCATTGTGAAGCTGCATTCTTAGTGAGAGGAGGGACAGTGTAGCAGCTGCCGATTTGATAGGGAAATTGATAGCTAGGCTAGTGTATTCAGTGTCCACTACAGTCCTGAAGGACTCATCTGATCTCTGCTGTAAGGACAGCACCCCAAAAAGCCCTGTTTAGGGCTAGAACATCAGTCTGCCTTTTTTTTTCTGTGTAATGTAATTGCAGTTGCCTGCCTGCCAGCCTGTGTGTCAGGCTCACCGCATATACTGTGCCCACTTGCCCAGTGCCACCACTCACTCACTGGTGTCCAAATAGCTTGCATTTAAAAAAAACAAAAACTTTTTTGACTGTAATATCATAGCAATCAGTTTCCTTCACTAGTGTGCGTTTCAGGGCCTGCCCAGTGCCACCACTCACTCACTGGTGTCCAAATAGCTTGCATTTAAAAAAACAAAAAAACTTTTTTGACTGTAATATCATA